AAAATAATAGTACGGTGAAACATACCTCTCAGCTTACCTTAGGCCTGGACGAGCCTGGTATGGTATTTATCAAACCATCGTGGGCTGCCCGATATCTCTGCGGTGCTGGAAGGACTGTACGGCCGCCAAGCATGGTCCATCCGCGCTGTCTTTCGTACAGGACCAGAAAGCCCGGTGTACTGGGCTGATGTGGCCATAAATCTCTACGGGGGATCTGATAGTTTTTCCCCGCCGGCTCAACTGGTAGCCCGATGTGTCAGTGTCATGCCTGTAGAGTTTTTGCCAAGAGGTCCCTACCGAGCACACTTCTGTTCCACCACACAGCTACAGCCTGACTGGTTTAGACTTTTGTGAGAAAGTAAGTAAAAGGATGGAAGCTCCGCCCCCTATAGCAGTATCCTGTTTCCTAGATTCCATCCTATTGGCCTATCTTAGAATAACAGTAACTTTAACTGGGGGTATCTATTACCTCAGAGTAATATACACCACCCATCCAGGTGTCCGGCGTGATTAATTATTGCCATCTGCCATCCCCAACCTCTTGGTCCAGAGGCACGGTCATAAGGTATAGGAGAGACATGCTGTGTTTTAATTTAGGTCACTGACCGACACCAGGGATTGTACGATATTTACCGGGGGTGGGCTGGTACGTTGACGGGAGATGCACAAATAAAATCGGGGCCACCAACCAACATATTACAGAAAAAAACCGTCGCCAGAGTCTTTTTTAAGACTCAACTTGTTTACATTGGGCTGGCATTAAAAAAAGATACCAGTGCAAAAAAGAAAGCCTGATAAAAATGCCTAAAAACATGCCAAAAATAAGCCAAAACCCAAACCTCTGCTTGGAGAGTATGACATGAGAGGGAAGAACACAGAGTCATGTCATGCATGCTGTGTTCACAATAACGACTTGTTAGTCCAAATGGACAACAGATGAAGGATCATGATCCCCCAACTCATCATTCTATATTTCTGCTTAACTCATCGATTTAGGCTTTATGACAGTGGCACAGTTAGGTAACAGGTTTGCCAAAAGAAGGCCATCAGCAATGATGTCTTTGGCTGCACTAATCTCATTCTTAGTCAGATTCCAAGATCTTCTTCCAGACCTTTGCACAACAATTGTAACAGGTATGATGTAAGGCAGTGTGTTGTATAACTATAACACTACTAACTAATCTGAACATTGTATAAACTACCAGCTAATTACATTCAACTAGTACACACATGGATTCATAATTATGATATTGATAGAAGATACAGTATACAGAATACAATTCAACTAAATAGTCACCTAAATCTAGAACAATTTGAACACACAAAGGAGAGTGTGCCGTACCCTGCTGGAAGAGTGAGACAGTCCTGCTGGTGAGCTGGAGGAACAGAGTCTGCATGGTGGCAGCGTGGGACTCAGAACTGTGGAACAACGTCAGCAGCTGGGGAGGGGGGCAAGAAAAGAAACAACACACTCACTATCCAGTTTAGCATCTACCTGTTTTAACACAAAGCAAGAAATCAACCATACCTCTGTCAAATACATGGTATCTAGAGTTGTTGTCAACTTATTGTTTCATTCATTACTATGAATTTTGAGCTGATTCTGTCTAATGGTTTTTCCCACAGCGTTAAAGGCTTAGCAGTATAGCTGTCTGTCATCAGTGTTGCTAGGGTGCACAAAGGTTGACATGGTAACAGTTGGTAGTCATGGTGATAAGCTTTAACTTGCTTAGCCTTGTCAAGTATTGTAGACCTCAATCAGCAGCTACATGTACATGTGATGGCTGAGCTGTCATTTCTGTTGCTAGCATACATTTATGTGTAGCCATGGTAACAGGTTGCTAGGATACAGGTAACCACGGTAACTATAGATTTACCTGTTTGGCCATGTCTAGCACCGCGCTCTGTGGGATGGCATTGTACACCTGCACCATCATGTGTGTTGCTAGGATACGTGTTGCTATGGTAACAGGTTGCTAGGATACAGGTAACCATGGTAACTATAGATCACCTGTTTGGCCATGTTGAGTACGGAGCTCTGTGGGATGGCGTTGTACACCTGGACCATCATGTGTGTTGCTAGGATATGTGTAGTCATGGCAACAGGGTTGCTAGGATACAGGTAACCATGGTAACTATAGATCACCTGTTTGGCCATGTCTAGCACGGAGCTCTGTGGGATGGCGTTGTACACCTGCACCAGCAGCTCCGACAGCTGTGCCGTCATCGGCGCGATCTCGTCCTGTAGCGTCCGCACCGCTCGCTTGAACATCTCACAAACAGCCTGGAGGGGGGGGGTGGAGGGAACAACTGGGTTAGTGTGGGGAGAATCACTACGCATACTACTACCGAGAGTTGTGCCGTCATCGGTGCGATCTCGTCCTGTAGCGTCCGTACAGCTCGCTTGAACATCTCACAGACAGCCTGGGGGGGGAGGGGAAAACTGGGTTAGTGTGGGGAGAATAACTATGCATACTACTACCGACAGTTGTGCCGTCATCAGTGCGATCTCGTCCTGTAGCGTTCGCACGGCTCGCTTGAACATCTCACAAACAGCCTGGGGGGGCAGGGAACAACTGGGTTAGTTTAGAGGTAGTAGAGTATAGATACATCTATAGTACATAGTATTACATACATACATTTGCAGAAGGAAAACATAATTTTTGGGGGGCTCTCTTTCTTCCTCGTCTTCTCCAAACAGATAAGGTCAATGACCTGGACCAGATGGCTGTCACCATGGTAACTGGTGCTGTAGCACTGACTGTGATGTTGGTTACATTATGTAGCAAGTGTTTGCACCTAAATTACCTGTATAAATTATACGTATTCTAATTATTACTCATTTGCTTTGATACTGCTCATGCTCAACATGCAATACAGCAGCTCCCCCATGCAACTTCAATCTAACTGCAGTTATTTAAACAAACTGTCAGGTAAAGTGACATGCTCACAGACAACATGTCAGTTTCGTATGAACTTTAGTCTCAGCTTCAACACTTGTTGTCTCAACAATATTATTGTCTTTTTTTTCCTTACAACATACAAGTATACTGTTCAAAGAGAGTTAACTTCACATTACACCTTCCAACAAGCATTAATTTCTATGCTTAGAGAGAAACTCCCTCTTAGCTCCATTGACTGATTAAAAACTTTGTTAACCCTTTATATCTTGTTATATCTTGTGTGCTTTAATTCACCAAACAACCATGCTGTGTTCCTGGTATGTCAGTCATCACAACCCCCTGTTATAACAAACTGGGGACCTGAGGGCACCATTGGTTCCCTTATCATTGGACGAATCAAAAACTTCGTTAACCCTTCATATCTTGTATATGTGTGCATTGATTAACAAAGGATCCACCGAACGACCATGCTGTTTTCCTGGTATGTTAGATGTACATTGTGACAAACTGGGGACCTCTGTACTCCTTTGGTTCCCTTATCAGTACTGTACAGATGACTGTCTATTGTGTACAGCTGTCTGGACTTTGTGTTGCTGACTCTGCCCCCCACAAACACACACAAGTACTCCTTAATACATGTATATGCCTATGGGTGTCAGGCACTAGCTATAGAGGGATTGAACGTTTCAATATTTGTACAATCACTGAGTCACCCATTCTGGAACCTTCTTTCCAGTCATTTTGTATCCAGAACCGTGTCTATCTAGTAGTAATCTATGCCTGGATGGGTTAGGGTTAGGATCAGGCACGGTTCTGGATAGTCTCTACATTGTATGCATCCTCTATGTGATACTCCTTTATGTGCCCAAGGTGTCAGTCACTACAGGGACCGAATGGTTTCAATATTTGTACGATCACTGAGTCATTGGTTCTGGAACCTTCTTTCTCACATACATGTATGATACATAGTTACATACGTGTAAAGTCATACCCTCAACTTTTGGACCTTTCAACCCAAAATCATGTTTACTACCCCAGCAGTACTGTAGTTGATAATGATTTTGTTTGCTTTCTACCATGACCAATCTCATCATTTCTGTCCATTTCTTCCATATACATGTACAATGCACGACGTGAAAAAGTACCACTATTTTTCTTTGTGGAATATTTGCACACCTGTAAAAATTAACTGCTAAAATAAAATAATATGACTGCATGTATAAGCCTGGGTATTAACATTAAAATAAAAAGCAACACATTGTCAGGAAAAGAGGTTCCACTGCCCAACAGCCCCATCTAGCAGCTTTCATACCAACTGCAGCCTCTAACATGACCTCAGATGTTACAGTGTGTTATATTTTCCCCACCTCTATGACTCCAGTATCGGCGATCCACTGTGATACGAGTCTCTGCACTATCGGGTACACCTGCTGCAGTACCAATAGAACCTGCAAGGGGGCACACATAACACAGTCACACAGGTGGTAGTTAGAAATCAAAAATGGCTGTCAACAGATTGATTTTAGACCTGATCACTTACAATGTAGCACTCACAATATTAGGAACCTTATAACACTCAACAAATCACATTTTTTTAATGTATCTGGAGCCAATTTTGAGCTGTTTTCTCTTACATTTCTTTCCAGAAAATGTGAATTTCAATGTTTCAATACTAATAAACACCAAAATTAGTCAGTCTATGCTTTACCTAATCTCCAAGCAGATCTTTCAGTGGCCAATATCAAATTGGCCAGGCTGTATGCAATGACCACTAACTTGATGGCTAAAGGATACTCTTATACTGGCTAAAAGCCACTCCTGTGGCCAATGGATACTGCCTGGCCAATGGACACTCCTCTGGCCAATAGATACTGCCTTGCCACCGTAGGATCTGCTTGGAGATGGCTAATGGACACTCCTCTGGCCAATGGATACTGCCTTGCCACCGAAAGATCTGCTTGGAGATTATGTTTTACCGGCTGTGGTTCGTCAGCGCGAGGTTTTGGTTGTCGTTTCTCGGCTTCCTCACTTTCCGGCCTTCTGATGTCCAGTGCCGAGAACAGCATGGACAACATGTTCAGTTTCTGTATGACTGTCGCTTTACTGGAGGCAGAGGGCTGGAGAGAGAAAAAAAGCCAGTCAGCATTATAATCATGAAGCCAATTTTCTGACTTACACTAGTACAGTTACTGTAGTACTACTAAATGCAAGGTACAATGTAAGTGTTTGGAATATTAATTGTATCTGGCAATTTTGCTCAAAAACTGTTATTATTTGTCACTTCATCTGGAGAGAGCGAAATATCATACATGTACATGGATTGTCTGTCTGTCAGTGCCAACGACGTCTACTCTAAGATAGTTATAGAAAAAAAATTGAACACCTCAATCTTTGGTTGATAACTTTGGTACCGGGAGGCATGACTACCAGTATACTAATTAGATCTTATATCCACTACATATGCATGACATTGTTCATGTTCTTGTTCATTAACAGAAGCCTACTCAGTAGGAAAAATAAACCTCAATCCTGGGGTTCTCTGGCTTGAAAGTAAGTGACTTGAAAGCAAGAGTTATATTTCTTGAAATTTTCGGACCTGGTACAAGATGGTATGTCCACTACATGTACCTGTTCATTGAGTGAAGCCTCTAACTGCTGCACATGTGGCCCCAGGATGGCGTGGAGATAGTTCAGGATGTCCTGTACAGGCAGGACTGACAACAGGCTGCCCACTGCATGCATCAGCCGGATACTGTCTTTGGCCTGTAGAACAGACAATCGTTACTGAGCTACAAACATGTACATACAAGTACAACAGGCCAATATACTCAGAACTGACAACAGGCTGCCCACGGCATGTATCAGCCGGATACTGTCTTTGGCCTGAAACACAGAGAATCTTTACTGTGTACATGTACATGTAAAAACTGTAGGCTACTATCCTAGCACCCAATATATGTCATGTACTCAGGACGGACAACAGGCTGCCTACTGCATGCATCAACCGGATACTGTCTTTGGCCTGAAACACAGAGGATCATTATATTACTGAGCTACATACAATGTAGTATGTATGTAATATACATGTACTAATAACTGACAACAGGCTGCTAACTGCATGCATCAGCCGGATACTGTCTTTGGCCTGAAACACACAGGATGGGCACTGTTGTATACAGAATCATGCTTTATCCAGAACCATGCCTGATTCTAACCCTAGCCCATTCAGGCATAGAACTAGATACAGTGTATCCAGAACCGTGCATGATCCTAACTCAACCAATTCCGGCATAGAAATAGATGGGCATGGTGTTAGATACAATAGTCACCAAGAAGTGCTTTTTATTTTGTTCCACTGTGTCTTCTACCCTGCAAGTTCATGTAGCCTTTGGCCTTCAGAGTTTTTTGATGGTTCTTTTAAAAATTTTCAGGACGCTTAGGTCTTGAGGATTTGTGCAATGTCTTCCTTTCCTGACTTTGCAAAATGCTACATTCAAGAAAAAACAGGAAAGACTATTAAACATTCTTAAAGAGAGATTGGAATGTGTTACCTACCTTCATTATATTTCCTGTCAATGCATTCTGTAAGAAATAGAAAGAACCATGAGTTGAGTGAAAAGTCAACATTTGCAGACAAAAAAAAAATTAATGCAGTATATCTCCCCTCCCATTTGTCCCAAACTCTGTCTACGTCTTGAATATAACTTGGTACAATTTCATCAAAGAGACTCTTACAGTGAGTTTCTTCAAGATTCCTTTAAGACATACCTGGCAGGCAGATAAGATGTCGTTGGCGTACGGCTGCATGTTCTTAGAACACTCCTGGGCCACGTCCTTCAAGGTCAGGGTGGATGACAAGGTCAAGTCAGGGTTAGTGAACCCAGACAGGATGAGGGGGATCAGGCCGCTCAGCAGCTCTGGGTGGCTGTTTAACCACTCAGCATACGCTCCTGGAATCAAACAAACAAATAAACAAACAAACATCAGTAAAGCCACTGTACTATACTGAGCAGCTCAGGGTGGCTGTTTAACCACTCAGCATACGTTCCTGGAAATAAACAAACAAACAAACAAACATCAGCATAGCCACAGTACTACTGAGCAGCTTGGGTCGGGAGTTTAACCACTCAGCATATGCTCCTGGAAACAAACAAACAAACAAACGTAAATGTTGTTAACACATACATCTTATTAATAACATTGAGAGAAGCCTCTCACTATTGGTGTATATTGCGCCATGTACATTGACAATATGACTGTATCGCTAGAAAAAAATAACTGCCCTAACTAAGATCACCACATAAATGGAACTTTTTACCATTTTCTCTACAGCAGCTCTTGGATAGAATCTCAGGGACCAGATATGAAAGACCTCAAATTATATCAGTGAAGCTACTGGTAAATAGTTGATGAACTAGGTACTACCTTCCTTCTTTAGTGGAGACAAAGTTTGACATTCCCAGGGTTCTTTCAAACTATCAACTGCACAGGAGATGCTTACATTCTACATATATCATATATCAGTCAACAAATCTACATGTCTTTGAGCAAAAAAGTTTGGACCACCTACCTATTGTATAGAGTGTTGTCTCTGCCAGCCTTACATGTGTGATGGGGACTTTAGGGATGAGGTTGAACATGTTGAGGATACACTGGTCACTGCACTCCTCTGGATCCACACTCTCTCCTATGGACAGGAACGCGTGCAGGCAACCTTCTGTGGGCTGAAATACAGGGAAACAGCTGTTACTTCAGGGGAAAGATAGCATGGGGAAGGTTTTAACCTTTAAGTTTTAAAAACTGCTATGTCACAGGTAAACACTCCTCTGGGTCTACACTCTCTCCTATGGACAGGAACGCATGCAGGCAGCCTTCTGTTGGCTGCAGGACAAGGAAACAAATGTTACTGGTACATGGGGAAGATTAAAGTGTTACATTTCACATCTAAGGTAGCATGGGCAGGGTTAAATATGGTCTACACTCTCTCCTATGGACAGGAACGCATGCAGGCAACCTTCTGTGGGCTGGAGAATAAGATAAGGCATCACAATCTTGTCTTAGTTTACACAAAGCAGTCCTGCTTAGCGGCTATCAGACCTATAGCTACTGGTTGAGATACAAAGCTTCTGTCACTCACCTGATCCACATGTAACTTGCATGGACAATGTCATTAGACTCCATGATCCAGACTCATGACTCTCCACACTTTTAAAGATCCATGTACAACACAAATCATACTTCAATAATAGTATCTACAAATCTTGGTTAGGACACATATCTGGAGCTCCACTGTTCAAAATGAGCTAGAGGAATTTCTCCAGTACAATGAACCTGTAAATACTGTACATATCGTCTTTCTTCTCTGTCCTGACCAGTGAAAGATAGGCTCTTCATTGAGAGCTCACGTTCACCAGAAGAAAGTCTCCTACCTGCCAGGTCTCCTCCTGCTGTTTCCTGTCCTGCTGCAGGATGGTGCTCAGCATGGCGTACAGAAAGTTCAGCAGGGAGTCTCGCAGCAGGTTAAACGCATAAACCTGCAGACAGGGGCACAGTTTCAACAACAGTACATACATGTACACATGTACAGTACAGTACAGGAAATTCAGCAGGGAGTCTCGCAGCAGGTTAAACGCATAGACCTGGGGGGACAGGGGCAAAAAATGTTACTGTTCTTGGTGGCCAATGTGCAGATGTTGACACATTGGCGCACCAAATCCATAGTGTGTTTTTGGCACACATTTTGGACAGATTAGCCAAAGAGGCTCGGTGGGCGTCACTCTACTGCCAGGGAAGGGAAGGTCGTGTTAAGTGTCTTTCCTACAAAGGGCACACCGTCGGGGCATGGTGAGTATTGAAATCAGGACTTATTGGTTCCGAGTACAATGCTCTAACTGTTGTGCCACCGATGCCACCAGGGTACAGGGTCAGAGTTTCACCATGGCAGCAGCTTTTTTAACAACAGTACTGCTAACAACATGATGTTCTCCATGAGGACAATATGATGTTTGCCACTCCATCTAAAAATGTACATAAAGTTAAATTGTTCCTTTGTCTGAGCGAATAAATGTGTACTTAGTTCCTAATTGTTGTTTGGAATACTTATGATTGGGAAGCCATACCAGTGTATCCGCGATGTCCTGCCTGTAGCATCTGAACTGTTCCTTCTCCTCGGCGGTCCATGATGAGTACTCCGTGTCAGGAGGGTACTGAACCTTGATAAGCAGGATCTCCACTAGGTTCATGTACAGGGGGATGAAATATGCACAGTGGTCCTGGAACACCTGAGGCTCGGACGCTATCATGTCATCCTGAAAAAAATGTTACAGTAATTACATGTTAGACATTTTGAAAGGGTATACCTGCCAGTTCAGGATTGAACTTCTGTCCTGAGTAACATAAATCAACATACTTGCACTATGAACATTACGCCACAAGGTTCATGTACAGGGGGATGAAATATGCACAGTGGTCCTGGAACACCTGGGGCTCGGATGCTATCATGTCATCCTGGGGGTAAAATTAGGTACAATTTAACATAACATATTTAAGATAATAATGGTCGGATAAAGAGGCTATATAGCCTATATAAATCCGCTTCTTAAGCTAAACATTAAACACACAAATATAAAGTTCAGTTCTAAGCACAAATATAAAGTTCAGTTCTAAACACAAATATAAAGTTCAGTTCTAATAAAAAGTTCAGTTCTAATTTACATGTAGAAAGCAACCGTTCTTACAAATCTAACATCTAGACAGTCACTATAGAGCTCAAACTAACATAGAGTTCAAACTAGCTTTGAACACTAACTAACATTGAGCACTACAAATAACAACACTGAAAATTTTCGCCAGAGAACTAGCTTTAAAAAATGGTTCGCTTCTTAAGCATGAGTTATTTACAGTTTACTTCAAGTCATCTGGAAGCCTCTAACAACAGTCTTCAGACACAGGTCTAAGGATGGGATTCAAACCCAAGACCCAGTGATCCTCACCTGTAGGATGTACCAGAAGCTGAATGTCATGTCACTGGCTGTCTCATCGACTGGATACCTGCCAGGAATGCCTGTACACATCTGCAGAAATCAACACATTACACAATAATACAACATCAGCACAAAAATGGCTGATTTAATGGCCTGTACACATCTGTATTGGACAACACAATTACATAACATTAGCACAAAAATAGCACAGCCTGGTATGCCTGTACACATCTGTAAAACATTGCCTCAGAAATCAGTACTGTTTTTGTAGTTCTATTTATTTTCTCTGACAATTAGAGAAATTTTGCATCAAAAGGTGAAAGGATGGTTTCACAGTTGAAACAATTGTGTAGTACAGTAGAACTAAAAAGCCTCATTGAAGAGGTTCATCAGTCACGTAGAATTAACAGTTAGTAGAAATTCTTAAATCAGTGACCATAATTTTGTAAGGTAAATTACGTACCTCCAAATTTTCGGTGGACTGTACACCTTAAAGTACACCCTCCCCGGAGGCGGGGGAAGGAAGATCCACACAAGTCTCAATCTAGTCTTGTGTTCTCGCAAGACTAGGTCACTCCGTGATCAGGATGTACAGTTGACTTCGAAAATTTGGAGGTATGTGTTTTTACCTTACAAAAACAGTCACTGATTAAAGAATATTCTACTAACTGATAGGAAAAGATTTTCTTTGGGCTGTGTTAAATTTGTGGTGATAAAACAGTAAGCAGTTTCCTACCATGATGATTTTGATGAGTTCGAGTGAGTTCTGCTTGTGTTGTCCTGTACTCTCCAGCAACACTTTACTGTGGTTCTCACCAATCGCCACCGCTAACCTGCACAAACCATTGCACGTGTCCTGTAGGGGACAACAACACACAAACCATTGCATGTGTCCTGTAGGGAACAACAACACACAAACCATTGCATGTGTCCTATAGGAGAACAACACAAGTAGGTGGGACTTTAGTGTTCATTCATGTTCTTAGCAAAGTTTTAGTTATAGCCAGCCCAGCACAAACCATTGCACGTGTCCTGTAGGGGAGCAACAACACATTGTGTTTAGAGTTAAACTTTTGATCCAACACAAGGGAAGTTCTCTCACCTAGAGCTTTTGGCCAGTGTTCACTCTGGTCTTCCTCAGTAGACTGACCACTTGTGTTGGATCAAGCGTTTTAACTCTAAACATGTAACTACCAACACAGGTGAACTTTCGTGATAACAACACAAGTGGTAGTGTTCATTCATGTCCCTAGCAAATGTTCAGTTATAGCCTGCACACACCATTACATGTGTAATTAAAAGAGAACAACAACAAAAGCGGTGTTCATTCATGATGCTCTTAGCAAAGTATCCACTAAACCTTATACCAAACCAATGCACATATCCTCAAGCATGTCATGCCTTATGGCATGGAAAAAGATATGTTGGCTACCGGAAATAATATGCGATCTCACCATATCCTTGTCCTTTATTGCAGTTTCTAACATGTCCTGTAGCTGTAAGACTTGTGGGAGGAACTTCTGGACTGTGTTGGGATATCTGGGAAAGGTACACACAAAACCACCATTATATACCAGGCTCTGTATACTTGGCAATGCTAACTATGCAACAGTAACATCAAAAACTTTTAAAATTCATACACTATGTCTTGTTCTACAAATTATTTTCAAATGTTGTCTGCTATTGCTGGTGTGCTTCACATACATGTATAATGAAGTACTATAGAAGCTTTAGGAAAACCACATCCAAAAATATCACTCACTAGTTGTATAATACTCTTACTCACTACTAGTAGGTCATTGTACCAGGCACTTGTACAAGTGTGAAAGTGAAGAAAAAAGAGTACACAACTGACTTGTAAGCCAATAGTTATAAAATACTCTTGCTCGCTAATTCATTGTACCAGGTTCTTGTGCAAGTGTGTAAGTGAAGGGGAAAAATTAAGTACATGAAAAGAAAACAACTGACTTGTTACTAGTTGTAAAATACTCTTATTCAATCAGTCATAATTGTACCAGGTACATGTACAAGTGTCTAAGCAAAGGAAAAACCTAAAAAAACTAACTTGTAAGATGTAGTTGTAAAATACTCTTACTCAAAAGGACTGGTCAGTGTACCTGGGTACTAGTGCTCCTACAAGTGTGTACAATGCAAGTGAAGAAAAAAAGACCACAACTGACTTGTAGGCCATTGGTTGTAGGACCACGTTGACGAGAGCGTCTACGGCCACATCGAACAGCTCCGGGCTGCGGACGGCTTTAAACGCCAGGTTAGTCAGCCCCTCCACTTCATTCAGGGGAACCCCAAATGTTACCCAGCTGGAGAAACATTTCAGGGCCTGCTGTTGGACGTCTAGGGGGGACGGCTGCTCTAGCAGGTTTTGTAGGAGTGGTAGGACTGTGGAAGATGGAGGAATCATTATAAAACACACTACTAAGGTTGGAATCTTTGTCTCAATCGTTAATAGTGACAGACCCTTTTTTCATGATCATGAGGCTTGTGCATTATATACACATCTGAAGCAAGAAAGGGGATATATACATGTAGGACACAAATCTCTTTGATTTTCTTGATTTCAGTGAATGATGAAGAAAGTACAAGTACAATGATACTACATGCTACATTTTATTTCATTATTATATTGTATTGTAGCAGATTCCAGGAAGAAGAGTGTAAAATCCTGTAACACGAATGGAGATCCTAATAAAACAAACAAGATGCTGTGAAAACTCCCTACCATACGGCAGCCCTCCCTGCATGGCATGGCGAACTGTTCCCCGTCTGCTCTGGGCCAGGCACGTCGTGTTGTGCTGCACAAAACAGACAAAACTGAGCTGTTAAATCAAACAGATCTAAGATCAAAAGAATGTGCAATTGAACTGATCATGCTAGTTAACATACATACTTTTTTCATAGGTTGGTAAATCACTGGATAACAAAGTAGAATAAAGTATTCACCTGTTCTGGAAGTACTGTCAGCAGCTCCAACAGAGCACCACATCTCTGGGACGGCTGGAAGCAACAGAAAGAAAAATTTAGAGCAAAATGATTATTATTCAAATGGCAAAATAAATGTTTTTAACAACTCTCAGAGATGACCAACAGGCTTACGACTGTGAAGTTGTGCAATGAGTATTGTATATGCACATATGAGTTTAAACTAAAATGATTGAAATGCTTGAAAATGTGCAGAAAAATATTGCTTATCCCCCTGGCCCAATGTGAGCCTCTCACTTAACTAAAATTTTATTATAGTAGCAATTTACTACTTAATACTAATAGGGAGAAACAATTGCCTGTGAATGTGTGTATGAGTATACTATATGCAGATATTTTTCTTGAGAAAGATACATTTGTAATTCAATTGACTCATTAATTCTTCAATGATAGCTCTGTTTGCTTCAAGCAGCAATTACCTTAACCTTCTCCCTGTTGCCTAACTCCGTAACCAATACAGAACCAATAGAGATTTCCAAATGGCTACCTCAGTGTGCTAAAGGTTAACCTTCTCCCTGCTGCCTAACCCTGTAACCAATAGAGAATTGGTAGCCAAGTGGCTACTTCGGTGTGCTAAAGGTTAACCTTCTCCCTGCTGCCTAACTCTGTAACCAATACAGAACCAATCGAGATTTCCAAATGACTACCTCAGTGTGCTAAAGGTTAAACTAAGAGTCTTGCAGTTCACCTTCTGACCTTGGCCAGTTCTAAGTGTTTGTTTCTGTCCTTGGCGGCCATTTGTGAAGATTGATATGACTTGACCTTTGTATGAGTGACCTTTGCTGATGACTTGTTTTTCTCACTTTGGTCAGGACAAAGGTCGAGATGGGCAAAGTCCGGCGTTCTTGTGACCAGGTAACACATGAGGACAGGGCTTCACTATAATTGCATGTTACACAAAATAAAGTTTAACCACACAACTTGATAAATACTCAAAGTGTAGTCTCCACCAGCCTAACTATGCGGGTTAAAAAACAGTAAAATTTAGCCAATATTTGACCAGTAGAGTTTAGCCAGCGTAGAGTTCATTTGCCAACTTCAGAGGGGGAAATTAACCCTCTTGCGGACTGACTCTCCTGGCCAACTATATTTCCTCTTTTTTACCGAATTCTAGGATTTGTACCCCCGTAGGAAGGCCTGGTGGAGGCTATCTCAAAGTTTGAGGTTTTTCAGATAGCATCTTTTACTCTCTTTCTTCAGTGTATAAGAATGAGTTTGAAGACAATTGTAATCTATATGTAGGTTGATTCATGGTTCGTTGATTTGAAAAATCAGCTAAGCATACTTTAAAAGCTATTCTCTCACATGTATGTTATGGCAGTTTACTGGTTATGCAAAACAAAAAACAAAGAATGATGAATGATCAAATACAGCTCTTTGATTGTTTTTTAGTTGTTTTCCTCCCTCCAGGATGCGACCATCAACATGTTTTCCATTCTGGTCTTTTTTGACTGAAACTCCATGGACCTTTGCACCTCCTAGGGACACGCTCCGCGGAGTGTTTGCTTGTGGGGTCAGTAAATCAAGGTTGAAACCGAGGTCAATATTTGTCAAGGGCATTTTTGTGGAACAATAACAGGTCTATAGGATCTTGTTTTTGTTGTAGGTAATCTCACGCGAAAAAAACAAGTACGTGGCCCCCTTCCAAGTAACACTCTTGTTTCAACAAACAAAAATAACAAATAAACAATGTTTTTCTTTATGTTTCAAGGGCACCAAGCTCATTATCCTCTATTCACCTTGTTACAGAATCAAGTATCAGGGAACAACCTACATGTGCCACATATTTCTATAAGATAGAAAGAATAGACATATCCTGTAAGTCTGGTCTTCCACAGCTTGTACCTACTGCACACAACTGATGTGTTTTATCTTTTGGCAAGTGATGCTATCACCATCATCGATCAGCAGAGAGATGAACATTTGCCAGTTACTGCAAAATGTTTCTCTTAAGGTTTTCCATTTATGCACGTACTCACAGAGAGCTGTGCTGCTGGCATGTTTGAGTGCACCTCAAGCAGCTTGTCCCTTCAGATGTGTTCACCATTATGTGATACAAGCCAATAAAAGATGGACATTTGCCAGCTAATGCAAGTTGTGTCCCTAAAGCCAGTAGTAGTAAAGGTTTTTGTAACTACAGGTACTCACAGACAGTTTAGTGCTGGTTGCCTGTTGGAATGTGTCTAGAAAATGAAACTTCAGACGTGTTCACCATTTATGTATTTGCCAGCTAATTCAAGTTGTTTCTCTAAAGGTTTTTCGTAACTACAGATACTCACAGACAGCTCAGTGCTGGTTGCCTGCTGGAATGTGTCCACAATTCCCTTCACAGCCTCGGGCCACACCTCAGGCATCGTGTTCAGGGCAAAGGCTGACAACTGGGGAAAAAACAGGGGAAATGACACAAATCAGCAACAAACTGCTTAGATTTCATTCACCAGTCCTATCTGCAAAGTCTGGCTGCTTTGATTCAAAATCTGCTTCACTTCTTTAGGTCACAAGACAGTCAACACAAACATCAAAACTTAGGCTGATAAAGAATAATAGAGCAATTTTTGTTGTCAACACTTTTAATATTGTGATGTTAAAAGTTGACAGACCGTTTGCCGGGGCGCTACGCTCCTAGGAGCATGCGGACATGAGTGAGTGAGTGACACTTTTAATAACCCACAGGCAAGCCAGATGCTAGTTCGACATGTGGATAGACTCTACAAGTCTACTCCATGCATGCCTACAACCAGCCACCATCTAATCTCCAAGCAGATCATATGGCATCAAGGCAGTATCCACCAAAGGTGGCTAATGGACACTCCTCTGGCCAATGGATACTGCCTTGCCACCGTATGATCATTTATATTCTGCTGTGCATCATTGTGAGGCCTGTACGTATGGTATGACACAACTTTCAGTGACTGGTATGTGATACAGTACTTATATACAAGCTAAAACTTCACTAACAAACTGGACATCATAATAAAGATACATGTATTATATTCCTTTAACTTTAAAACTGTAACTCACAGCGACACACAGCTTAGTGAGAACCATCCTCACAGGAGCTTACAATTATTACATGTACATACTACATGTATATTCCAGTAACAGTAACTCACAGCCACACACAGCCTGGTAAGAACCATCCTGGGCCCTGCAGCGAAGGCCAGGATCTGCTGGAACAGCTGGGTACGCAGGCTGGCGTAGTGGTCGGCAGGAAGCTCTGCCCTAGCAACCACAAACACGGCAAACACAAGATATTACAAATGTTCTCAAGTTTGGTAAGAGTTTAATGATCTCTACACAGCTGGTGTGTTACGCCGAAGGGCGGTTATACCGGCTATACCGATACAGATACAGACTCTACAAAATAATATAAAAAGCAGAGAAAACTACAAGACAAACAATCAAATACATACATGAAAAGCCACATATAAATGAGCCTGTCTTTTCAATGGACAAATACAACAAAATATAAGTATTCCACCCAAATCTACTAGTACAAGAATCTCTGACCTACCAGTGGTGAGATATTTTGATGTAGAGAGCATTGGCCCCAAAGAACTGCACTTCAGCTGCCTGGAGAAAAACATAGAAGATTTGTCAGGTATAGACTTACATTTGTTACTATAGTCACATGACCATGGTGTCACCTGGCTTCAGTTGTGGGTCAGTCAGCACGTCTGCAGAACGTACTGCGCCTGCGCAGAACCCTGTATTGTCGCGTTTTTTGTTGGGTTTTTGGTCAACGTTGCATCAGAATTTTGCTTGTTGCAGAGGATATTCTTTCCGAAACAACATTTGGAAACTACTGTCGAAATTCTAACCTTATATGAGCGAATACAACCTTATATGAGACGTTCTGCCGAACTGCTATGTACAATACATTACGGGTTTCGCGCAGATGCAGTACGTTCTGCCGACGTGCTGGGTCAGTCATACTGAAGAAGACACTTGTGCCAAAGAAACACAGACAGATCACACACACACACACACACACACACACACACACACACACACACACACACACAAGAAACAAACAAACAAACAAACAAACCTTGTCCTTCTGCAGTAGTACCCAGCAGAACTGCCAGGCTTGTTGTGACACCTGAGCAGCCATCAGCCATTTCTGAGCAGCGTCTTTCACCGACACGTTGGGGTCAAAATACAGCTGGTGGAGTGCCTGGGGGGGAGAGAGTGAGGGGTGTTAGTATACAGGAGAGGAGGCACAAACGTGGGGTCACGTAGCGGTAGTGTCTTCGGCTCGGGACCAAGAAGTCCCGGGTTCGAACCCCACCTTGTCACTTACCTAGACATGGCAGGATTTGAACCCCGGACCTCTTGGTTCTGGGTTGATTGCTCTGCCATTACACCATACGACCAAATATTTTGACAAATTACACACATGCATACGTCAAATGGTCAGCTAGCCGAATATGTATAACATAGTGTAATACTGTTCAAAACTGGTGTGTTATGAGCACTTTAAAGGTGGTTTACTACCTATTTAACACTACCCAGTAGTTCTGCAAATTATTATATAAATGAATATGCTTGATACTTGCGAGAGAAGTAATCAATTCAATAGAAGTATAACTGTATTACAACTCTCGTTAATGTCTTTAAGGCGATTTGTGGAGGTGCGCCGGTGTACATGTCATCTCTGTTCAAGTGGGAGACTGATCCAACATTAAGTGTACGGACCACTCGATCAGAGTTAAAGCGTCTTAGGGACTATGACCCTCACCTACTCTGCTGTCCACCAGCAAGAGTCACGGCGTACCGGAGCAGTCTACAGTACTATGGTCCTTACCTGTGGAACACTCTTCCGATACAGCAACGACAGCTCCTCAGTCTCAGGACTTTTAAACAGAATATTAGAAGCAGGACTTCTCAGGATTTTTAAACAGTTCATTAGGAGCAGGACTTCTTAGGACTTTTATTCAGAACATTAGGTGCTGGATTTTGACACTGTTGATGTTTAGGATGTTGTAATTTAGTAATAGTTTATGTACTGTGTATTTGTTGTGTGTACTTTTATGTGTATCCAGGATTACCTGAAAAACAGGCCGGGATGGCCTGAGTTGTAATTACTGGTTAAATAAAATAAACTGAAACTGAACTGTATTTCCCATGCATACTCTTATTCTTTAACATTGAGACAGACTGCAAGTCTAGTTCAAACTGTCAAATCTATTTGTTCAAGGGGGAGGGAGCTCACTTTCTGTACATAGTATCGTTAACGTTATTATCGTTATCCAAGTTATTGTCCTACTTTAGTACTTACCCGCTCTATATTTTCTACCGTGAACTCCGCCGGCGCTTGTGCCTCCATGACAAGCTCCGTTCCGACGTAGAAAGAACGCAAACTTGAACTTCTAAACGTGAACTTGCACGTAGTACTTAGCCAGACGACGTCGACGATTTTCCAAGCAGATGCAACTACCTGACAAAGCCTCTCCAGAATTTGCCCCTCTCTCGGACAAAGCTAAAGCTCAGACAGCTCGCTCTTTGCTACAGACTTAAAGCAGTATATTCAAAGATATAGTCCTCCTAATGTCTGCCTGAATTGTTTCTTCTTTTCGGCAGAAAACGAGAATTATAACGAGTAATCAGCTGTCAAAATTTCGGACCGTCCGCCATTTTGGACGAAGTCTCGCATATCATTCTCGCGAGAACGTGACGGACGAAACCATTTGGCCGTGGGGTAAACGACTGGTGTAAATCAGTGGTAATATGAATTGATGTTTATAATAATCTATTCACTCGTTGATTAGGTACAAAAAAATTCACTTACAAAGAGTTACTTTCACCTTGTACAAACAAGAAAGAGGTTTTGTACGGATTTTGTCTTAGTAAATGGAACTATGAGCAGCAATAGTGCCGAATGGCATCTTCAGCACCAAGGACAGGGATAGTACTATGTGTGTACATAGATGTTCAGCGCCAATAACAGGGATAATACATGGCTTGCCACCGACTGTTTAGCAAGAATAACGAGGATAGTACTGTTTAAGTTGTTATCTCAATCTCTGTCCTGTTTTTGTTGGTATCTTTTTTGCTCTTTTCTATATAACGTTAGAATCTACATAGTATTGCATGATGTAATCACTGAACTAGTAAGTTGTTGCATTGTCATATGGTCGCACACTTTGAAATCCCATGGATTTTTACTTATGATGTATTATTCTAAAAGTGAAAAAGAGACACCAGAAGTTTTCAATCTTTATCAAGTTTCTACACTGATAGAAACACTTGAATAATAACTCTGACCAAGTACATGACCGTGTGCCTCAATACATACATGGAGCACATGGTCACACCATTGCAAACACGTAATTCTGGGGATAGTGTTATGGCAAATTTAAGTTTCTTGTACGGAAGAGCCTGCCATAGATCCTTGCGAGTGGTCTGTCACAACGTTCTTGAAATTACAGCAAGATTAAAATCGCACGAAGACCTAGGGTACATGTGTGGCGGCAGTATAACTAATCTCCAAGCAGATCTTTCGGTGGGGGTAAGACAGTATCAAATTGGCCAGTCTGTAACCATTTGCCCACTGGAGGTGCGGAAATGGATACAGACTGGCCAATTTGATACTGTCTTACCCCACCGAAAGATCTGCTTGGAGGTTAAGTATAACTTCGTTCAAAGTTCGGACATTTGGATTCAGAGATCTGACCGCTCGGACAGACTTCCAAGTGCCGTAGCAACATCACAAACTAGTAAACTGCTTTACGTATACATATCTACAAGCATACGTGCACGCGTCATGGTCTATTGTTCCTGTGCCGGGATACGACTTGATTTGTGATGGACTTTAAGTGGACAATTCAAAGCCACTAAATTCCAGCGGAATGAAGTATTTAATACGCAAACGGTACAAAGTCTGAGCAGACCAAAGTACAGTTAGCGAAGTTCGAGTGGCTTCATCAATCATCCTGGCTGTCAGTTTAAACGGTTCTCTCCACAAAAGGGTCATAAATTCTTTTCTTCTAGAGAAGTATTGCTGACTGCTTCGTCACCGTTGCACGTGTAGACTTGGTCAAGGTATGGTTCAAAGTCCACCAGCGTTACGAAACGTCGTTTCTTTTGCCCGAGAAACTTTCGACCCTTTGTCTAAGGGTGAGTGTGTCAGTGAGTGAGTGAGTGAGTGAGTGAGTGAGTGAGTGAGTGAGTGAGTGAGTGAGTGAGTGAGTGAGTGAGTGAATGAGTGAATGAGTGTGTGTGTGAGTGAGTGAGTGAGTGAGTGTGTGAGTGAGTGAGTGAGTGAGTGAGTGTGTGAGTGAGTGACTGACTGAGTGAGTGAGTGAATGATTTCAATGCACAATTTCTAAAGCTCCAACAATATGCATATACAGTACATGCCACAGTCATGAACGTCATACAGTTATTTTATCTTACGAACTCCAACGAGCGAAGCTATTGCAAATTTTCTGTTACAGGACAATTGAAATGTGTACAACACTTCTCAGACTGTCCAAGAATGTCTTCAACCCTGCCATACGACGCACATGAGAATAAATTTAAAAAGTTTAGAAATACCACCAGTAATTGTAAAGAAAACACAATCCTGCATAGTCTTTTGTAAGTTAAATTAGTCTCATGTATTGTATGGTTGTTCTAACGTATGATAGCAAGAGATAGCATAAGCTGTACCTTGTACAAGTGTTGTGCAACGCAGTTTCCACAAGTGACACTGGTGTTTCAAAGGGTTGTTGCCTGTTTGACCAATGAGATTACACAAGAGAGTGAGAGATACCAGAAATGACACGCGACTATTCGTGCTGTTACTGTCCGTTTTTTTTCATATTCCAACATCTAATCACAAGACGTGGTGACGGCACTCTCAAGTTTTTTTCAACTTATATTAATGCCGCCAACAACACAGGGGACAAGACAATACTCATTTTCACATGGGCGAAGTGAGGACTCGAATACGGGACCTCTTGGTTCCGAGTCGAGCTCTCTGCCGCTACGCCACACGACCCCACAAAAGGGGTTTCATAAGGTAGTTGCCTTTCTGACCTGTGAGATTACACATGAGTGAGAGAGATACCAAAGATGACACGCGCCTCCTCGTGCTCACTGTGTACTGATGAGTCGGACGACTCTGTCCTGACCAAAGGTTGTCATGAGAGAGCGAAGATCGTGGATTGGGTTCACCCAGGGGCACATCACTCGAAGGAATCCAAGAAAATGTCTTCTACCACTGCCTTCTGCACTGTATATATTAAACTAGCAAGTTCAGATCACGAAATATCAGAACCGGAAGTTCTGCTGAAGCACCTTAACCCTAAATCTAATTTTGGATACGTATCCAGAACCGTGCTTTATCCAGAACTATGCTCAATCACAGTTCTGGATAGTCCACGCGTCTCCAGAACAAATCTACGTTCTTGGATAGCGGAGGCTACCCAGAACCGTGCCTGATCCTAACCCCCCAACTTGATAGGCACGGTTCTTGATACAGTTGGAAATTTCTTGATCATTTGGGTTCAAAGCAGTCTCTCGTACTGGCTTTTTCAGTGATAGAATCTTAACAGACGTATGACGTAATGGAAATCCTTTATTGAATCTTGATAAACCTTGATAAAAATCTGCTGAATCTGACCTAGGTCATTCCGATTTCGTCACAGGTTACTACAAGTCAAGTGGGGTGATGACCTGTCATGGTGTTCACGTGATCATTGGCAGTTCCCGACCTACATTCCGTTATACAATAACCAGGAAAAGACAATAGAACTCCTCAAGGTTAAACCTTTGGACGACCCAGATTCTGAGACTTACAGGTGTTCCTTATCTCTCTGTACAACTAATAGAAGTCTTATTGTCTGATAGAGTGTAATAGACTACAGATAAGACGTCCATGGTGTTCTTAGTTCGGACTAGGTAGCCGGGGTGACTTGGAAACTACTGACCAATTATATAATTTCAAAGTCGAATTACAGTTTGTCTTTTCTCCATGAAAAACAATTTATGTAACGTAGTAAAATGTTGAACTTTATTCCAACACAAGGTTTATACAGAGATTAAATGTTGAGCTTTATTTCAACACAAGGTTTTTACAGAGATCAAATTTTTAACGATCACTGTCGCCTTCATCAAGATAATGTATGTAACATTTGGGCAGACGGATAACTTTTTTTCACGAGTACAAAGTCCCTGAACTGTCTAAAGTTATGAAGTAAGCAGGAAAGGACAATTGACATATCCGTCAAGGCGGCACCTTTGCCCGACACGGATTCTAAGACACCCTGGCAGGCCTCAGTGTTAGATGAAAGTCCGATGGTCTGATGTAATTATAACGTCATGTTCTTCAGAGGTTACTCTAGAGCAACCTGACGCCTGGTCTTCACGTGAACGAAATTTCCACTTCTCGTCGTAAAATAATAAAAAAAGAACAGAACACAATGGAAAACCTTTGACACAGCTAGATTCTGCGACAGACAGGTTTGTTTTATCGCATCGTATGAACTATGTGAGTCGAATTGTTTAAGTATGAGGCAAACTGTTTGATCATAATCCAACCGCAAACATTCACAGAGTTCGTGGCCCCAGACAAGGTAACGTATGGCAACGGGAACATCAGAGTCATTTTTAAAAAAGGGAAAGAAGAAAAGGACTGCGGCCCTTTCAAGTAGCGTACATGTATGTCGGGTGAGCCGAGATTCGAACTCCTAGACTACAGGTCCAGAGGAAGGATCGCTAACCCATTGGACTTCGTGGTCGCACGCTTCTAAGAGTTACTACAATTTGTCCAGATTCCATAGCAACATCTAGCAAGTCATCTGTAAGTCTTGAGGCAAAAAGGATGACATGACATCATATACACTATACATGTACGCACAAATAGTTGGCTTTGATATCTATCATTAAAATCCTATAGCTGTCTGGATCCATTGCAAAGCTCTATGTATTAGGAACCATGTCTTCCTGTACAGAACATTGATGAAACCCTAACAGAGACGTGACTTGTAATACAGCTGTGTCTGTGGACTCCAGCAGCCAAATGGGAACCCGTCCAACTTTTAAACCTGACTCTGCCAAGTGTTACATCTAATTATATTAAAGGTGATGCCAGGACAGGCGTGCGTGATAGGGTCATTGACCTGATCTGTTCTAGGTAAGAGACAATGTCTGACGGTTCCTGTCGTATGATGCAATCTGGTGGCAATCGCTTGGTGTTACCATAGCAACGGAACTTTGGCAACGCGCGAAAGGTCTAGACCACTTAGCCTCCTTCGCAGACTTGTTCCCGCTCCAACGGGAAACCTTCTCTCCGTGGCAAAACTCCCTCGGCGACAAAATCGTCCCTCCGCGGCATATTACTCCCGTCGCTCGCAGAAAAAAATAACACCGACGCCTAACAAGTCTGCGAAGGAGGCTATAGACCACTGAAGGTTTCATACCTCTACTTTGGGGGAGTGCAGTTTAGTTCTTCTTTTTGGAGGGGGGTTTACCGTAGGTACTTTGCCCAGCATCTGATGATACAAGGATGTTATAGAAGTCTCGTAACATCTTACGGTTGTAAATAAGACTTCGAGTTAGCTTTACGTGACTGTGTTTTTATATGAATAGGTATTGGGTACTACTAGTATTCAAACAGCTTTGTCAAAAGAGAACGATAAGTGTCGATTTTTGTGTGTCAGAAAAAAACGCGTTCCTCCTCCAAACATCTGCTTGGAGATAGCCAGCTAGCCGCCATGGCGCGCCCAACCTGCTGACCCTTACGCACAGGTAAAGATAACGTCAGACACGTCAGGCAGGTGTGTGCAGGTGTGTCGGGAGGCGTGGGTAACGTCAGGTGAGGACTGTGGACCGTGGCTAAAGGGCGGGTATATACCTGCATCATGATCACAGAACGGACTTTGGCAGCCCGCCCTGGCACTAGTGGCAGTGTAGGAAATGGGTTAGGGTCAGACGTTAATTATAAGCGAGCTGTGACTTCTGAACGTTACATAACTGTATGTACTGGTCACCGAGGTCTGGCCTTGGCAAAGGGCATGCATCAAAGGTCCAGTTCACAGTGACTCGTACTTTATCCTTAATGAAGAACTCAACTCCCTCTTTAATACATATAGAAACATTATACAGACTTGGCGTCCTTGTTTTACGTCTAAACGTTATAGTATCTGATACTAGGTTTTCCTTTAAGTTTAAGTATGAGTTTGCAAATAAGAAAATGAACATAACTGTTACGATGGGATGATAAAATACTTCAGGAATAGCTTAGGAGAGACAGAGAGAAAGAGAGAGATAGGAGAGGGAGAGAGAAAGAGAGAGAGAGAGAGGGGGGAGAGACAGAGAGAGAGAGAGAGAGAGAAGGCTACAGGCACATACGTTGGCCGTTCTGACTATACCAACGTGTAAATAAAGTTGCATCGGGATAGGTTAGAGTCCAATTGTTCTGTTTATAGAACAGAAACTTCTAGAACTTTGCACCTGTCACGCTGGTCTGGCCTTAAGCTGGTGGCAGCGGGCAAGGTCCAACATACAGACGCACAAACTCTAGCGTTCATCACTGAGCTTTCAAATTTTGGTCGCTCGAGTCTAGTGCTAAGAGGGTGTACCACTATTACTAAAAGGAATTGGCTTGAATACTACCCAATAAGATATCACTGCTATAAAGCTCGTTTTTTTAGATTGCCTAGCTTGCTTCTTATCACAAGTATTTTCCAGGAGAATCTATGACAAACAGGTGTCGCCTATCTACTTATCATGTTAACTAACGGCTATTATTAGTATTAACTAGATCTGGTACCATCGAGTCATCAGATCGCTGCTACTGTAGAATGTACCAAGAAGCGCAAAGGTCATTTCTGAACTGACCTTACGGACAGCCTTGTTTCAGCTAGACAACCAAACTATGGTGCCCTGCTGTATCTGGAACCGTGCCTATGTAGTGTTATGTCTGTATGGGTTCGGGTTAGGACCAGGCACGGTTCTGGATGGTTTCAAAGAACGTAGATTTGGCCAGGCCAGTCACGGTTCTGGATGCGGGAGTGCTATCCAGAACTGTGAGAGATTTCAAGACTTTGTCACTATTCAATTCAAAGGCTCTATGATCTATCTAGGTCCTTGACTATTCTTAGCCCATATGCACAGGAATAAAATCTTTCATCATTAATTGTAATCGAATGAAACAACTGATGACACAGCTTTTACGCTTCCCTATAATGGCAAAGATGTACATCAATAGATGTTGCCTCACATTTGCGCAATTCACCTGACTCATCATGATAGTTCATATCGTACTATCTTCAAACGTATCTGAAGAAGGGCACTTCTATTGTGCTAGTAGTTTCTTAGGAGTTTTTACTAGTTATCAACCAAGGATTGAGGTGTTAAAGAATTCATTCTTTCCTAGAACTATCGCAGAGTGGAACTCACTGTCACCAAGTACAGTAGGGGCACTGTCAATAGATAGCTTTAAACAATGTCTAGAGCTAGAAGTTCAAGGGTTAGGTGTAACAAGTCGATCGGTGTAATATAGCCAGCTGCCGCCGCGCCGCGTGCCTGCGAAGCTGGTGTGTTACGCCGAAAGGCGGTTATACCGGCTATACAGATACAGACAGATACAGATACTAGTAGTTTCTTCTTAAGAGTTATCAGTAGTTCTATATGTACTAATTGTCTGTTTTTATACCAAATGTTTCTTCTGTTCCTGCAATTAGCCCTCGGGCATGAATTTGCAATAAAACCATTATTGTATAATACAGAACGTATAAAGAACGTATAAAGCTTTTTGCACACACACACATATCGGCGTTACCAATCTAACCGTTACATAAGCTGGGAGGAAACTTTGGAACTCTCGACCTTCTGGTGTCAAACGCTGCGGCCTTCACAGAACAGTACTCCTATAGTCTTGAGAAGATAAATTCGTTTTTAAACATTTGAACCCGAGCAGGTCATTTTTTTGCCTTGTTTTAGATTCAAAGATGGATTATAGTCATTAATTCTTACTACAAGCGAACAAAAGAACAAACTGAAACAGTGTGCGTTGTTTTTGTCTGTAAAATGACTAATAGTGTTGCGTAGCTGGCCTTTTAACATTCTAGCATTAATATAGGTATTTTATTTGCAAACAACATTTCCCAAAAAGTATTTTTCAGTTTTAAAATCAATGTCAGAAATATGTTCGATCTGTGTCTCTGTGTAGGACCGTATTGGTTGACTAGGCCTTATATATACCAAGATCAAAGCAGGTTCAGAAAATATTTTGTTGAAAGGCAGCAGAAATATGAAATACCCGCACGCAACAGTTCGCATGTTCCAGAAAATCATTAGGATGTCGTCATGCCAAATCACACTTCCTGTCTTTGTCTCCATGTCGTTTTAAAGTACCACAACTTGACATGTACCGACAGATCTGTTTTGAAAATTGTCCAACGCGAAGCCGGATACATACATGTACGTTTTTTTGGATGAACTTTTGTTACATAACGCGTTACATGAAAAGTAACAAAAATAGCGCTTTATGCACATGTGACAGTTTTGCACAACTGAAGGAAAAGTTAAGGGTTCTTTTCACAAAATTTCAGTCCAGCTGACGACAGACCGATTTGAGAATTGTTTGCTGCATAAACCAGATTCATTATGACAGCATTTTTATATGTATACATTAGGATTGAACTTTTGCCACATACATAATAGGCAGCAAAAATAGCGCGTTATGTGACAGTTTTACACAACTGTTACAAGAGAGTGTTGAGTTGTTTTCCAGTCCAGCTAACGATCGAAAGACCCGGCTTGAGAACTGTTCAATGCATATCCAGAAAGATACATGCACTTTGACAGCGTTTCTTGTACCTATGCTATGTATACCTTTAACCTATAAGTAAATTGAACTTTTGACACATACATAATACGAAGTAGCAAAAATAGCGCGTTATGTGACAGTTTTATACAACTGTTACAGGGTTGTTACAGGGTTGTTTTTCAGTCCGGGTGTTCACGTGAACAGTGAGTGATCGCGCACGTTGGACTTTAGACCCGAGTAAAAAAAGCGGAACAACAGTTGGGAACTTTCGCGTGGTTTTTGCGGTTTTCCGCTGCTGGGAGACCGAATTCCTCGCGCGCGTGCTGAACTCAACCTTCCACTTTTCCTCACCCCTCCTTCAATAAATCAAACATGCGACTAGTCAGCATTATTTCTTAAACGTGTGTAAAGTACAATTTGTAGCGCTGTCTCATAGAAATCTACAATAACAGGTGTTGCCCTGCTCAATGCAATAACACAGGCCGTGGTCAGTGGTTGTTTTTCTGGCCTCGGCGTATCACTGATAAGGGGAAACAGCTTAGCCAGGCAAAACTGTTTGCTGTGCCGAGATTGCGATCAGCTGGCTATATCCAGAACTAGGAGGGGGCAGGTAGCCTCCAACAGACTCATTTGCAGGCGAATTAAATAGCAGAAATCGCCCTAAAAAAGGATTTAAATTTGCCAGAGGAGTTGGCCGGCTATAGAGGATGTATTTGCTTACACGGAGCTTTGACTGGCCAACTCCTCTGGCTAATTAAATACCCGTTTTTAGGCTAATTTCTACAATCTATTCCGCCTGAAAAGGAGCCTGGTGGAGACTAAGCCCAGAGAGGGGGCAGGAGGCACGGACTCTGGACCTGAGCGCTGATTGGTCAGCAGGTGACGTCACTGGCGCGTATATAAGACCGGGTACGGCCGGGTGGAAGCTTCACGTCTAAACGTCTCCCGAGGAGCGAACGTTACCGAACAGATCCGGCCAGCAACAAGCAACATGAAGGCCGTTATACTTCTCCTCGTCATCGCGAGCGCACTGGCCGGTGAGTTTATATATACTAAATACTATTGTAAAACTTCATAGATGGATTCATCTGTATTATATTCTAATACCTGAAGCTTCGTGGCTATGTCCAAGTCTTGTTGAAGTTCATAGATTACTTAATAGATGCTTCGTAGATCTTGAAGCTGTATCTGCAAAAGTAGAATACCGATACATTTTGGTTTAATACACCTACATACTAGCTTTGTGCATCTGTACTATGTGTTAGTACTTGTACTTGCTATAGCTATATAAAGTCCTATAAAGTGAAATTTGCCCATAGCATTCGAAGCTGCATTTGCAGAAGTAGATGGAAATTGACAGAAGGGTGATGGTGAGATCTGTTATGCATTTCTGACTTTGTGGATGATTATCACGTGCCTAAAAGCTAGGTAGCGGCAAAATCTGCAGTCCGAATGATTTTTGCTCTGTCCTGGTTTGGTGATGGTTCCCTCTGTCAGAAAAATTGCTGACCAGGGTGTTTCCTTTGTTTTGTAACCGAGAAGAGAAAGAGGAACAACCAAAAGCGTTTTCATCTGCAATTGCCGAAGATCAAGCAATTTTTTTCAAGATCAATACATAGTAAACTGTACAAAACTTTAAAGTCGATCTACCGGGACCGTTTTCGTGACCCACATATTGAATCCTTTGTTCCCGTGGAAGTTTTTTTTTGGCCTGCCAGCCCGCTGGTATTGCATCATGTCTTGGCAGAGGTTTTCTCCAGAGACTTCTACAGCTGAAACCGGAACGCTATCACTCATCCGGCTCAGCGGGCGGTGTCTGGGACATGTCAGAGCCATGAGTTGGAAACACTAGTAGCCTCTACCAGGCTTCGGGAGGCGGCTGGAAGGAGTAGAAATTGGCCAAATAGAGCGATAACATGCCAGGGGAGTTGGTCCGCGCTAGAGTGCGGCAAACTCTACTCTGTAGCGGACCAACTCCACTGACAAGTTATCTCTCTCTAGTTGGCCAGTTGCCAGTCTTTCCAGCCGCCTCCCGAAGCCTGGTATAGGCTAAGCTTTAAACACATTCGACTCATTCGGTCCATTAATGAGTTAGCGCTTCACAGTATATTAAACCATTACTTTGTCAGCTGAATGCCAAGTGAAAAGGATTGGTTACAATTCTCTGCGTAATCCAGTAGTTAGTGACCTTACATCTGGATTTTGGACCAAGCGGTTGCGAGCTCCAATTCCAGCTGTTGTCGCGCACTCTAAAGGTTTGCAGTCCTCAGGACGGGACTTTAAGCAGTGGTCCACTGTTCAGTGAAACAATGACTACAATATCGTATCCTTTCTAACAATACGATTTCCTTTTGTTCCCCCCCAGTGCCAGTTTACAAACCCGAACGTCAAAAGAACGAGAAACCCGGACGCATCTCCAAACCGACCCAATGCACAGGTAAGACAAGATTTCTTTCTTATTTTTCAGTCTACATCTTTCCATAGAATTTGATGCCTGTAGTCAAGACAGGAAGCAAATGAATGGCGTTACATTATTGGGAAGAGTGGTAGAACATAGGAGCTTGTTTGTTGTCTTATGTAAACGTATGGCCACGTATGTTACCACTTGCTGACTGCAATACCCTAAGGAATTATGACATCGAGAAGATAACAGAGGTCCAAGTTGTTCTGTGTCGTTGATAGACAGATAGACTGTGGATTTATCCATTTTCATTGTCTTTAACATTCCATCTAAGGCCTGTGAAGGAAATTAACCTTAGAACTGCTACCACAGAGTCAATTTCTAAGTCCTTGATCCGCTCGGGTCTTGAGTAAATATCATAGCTACTTCTCCTTCTGCGGGGGGTTGGGGGTCCTTAGAACCTTGGCCGCACGGGTGGGAGGATGATATAAGACACAGGCAGACAGGTAGACATCTAAATCCCTTACACAAGCAGATATTAAACATGCCTGATCTGTTTGTGCAGTGATTTTGGTTGCGGTGTGAGGATATAGGGTGGGTGGGGAAGGGGGCTGGGCAGTAAGATAAGATAAAGTGGATAACGGTTTCGCAAGGATCGGCCTTGTTACATCAAGAAGGTGGTTACACCATAACTCTCTAAAGTAGTGACATGCGAAAAAACAAGCATCACAATGTAAAAAGCTGCCCATTCTTTTACTCGTCTCTTTTCATTGCATTTTGTTGTAGCCTACGGAATCCATAGAGGGTCTAAGATTCAAACGTCGTCAGCAGCATTTGTGTAACCAAATTTGTTTCTTCAAATAAAAAAAAAGCGCGCAAAACTTAGATAGCGTCGTCGTGCCTCCGTTGTACAGAGTTACCGCGTTGCTGTTGCAAAGTCCACTTTGGTGGGAAAGTTGCTAAATCAGAGCACGCTTCAAACATTTCACAACCTCTGCACCCACTTGCGTAACCCACAGCCCAAACCTACCCAAAGCCTGTGCGGGCCCATCCCTGTTGCCATAGCAACATCTGCTGACTCCAGCTTTTTATAGGGAGGGGGCAACTGTGGTCAGTAGAGGGTTAACCGCAAGAGTGACACACTGCCTGATTTCGTGATAAATTATATTGAGCTTTAGTCAACATGATCTTTTTAACCAGCTGTAGATAGGCGTACTGTAGGATTTGGGTACAAAGTACGGAGTGCTGAAAGACTTCGCCCTGTCGTTAATTGTTACGTATGGGGGCAGGAATGCGGAGTCGGACCTTGTACCCTATACCGCTATTCACACGGGGACTTGTTTTTCAGTCATACCTGTCACTCTATCGAATTTATTGACTTGTTTGTCACACAGAGCGAGCGGGGGCTATTGGGAACGATTTAGGAGCTTGTCACAGTGAACTCGTTCTTAATCTATATACAGTGAGAACTGCCCAAGGTCAAATTAAGAAAACCCTTCAGAAGACAAAAAAAACTTCTCTTTGGACAGGTGGTCGCTATAGACAGGATTCTTACTGCTTGTGTCAGTGGGAAAAAGTGGTGAAATTAGCCAGGTGGTCCTTTTGTAGAGGTGGTCACTTGCACAGGTTTGACTGTATGTGAGAAACGCTATAAAAGAACGCTCGACATTTGGAAAAAAAAGTTTTGCTAACCAGATTGGTTTAAACCATTTCTGTAATCATGATTATTTTCTGACGTTAATTTTTGTTGGCTGCAACGAAACCTCTAAAATATAAAATACAGAACACAGGACAAAGTTTGCCTGTCCACTTGAGAACTGTGCAAAACTCAGAGTTCCTGTTCAGGCGTTTTCGTTGACTCAGTTAGAATGTGCATCTCGACCTTTGTATGTGGATACTAGGGGTGGAGTATATAAAACTTTGGACTCCATTCCTAACTTCGCCGCTAAAAATAGCCGCACAATCTTCTAACGTAACGACAGTGCCTCCTGGCGGAAACCATTGGCATAACAACTATGCTTTTAGGCCTCTGATCTTTGAACGAAACGTTGGCCCGAGTGTTCTATTATATAAGGGCAGACCACAAAGAAGAAGGACTCGATTCGCTACGGTCAGAAAGGAATCTACGGGAGCTAAGAAACCTAGGAAAGAATAGGAATCGGTAAGGAGGGTTGAAGAAAAACTGATTGCGGCTGAAGCCTGTCCAAACTACTATAGCAACAGAACACAGTGAGTGATGATAAGATATCTACTGGCACTTTACACGACTTCCCTCCCTGTACGGTGAAGTGACGCCCACCTAGCCTCTTCGGCTAATCTGTCAAAATGTGTGCCAAAATAAAAATTGAGTTTTTGCCCACTGATTTTCCCCCAGACGACATCCGCTTCCGTGAGGGCCAGCGGTATGAGTATAAGTACCAGGGCGAGGCCGTGTCCGGCATTGTGGGCACATCCGAGCAGCGGTCTGGACTCAAGGTCGCCTGCAGCGTGGTCATCGAGGTGAGCAACAGGGCTTCAAACTATTACTTATATCTTATATACTCTTATATACTTGACATAAAGCTTTATTTTCATCAATGGAAGTTAGGCCTTCAGCACTTCTTCTTCAATCCCAAAGAAACAGGAGTTTCCCTGGCCAGAAAGATTTGTTCATATCTTCACATCAAGACTTTCGGCCTTTAATCCATCAGTCCCTTCTTCTTCAGTCCCAAAGCTTCAAGAAAGTTAAAACCAGACTTCACATGTTATCTTAAAGCATTATTTTCATTCAAGAAAGTCAGGACTACAAACCATCAAGCCCATCCTCGCTACCACATTTCAAGAACCTTAAAAAATTGTTCATCTATATCAATATCTGGCCTCAAAGATTTTCTACCGGCAATAAATCAACTAAAAAACTGCCCGCTGAGTGTGAACTGATCATGGCTACCTTGAGTTGTTTTCTATTTATCTATTTACATGTTTGTTTGTTTGTTTGTAGGTGCCCGCTGAGTGCGAGTTGATCATGACCACCCCGGAGTGCGTGCTGCGCGAGGCCGACCAGACCCGCGGAGCCCTGAAGTTCCGCCGCACGCGCAACTCCGAGAAGTTCAGCCGCCTCATGGCCAAGTACCCCGTCTACTTCCAGATGAACAACGGCAAGGTGAGATCTTCATAACTGTCTGTTCTTTACAAAATAAAGCAAACAAAATAAATAAACAAGTACCCCGTCTACTTCCAGATGAACAACGGCAAGGTACGGGCATATTTTCCCTTTGTTGTTTACTAAGGCAACAAAAACAGGAAAATAAGCAAAATAAGAAAATACCCCGTCTACTTGGGCAAAATAACGACCTAAGTTACAAATACAAACACAAAGTTACTATCTAAACAGTTTGTTTCCTGATGAGCCTCAGGAAAGATACAGCAAAGAAATGAGTTTGACGTTACTAACAAAAACTAACACACAAGTTGAAACTTGACTGTAACCTACCATAAAGATATGTGGTTCAACCTTTTCCTCAACTATTGAGACTGTATGTCTAGGGCATTTCACCACATTAAGCCATATTCTATTGATTGTGACTAGTCATTAAAAGACTATGGCTCCATATGAACAAGAGTACCCACATTCACAGTGCCTGATCATGACTTTGAAGACATTTGGTTGATTTGATTTCTCCCCCTCTTTAGGTTGAGACGGTGGTCTCCTACGAGAACGAGCCTCTCGCCATCGTGAACATCAAGAAGGGAATCCTGTCCTCCCTGCAGCTGCAGAACGTGGAGCCTGAGCCCATGGAGCAGACTCTGGAGGAGGTGAAGCACTTTGTTTGCTTCTCTTCATTTATTTTTCCTAACTGTTTAAATGCCTGTACAGGTCTGTACAGCACACAGAAGCTGTGTAAGATCAGACTGTTTGAGCCACTCACACCGAGAAGAAACCCTACTCTTTCCAATCAGTGTAATAGAATCTTCAAATGTGTTCACGCTTTACCTAGCTTGCCATAGCATAAGCCTGACTGCTGGCTATCTAAAGTATCCTAGCTCAATACAGGTAGCTTACCGTTCCCAAGCCTTACCACAAAATAGTTTGACGTGCATGGAATCTGATGCTGGCAAAGCCTTAGAATGCCCTGGCCCCTAGTTTTTGTGTGCCACAGTCCAGAATCTGGTTTAATCACTGTACAATGAAGTTTAACCCTTGTACACCCATGCTCCCCCCATGCAGCGTGATGTCCACGGTGTTTGCCCGTCCGTCTACACCGTCGAGTCCCAGAAGCGCGGCAAGGTGTTCACCGTGTCCGTGCTGAAGGACCTGACCCGCTGCACCAAGCCCCAGAAGACCAGCATGCAGGGCAGCCCTCTGGCTATCCTCAAGAACCTGGTACGTTCCTATGTCTATGTGATGATCAAGAACTTAGTACGTTTCTCTTTCTTTATTTATTGGCAATGACAACAAATCAATACACAGGTTATCAAGGCAGTGGTGACTGGTATTAGATAACAATCTCTAGATATAGCAAACCAAGGACTACCACCATATGCACCTTTTAACTACTCTAACCAAACCCCAGAAATCCAGTATACAGGGCAGCCCTCTGGCTATCCTCATGCAAGAACCTGGTACGCTTATATGTCTGTGTATGTATCAATTGGATGCGATTCTCTATATGTAGCACACGATGGATTATCACCAGAAGTAGCTCTTTACTAGCGTAACCAAGCCTCAGAAATCCTGTATACAGGGAAGTCCTCTGGCTATCCTTACGACTCTTGTACATTTTGGTATCTAAGTATGTAGCGCAACCATCATCATCACTATATAGTACAACAAAGACTACCACCATATTGAGCACTCTACTGGTATAGCCATGCAAACCCTAGAAATCCTAAACTCATCAAGACATTACCAATCGAAGATGCAACCATCCAGAGAGGAAACCTGCAGATTTTCACAAAAGGATGTATTTCGTAACTGACATCGTCTCCCGTTCTTCCAGACCCTGGCCGCACATTTGCATAACGTGGCGTGGCTCTTCCCTCAACGTTGAAAACCTGGCATTTGCAAAGAAATTTAGTAATACGTATTTCTTTTGGGACTTTTTTCTGTAGACCCTGGCCGCCGACTACCTGCTGAACTCCACCCAGCGCTGCCGCTTCGACCTGGACGGTAAGAAGCAGATCAAGGGATCCAGCTGTGCCGAGGTCCACACCTACAGGTATGTTATGTACCATGTAATCTGTATCTTCTTCTGGGGTCTTATAACAAGAGCAAGAATTTTATGTGCTTGCAAGTTCATGCCCGAGGGCTAAGTGCGACATGGAACAATGTAGAGGAAGAGTATATACACACAGTGAAAGCTAACAATGGTGACAAGTGGAACAAGTTAAGTGACCATTCTGAGAACTGCTACTGAAAACAATCTGATCTTTTGTGTTTGACTCCTTTTCTTAGAACGAGTGGAGCCCACATGGGCTAAGCGCATATAGCACAGGACACGTCAATAAAGCTTCATTCGTTCATCATTCATTCATTCTTTCCTGCAGGCCTTTCTCCTACAACAGCAGCCGCGCCGGTGCCCAGACTAACGTTACCCAGGAGATCGGGCTGGACAAGGTTACCCGCCTCAACAGCCGCCGTTATGAAGTCAGCCTGGGTAAGCAACACTTTCACTAAGCACTTTCACTCTTTATTTCTCGAAGAATAAAAGACCTGTGTTGCATCCTCCTGCCTGAATGGCCCAAATTCAAGTCATTGTAACAGAAAACCAACACGACAAGTTAATAGACAGCTACTGTGCAAGATAGGGGTGCATGTAAAACGCAGAGGTAAAAGACAAGGCTTGTTGTACATAGTTGGTGAGAGATAACAAAAGCTATCATACTGGTTACAGGTTGCTATTCTTTCATTCATTTGTCAATCCATAAAAGAACTGGTACCTAACCCAGATGTGGATACAGTACAGACTCTGCCAGTCCCAATCACCCAAAAGATCAGGATACAGTAAAGATGGCTTTTCTCAGCCATCGTTATTCTTGGTCCAAACAACTAAAAACCAACTCTTATTTTACCCCCACAGCTAACAGGAAGGTTATCGACATCGTGTACGAGTTTGAGGAATTCCAGGTCCCCAGTAACAAGGTGCCTACCTTTATTTGTGTTCATATTTTGTTTGGATTCTGTTATCTGTACCTTTGATTCTCTTTTGCTTATGTATAATTTATTGAAATGGTGTTGTATAAGCCCACACGGGCTGGGCGCGGGAAAGTGCACGACACGAAAATAAAGTCTCATTCATTCATTCATTCATTCATTCATTCATTCATTCATTCATTCATTCATTCATTCATTCATTCATTCATTCATTCATTCATTCATTCATTCATTCATTCATTCATTCATTCATTCATTCACTCAACAAGTCTGCTGTCGGCGCCCTGGAGGCCCTGTACCGCCTGTCTAACGCCACCATCAACGAGACCAGCCTGGAGGCTCCCCGCGCCTTCGCCGACTTCGTCTCCGCCCTGCGCGTGCTCGACAACCAGACTCTCAGCCAGGTTCTGCCCGAGATGCTCGCCTCTAAGGCTAGGTATGAGAATCTTCAGCTTTTACTCAACTATCCGTTTCTGTATCTGTATCTGTATAGCCGGTATAACCGCCTTTCGGCGTAACACACCAGCTTCGCAGGCACGCGGCGCGGCGGCAGCTGGCTATATTACACCGATCGACTTGTTACACCTAACCCTTGAACTTCTAGCTCTAGACATTGTTTAAAGCTATCTATTGACAATGCCCCCACTGTATGCCCCCGTTTATCATACATTGTAGAAAGGGGACGTTTTAGTCTCTATATTCAGGTCAGCTGAGTAGCTGTTTCCGAATCCCTTAAAGTTAGATACTGGCTTCTAGGTCTAGGTCTAGGTGAGAAGAACTCGTCTAAAATTACTTATCTACGAAGCTCATATTAGATTGCAAGGGGGCATCCTATTGTATATGATTGTATTGTTTTCAAGGCTAGGTAAATAGGTAAAAAGAACTTATCTATCAAGCTTAGGTGGGAAGGCTTAGGGGGCGTCCTATTGCACATGCTTTGCTTCCAAGGCTAGGTAAGAAGAACTCATCTATCTATCAATGCCATTGGAATAAGACACCTTAAAGTGTTTGCTGTCTAGAAAAAAACTCCCTTTTACTGGTCAGGCTATTCCTTGTATCTTTAAATAAACATTCAACTGCATTCATAGAATTACAAAGAGACTATAGGATGTCGAATATACTAGGGAGAGACTGGTGGTCTTCAGAGAAGGACATAAAACACGAAACTATCTATTGAAGCTAGTGAACGCCCATTCTGACACAAAACCTTTCCCTATTCTCCCCAGTGACCAGGTAATGCAGGCCCTGCCCCAGTGTGCCAATACTAGTAACACCTCCCCTCCTTCTGTCCCTATGTTATGTAGTGACCAGGTGATGCAGGCCCTGCCCCAGTGCGGAACCTGCCCCTGTGGCGTTGCCAATAACACCCCCTCCTTTTACCCCCCTCCAGTGACCAGGTGATGCAGGCCCTGCCCCAGTGCGGCACCCGTCCCTGCTTCTCCGCTATCCGCCAGCTGGTGACCTCCGGGTTCCTGCCCAAGGCTGTTGCCGAGACCGCCGTCTACGCCATGGCCTTCCTGCCCTACCCCAACGTCGACGCCATCAACGAGACCCTGAGGGTCGCTCAGTACAACAAGAGCCGCCCCGCCATCCTGGCTCTCAGCTCCCTGGTCTACAGGTGAGGGAAATCTCAACTTTAAGAATATTTCAGTTAGGTACTACTTAGATACCGCTTACAACCTCTCACACTTAAGTTCTGGGTCTCAGCCCCTGGTCTACAAGTGAGGAAAGTTTCCACATACTCCAGTAATAGGATATTTCACTGAAGTATCAGATACATCAATAGCTGAGAAGTAACGAGGACGCTAACTAACTAACCGACCAACCATCTAACCAACTACGAACCAACTAACCATTCAACACCCCAACCATCATCAGACATCCTTTTTTTTAGGTCAAATCAGACAAGCCTGCATGGTGAATAGTAATGCTAAAACTTGACGTACGTACTGACCATGATGTCCATTTGCCTCCCATAGGTACACCCAGAACAACATGACCGAGCCGTTCCCGCAGCCCGTTGTTGAGGCTATTGAGTACCTCCGCAGCATGATCGGGTTCGACTGCACTCCCCTCACCAACAAGGCCTTCAACCCCGTCGTCTCTGCTGAGGAGCAGGAGCAGATCCTGCTGGCCCTTAAGGTAGGCACTGCTTCTGCCTGTTTGTTTGTTTGTTACCTACTGCTCCTTGAGTGTCAAGGGGCAGTAGTGTTGTCAATTCGGTAACTAGCTCTCTCTCCGTTAGTTGCATCTTGCTACCTTCAAGTTGTCACTTGTACTTGGTCCTTAAGGTAGGCGCTGGTTCTACCTGTTTGTTCATTGAGTCTCTATATGCAGCAGTGTTGTAGACTTAACCAACCCTCTCTAGTCCATGGACATAATACTTGTATCAATAAATACAAGTACTTAATTGTGTCTTACAAACGTGTCAATTCTACTGGCCCTTAAGGTACTGTAGGCGCTGCTTCTGCCGCTCAGATTCCAAAGGCAGAAGTGTTGTAGACTCTCTCTAGATCATTGTCTCACTCTACAGATTTTGAACATAGTAGTCAATTGTTTCTTGCCCTTGGACAAAATATCCTGCATCTAAAGCCGGTTCTATTCACCTCCAGGCTGTTGGCAACGTTGGCCAGGCCGTGCAGGTTCTGGACAAGACCGAGCGCCGCCAGCGTCTGAGGCTGGTCCCCACCCTGGAGCGCTGCATCAAGAACCAGCAGGTCCCCCGCAACATCACCCTGGCCGCCATCCAGGCCTTCCGCCGCATGGAGATCGACCAGGAGGTGAGAGGAACACCTTTTCGTTCTGAAGCAAAGTAGAACTGTAACGTTCAAGTAAAAAATTGGACTTAACCAAATTTTTGACTGGCCGACTCCAGTCTTTGTAGATTTCTACAGCCATTCTTTGACGAAGACGATAAAATACAACGCCGTTCTTTAGTTTTATCCTTGCAATAACCTTCTCAAGTCTGTACCTTCCACACTGTCTCAATTATCAAATTGTCGTCATTTTGTCTTACGCTCCACTCACCGATTTTTGAGACAGAATGCAACGCCTTTTCTAAGTTTGACACATAATTTTGTGACCAAAATATAGTCAAAAACTGCTAAAGTTTATACGCTAAGAACTTTTCTTACTCTATCATTCACCGTCTTCCCCATATCCTCCCAGATCCGTCAGCTGATGCTGGACATCGTGCGTGCCAAGACCGAGACCAAGCAGGAGGACTCCGAGAAGCGCATCGCCGCCTACCTGGTGCTGATGAAGAACGCCACACAGCGCGAGATCCGCAAGGTCGTGAAGGTGGTGATGTCCGAGCCCATCAAGCAGGTCCGCTCCTTCATCGCCTCCCACCTCCGCAACATCCTCACCACCGAGGAGCCCACCCTCCAGGAGTGAGTCTTTTTTTACTCATATAACTTTGAAATTCGGTCTGGGTAGAAATATTACCCCTATATAATGACCCTCCAGGAGTCTCACCTTTCTCTTAAGGGCCTGTTGTATCCAGAACCAAATCTACTCTCTTGAATATGTAGAGACTATCCAGAACCATGCCTGATCCTAACCCATTCAGGCATAAAACTAGAGACTCACAGTTGTGGATACGATAGGGACACATCACACTGCTTATGACAGAATGCTTTGGAGAATTGCCAAAATAACTTAAGAGATCAAAGTGGCTGTAATGATGGTAAAAATGACCAAGGCCTTGTGATGCTACATACGTACGCCCTAAATACAAAGAGTTCATTTGTGTTTCGTGGACGATTGCCATCTCTGAAGGCAAGATTATGACTTTTACTAAATCTTTTGGTAAATGAGTGAGTCTGCACCAACTCCAAGACCTCATCTGACGAATCTTGTGTGTGTTCTTTCCAGGCTGAAGCAGACCCTTGAGCAGGTGCTGAGGGAGGAGAGGGTTACCCTCCCCGAGCCCGAGGACTTCCGCAAGTACTCCCGCAGCTACGAGGTGTCCAAGGCTGTCCCCCTGCCCTTCCTGCAGGATCCCGTGGCCGCCCAGCTCCAGAGCGATGTCGTGATGGACCCCGTCAGCTACATGCCCCGCTCCGCTCTCACCAGGATGACCATCAACGTGCTCGGACAGTCCATCGACCTCTTCGAGGTAAATAAGACTCAAATAGGAAATTATGCTTCTTGAATGTTACTGTGATGTTCTGTCTATTTACGTACCTACTGGGGCGGTACATCGACCTTTTTAAGGCAAATTGTGCCTCCAGATGGCTCAAATGTAACGTTATGACACTCAATGACAATATGGGCCTCCGAAAACATGTTCTAGGTGACTAGGTGTCTATTCCCTTTGACATCTCTCATCAACATCACTGAAAGATAACTCTCCAAAGGTTAGACAAAAGTTGAATATTGAAATCGGAGGAGTCTGATCCTGATAGTTATTGGCACTTTGCCCCTCACGGCGTGTAAGTAAGAATGTTTGAAGGAAGGAAGCAAAGAAGGGGAAGAAGGAAAGATACGACAATAATGATAAACATCTCTCCCTTCAGGCCGGTATTGAGGCCCAGGGTATGGAGCACACCATGGAGGCTCTGTTCGGCCCCAGCGGCTACTTCCCCAACCAGGCCCTGAAGAAGATGCTGTCCCCCATCCCCTACGGCGACAAGGTCCTCAAGATGTTCGGCATGGACAACAAGGTACTTTTTTTGCGCAACCGGCATTGCCCTGAACGCTATCCGTAAATTCAGAAAAACACATATACAGATATAAAAATACATACTGAACCTGTTGCACATCGCTTCGCCATGCATGTAACACCTACACGTAGCTTCAGTGCATAGTGAACCAGTACCAGCTAGCACCAGTATCCAGTGAATCAATGGCAATTAACTTCAATGCACAGTGAACCAGTAACACCTAGCTTTAGTATACGGTGATTCAGTTAACGTTATGCAAATGAGTTGCCTTTTAGGTACCAATTTTGTTTTATGTACCACTTGAACGTTGTATTAAGTTCTTTATTCGATGTCTCCGGTATGACCTTTGATTTGACTTGGATTTATGTTTGTGTGACTTCTGTACAGGTGTCTCATAAGCTTAAGCCCATATGGTCTAGGCGACAATGCCGCAAGACACAATAATAAAAATACATTCATTCATTCATTCATTCACCAGGCCAAGCCCAAGTTCGAGACCCGCCAGACTCTGGACCGTAAGATCGTCGACGGTCTGAAGAAGCTGTCTGAAGATGTCAAGTTCAGGAAGGACGACCTGCTGGCCTCCTCCTACCTGCGTCTTCTCGGCACTGAGGTCTCTTTCATGTCCACTGAGGACCTGAAGGCCACCATTGCCACTGCTCTGGACGCCTACACAAACAACAAGAACATGATGAAGGTAAGGCCTGTGCCGCTACAAGCTCTTGATACTGTTTCTCCATTTCCTGTCGTGTAAGAATGTAGTCCATTTTAGAACGGTATGTGTTGGTCAGTCCATGACTTATTGCTGGCTTCGTGAATTTCCTATTAGGTATTGTTAGTTCAAATCCCTGAGCAAAGTCTCTTAGAGACTCAAGAAGCAAGATTGGTATTGAGTTCCTACTGCCAATAAAAGCCCATAAAAGCCCATTGCATGCATCTGAAATAATGAAAACATAGAGCCTACTCCTTTCTAAAAAAAGCCTACAGCTTGCTTTCAAAGCATGGTCCTTTTGTAATGCCATACGAATGCCAATCTAAAAGATGTTTGATTCTTCCATTGTACTTCTAGTCTAACCAAGAAAGTTTTGTTCAGACACACTGTAGATTTGGTCCACAAAATCTTAGACAGATTTCTGTTTTCCCCCTGCAGCTTCTGGACCCTCTGGCCGAAGGTATCGAGAGGAACTTCACCTCCTCCTACAAGTTCCTGGAAGCCTCCACCTGCATCCCCACCGCCATGGGTATCCCCCTGAACGTGTCCGCTAACGGAACCGCCACCACCAAGGTAAGACTATCGCCACTTTTCTGTTCCTGGTTGCCTACCACTAGAGGGGGGGGGGGGCACGGCAGACTAGTACTGCTAAGCAACTCACTTTGGTACTCTCAAGCCAGTTCAACTATATACTATATCACAAGTGCTATTCCTGCTCTGGACTGCAGAAATCTTGGTTTTAATAGTGTCGTTCAGGAGAGACCATGATTATATTTGTCCTAGCCGTAACTGTAATAAATTGTGAATATCGCTTTGGATTTTGCTCACTCATTCACTCAGTCCTGTAGCCGGTAGCCGTAGGAACATCCTGACAGCCTCACTCTAGTTGCTCGAGTAGCAGTTTTTTGTGTGTATCTTATTACCTGGATGTCCAAGCTTCATCGTCGCAATTATATGTTTTTAGCTGACCGTCGGCGGCAAGTTTGACGTTTGTTTGTTTATTATATTAGCTGACCGTCGGCGGCAAGTTTGACGTTTGTTTGTTTGTTTATTAGCTGACCGTCGGCGGCAAGTTTGACGTTTGTTTCTTTGTTTTGTTAGCTGACCGTCGGCGGCAAGTTTGACGTGAAGAGGATGTTCTACGCCCCGCGCTCCGCCGTGGTTGCCGGCTACCTCCGCCCCAGCGCGTCCGTCGAGATGGCCGCACGCATGATCATCTCTCTGCCCGAGTTCTCCGAGTGCGGCATCCAGGCCAACGCCACCGTCCACACCGCCACCCAGCTGGCCGGCAACATCACCCTGAAGGAGGGAGAGCTCAAGTTCAACATCGAGGCCCCCAAGGACATCGTCCCCATCTTCAACATGAGGTAAGGAATGGTCCAGCCTTTAAGATTGTTGATGAGACATAAAAGATGACAAGCAAAGAGGAGCTAAGGGTAACTTCGCTCTCATTCAAACATGATTACCCATCTTTAACATGAGGTGAGGAAGGAGTCATCCTTTAAGATTGTTTTGTAGATGAGACAACAAAGATAAAAAGATAAAGAGAAGCAACCCGAAAACACAACTCCGTTTTCATTCAAACATTACAAGCCCTCATCTTAAACATGGGGTGAGGAATCAGCCTTTTGACATCAGAAAAGAAAGACAAAAAAGGAGGGAAGCCAAAGCACCAAAGTTTTCATCTCAACTATCAAACTCAACTGGGGGCTTAACAACCTAAACTGGGGCTTGAACATTGTGGCTCTAGTTGTCTTACTGGGGATGTTGATTACCACACTTGATACTCAATGGCCGTTCTTCCCTCCGCAGCTACCAGCAGTTCCTGGTCCGTCCCGACGCTATTGAGTACATCCGTCCCGTGGAGCAGGACCGCGCCGTCCTGGTCAACTGCACCCCGTCCGTGCTGGGCCAGAAGGTCTGTTTGTTTGTTTGTTTATTTATCTATTTCAGGAGCCTCCAATTAGTGACGATACACCACTACTCTTCCTGGAGTCCTCTTCCATATATATATTAAATTCTACCCAAACTTTCACACATATACAAATGAAAAGAAAAGTACTCTCCTCTTAACATCCGAAAACCCACAAATTACAGAAAAAGTGGAATCTTCAAAAAAGAAGTCAATCCCAGTAGTTTTTACTGGTAGTTTCTTAGTAGTTATCAGTAGTTCTGTGTGTAATAATTATCTGTTTTTATACCAAATGTTTCCTCTGTTCATGCAATTAGCCCTCGGGCATGAATTTGCAATAAAACGTCTTTTTTTTCTGAAGGTGTGCCTGTCCCTGTCCTACTCGAACGCCAGCTACGTGCCCCTGGCTCCCTACTTCCCCATGACCGGAGACTGCAGCTTCAACATCACTCTGGTGCCCACCGATGAGTAAGTCTTCTTTTTTTATTAAAACATTTATTAACAAAACATGGTGACGGCACACTCAAGTTACACTAAAATAAAATAAAAAAATAAGTTACACTTATATTCATTCCGCCACCAACACACAAGACAATACATAATACGCAGGGCAAGCAAAGCGCTAATTAACATAGTATCAAAGGGTACAAGTCACCAATATTTTGAAAGACTGACAGGACTGACACACCAAAATATTACAAAAACCGGTTGGAATCTGCAAAACAAGTAACTCTTCTTAGAGTCATTTCGTAATGCAAACATGCATCAAGCCATAAGTCTAAGGTCCAGTTCTTGTCGTTATGCACAATTTGATTCATTTTGTTTACAAAAAGAGCAACGACGTCTAATCTATGACCAAACCCTTGTCCCTCCAGGATCCAGGCTTTCTCTGCCGCCATTAAGTACGACCAGGAGCGCGAGCCGATCCGCCGTCTGCGCCTGCCCAAGGAGAAGCGCGACCCCAGGAACTACATCGTCACCGATCTCTTCCGCATGGAGGTCGCCGCCCCAGGTGAGGAGGACAATTAAGGTTTCAACCAAGAAGCAGAAAATCAACATTAAGTTGTCTTAAATTTGCTGGCTGGATATCTACCAGTAAGAAGGACTCTTTAGATGCTAACATCAACATGATGATGTCCTAGATCTGGAAGCTCTAACAACAGTGGATAAATATTAAGCTCCAGTAAACAGAGAAAAACACAAAAGAAGCAGTGGGTAGTAACAGACAATAGAGGACCCAAAGTTCACTTCAAGAAACACAGGAAGCCGCAAAAACCCAGATACAGTACCATTGCTGTAGGAAAACGCGCCCAGACCATGATATAATATCTACACTCTAACACACACGTATCTTATTGTATGACCTACATCTTTTCATGTGTTAGTACGCGCGTGATTGTGCCAAAAACTAACATTGTTTTTTGTTGTTCCAGGCAAGTCCGCGAAGCGCAACATCACGTCGCTGCTGCAGGTGTTCCGTAACCAGACCCTGATGCAGTGGAACCTCACCATCCCTGACATCTACAACTTCACAGCCTACCTCGGCTTCCAGAACGAGACCGTTCCACAGGTGTACAACGGCTACGCCGTCAGCCTGAACCTGACCTACCGCGAGCACAAGAACGCCAGCTTCGTCATGCGCTACCGCAACGACACCAACCAGCACACTACTCAGGTAAATAGCCTTTTTAGATACCTATCAGAAAGACTACAGAGCCAAAGCAAACCCACAGATACAGATTAAATCAAAGTGTGGTAACATTACCTCCAGAGACAAACATTTGGTATGATGTTGGTTCGAAAGGCAAAACTATACTGCAAGACACTAGATGTTAAGGATTGATCATCCACCGTCCGTTTCTTGGGTCCTATAAGACTATAAGACTGGCGTTTACCCATACAAAAAATGCAACAAATACTTGCTTTTTGTGAAAGAACACCCCTCTACATGTAGTATAAGCGAAGAATGTCCGCCATTGGTTTAGGTTGTACTCATCTCGTCTTACTGTTTTCTACCTCCAGACCACCTTCAACATCCCGGAGCTGTGGTTCCACGTGTCCAACAACATGTCCCTGTTCTGGAACCCCTGGACCAGCCTGACCCAGTTCGACGCCCGCTCCAACAGCTCCGTGCGCCTGTGGACCGCCCGCGCCGACCACAACATGACCCTCGTCAACGCCGAGGACATCTTCCGCTCTGGCTTCAACTCCTCTGCTGAGATCGACCTCACTCCTCTCAGGGTGAGTTTTTTTTACTTTAATACTCATTATTCATCAGAAATAATGCTTTACATTTGGGACCGGATTGGTAGCAGTAACACCTAGCTTCAGTGACCAGTGCACCAGTCATAATTGCACTGAAGAGGGCAGACGGTCATCGAAGCATCGACTCTTGTTGCCAATGAAATAAACTTTGGCAAAAGACTTTGCTACTCAATCATTCACCAATCACGGCTGTTCAGACGTCAGTTGGGCATGGCACTAAATGAAAAATTAAGAAGAACAGAGACCCGAGAAGGGTGGGGAAAAAAGTGGTCGTCAAATCATCTGTGTTGCCTTGGCATGCTCTTTCTTACTAAGTATCTTTGAGTAATGAAAGTTTTTTCTGCCTTATCACAGACCATCGTGCCCCAGATCATCAAGAACATCACCCGCCAGCTGCCCAGGCAGGTTCAGCAGATCCGTGCCGTCCGTGACGTGCCCTACCTGAACGAGACCCTTCTGCTCGCCAACCAGACCGTCAGCCTCTTCAACCAGACCATCTGGAACACCACCTACATGCTCATGAACATGTCCCGCCCATACGTCCAGGTCAGACACTTCTACACATCAAAATCTTTTGACGATCCCTTTACAGATCAAAATCTTTAGGCGACTCTTCAAGCATACATTTCATCAACAAACCACTTCTCATTCCAAGTCCTTTCATCTATTCCTACAAGCTACATGTACTGTAAATATGAAAATATAATTATACTTGAATGACCCGTAGCCTCCTATCAATGTCATGACATTGCCATGTGCTGACCATTGTGTACTTTAGTGTATAGGCAATCTTATAATTATGACTCAACGTAGTTATGTATATGTCTATGTTCATATGTATGTGGAACCCGGACCAGCCACGGCTGCCAGGGCACCTATCATATTGCGAAGTCTGCAATTCTAATAAGTACATATTAAATACGTGCAGGTTGCCCTGCCCATGGTGCAGCGTGTGTACCCCACCGTTCTGAACACCACCGTGCCCTACACCAACTGGACCGTGGCTAACATCACCGAGTTCATCACTAACGCCACCGGCCAGGTCAACATCACTGAGGTGGGTTGATGAACAATATTTATTACGAGGTTGCAACATGTTCACTCTACTTCACTAGCTGACCATGTCTTCCATGTTGGTCTTTTAGTTTTAGACTTCCAAGAGGAATGAAACATCAAAGTGCAATATTGTAGCTCTGTGCTCAAATACACAAACAAATGAAGTCCTGACATTCACAGCTTTCTAGATCTAAAACAGTTACGCATAAAAAGATATCGCCAGCTTGCTCTACAGAATGTCCATTTCCATAGTAGTGTTTGAAATACTCGTTAATGGTGACACTAATTAGCTCTTTATGAACTCAAGTTTTTCAATGTAATTGGTAGATGGACTAAATATATGTCTATTCTGATGCTCAGGTCTACCAGAACTTCACCCAGCTGGCCATCGAGCTGTCCCAGAACGTCACCAAGTACGCCTACCAGTACTACAACCAGAGCGCGCTGTACGGCCAGGACTACCTGCAGCAGTACTACGTGCGTCTGCCCCAGCTGCTGACCAGGCACCGCACCAACGTGTCCGGCGAGGTCCAGTACCTGAAGAGCCAGGGCGTCCTCCTGGAGGTCTGTCACTAACATCTCATATAGCTCAACGCTGACTTGAACTCTACCAAAAGTTCGCACAATCCTTGCTGATGCACCCTACATTCAGGAACTAGTTTCCCCCTTCTAGATGTGACATTTCCAGCAGAGACACCAGACAAAAACTTCTACTGACCACCCTCAGAACGAGAACAAAACTATTTCAGAACAGTCCGATCGTCTATATGACCTAAAATTCTGTTAAACAAGCAGTACCAGTAATAGCAAAAGAGTACGCATGGTCATAGAACGCTGAAATTTGTATATATCCGATTGTAGGTTTTAAAATCACAACTTTTTAACGTTTAATGTGGTTATGTACTTTTAAGTGTATGTTTAAATATTGTGAAACACGCACTTCAGCCCATGGCTGCCATGTGTTTTTGAAGAATAAACCTTTCATTATTTTATTATAGGTCCGCATCCCCACCGTGCGTAACGTCACCGACCTCATGCTTAACTACACCAGCCTGCTCACCAACTACACCGCCGAGTTCATCGCCAACTACACCCCCGTGGTTCTGCCCAACATCACTCTGCCCAACATCACTTTCCCCAACATCACCCTGCCCCAGATCCCCGGCTACTTCAACACCCCCAACTTCACCGTCCCCTACCTGCAGTGGTACGTCCCCAAGATCAACGTCACCGTTCCCACCTTGAACGTGACCCTGTACACGGAGATGGCCATGAACGTGACCAACAAGACCCTGCAGTACGGCATCCAGTACGTCACTCCCTACGTGGAGAGCTACATCCCCAGCCAGTTCATCGCTAACTGGTACGTCGCCTGTTAGAATTGTATTTTAGTATACTTCATGTATCTAGCCCTGCTGTTTCTTCTTACATTGTACCAGTTACAGTTGTTACAGTTACGGTTTTGTTATGCCACCGTGTCAACCCTCCTCACACAGGTGTAGGGAATGGCACAGTTATCACACTCTGATAATCTGTATCTGTATTATCTGTACATGAATATGTACATGTATCTGTATCTGTACATGAGTCTGCATCTGTACATGAATCTGTGTCTGTACAATACAGTACATGAATGAATGAACTTTATTGCTCGACAGTTGTACATGGTACAATGCATGGCAACAGTGACAATGAGAACGATACAATCAAGTCTATTCTAAGAGACTACTAGCATTACTACAGGAATATGTACGTAAACGGCGTATGACATGATGAGTACTATGTATCTGTACATGACTCTGTATCTGTACATGAATCTGTATCTGTGCATGAATATGTATCTGTACATGAATCTGTATCTGTACATGAAGCTGTATCTGTACATGAAGCTGTATCTGTACATGAATATGTATCTGTACATGAATCTGTATCTGATCTCGACTGATTTCCACTGACCAGTTATGCTGCCCTGACCCCCATGGAGGTGATCCGCATCCCCGCCTTTGGTGAGCTGCGTGGTCTGTTCAACCTGAGCATGCCTCTGTACAACACCAGCACCGTGCTTAGCCTCAGGAACGAGACCGGCATGATCGCTGAGGTCAAGTCTGTGGCCAACAGCACCTTCGACTTCTACAACTACACTCTCCAGGGTAAGGACTTAGATGGCTCTGTTCTGTCTTTTGGTTGTAACTGTATCTGTAAGCTTAAACCTACCGACTTCTACAACTACACTCTCATGGGTGAGTACAACGTTTTAGAGAGCTGTTCTTTTGGTTGTAACTGTCTCTGCCTAAACATACTGACTTCAACAACTACAATCTCATGGGTGAGTACAGCGTCTTAGCGTCTTGAAGCTTTGTTCTCTCCATCGGTTGTGACTGTATCTGTAAGCCTAAACCTATTGCCTTCTACAACTACACTCTCAACTCTCAAGCTCAGTGTATGACAGCTCTGTTCTATCTTTTGGTTGTAACTTTATCAGCCTAAGCTTACAGCTACTGAAATACAATTCCCTGTTATGCGTAGGAAACAGCAAAGTTGAAGTTATTTTCAAACAGCAAAACACTTACTGGGACAAGTACGCAATTGGTCTTGTAGCAATGATCCATCCTTTCTTCTATCCACCCTACAAACCATTCAGCCATTCATAAAGCAGTACTATGTACCAAGGGCTTTTCATAACTCACGCCCTACCGTTGATTTTCACAGCCACCGGCAACACCTCCCTGTGTCTGATGACCCGCCGTCTGAACGTGTCCAGCACCTTCAACTTCACCCACCCTCTGGTGCGCTGCAATGCCACCCACAACAGCAGTGTGGCGCTGTGGGATCGTCTGAACGTCACCACCCGCACCTTTGCCGAGCTGAACACCACCTTCCCGCAGACCCGCATGAACCTCACCCACGCCGGTAAATGTTGTGATCTTTGAACTTGACAATCGACTGGGACATAGACCTTGAACTGCCTTCTCAGATGCTTTAATCCGGAATGGTTAGTATCGGTGTAATGTGGATGTGCTCAGTCTGGCTCAAGTCCAGTTAGAAAGAGAAGAAACGAAAGTCTTGGGTTTCTCAGTATATACTAGTCCTAATATTCAGATAAGGACTAGTATATACAGATAGTTGGAGGGGTGTCGAATGACTTTTCTTAATACCACAACAGGTAACTACAGCTTCTGGCTGACCAGCATGAACATCACCAACAACTTCACCGCCGCCGCCAACCTGAGCAGCCTGGCCATCGCGCGCGTTCAGCACAACTGCACCTACTTCGCTGACCTCACCAGCATCAACGCTACTACCAACTTCACCTTCAAGGCCCAGGTAAGTTACCCGCCACCTATCCACTTTACCTGCGCTATATGATACACTTTACGACTTGATTGGCAGCCCATTACTGGCCTTAACGTGTCTATAAGACACTAACAGAATCTTTGTTACTATGACCGTCTGAAGCATAAAGCAGCTTCTAATACATTAGATGTTAAGAGCAATGTCAAAACTGTAATACTAGATCAGTTTTATGAAGATCGTACTGTAAATTAGAAAAACGACAACTAGTCATACTCATCACTATCATTATCATGAGGCTGAGAACCAAGCTCTACCACTACGACATTATGATGATGGCAATCTATATCTTTATATTCTATATCATCACAAAAATGTTATTATCCTTAAACTAATTATTATCGTCATTATCATTACAATCAGGTTGAGAACATCACCAAGACCAGGTTCTACCACTACGCTAACGTGTCGTCCTGCCTGTACACCGGGCTGAACGCCACCCACAACCTGACCGCCTTCCTGAACGTGAGCCGCCTGGTGCAGGCCCGCGTCAGCCACGCCGTGAACTTCAGCGGAGACTACCTCAGCAGCAACCTGACCCACAACCTCACCATGGCCGGGAACGCTTCCCTGTGGTCCTACCCGATCGCTCAGGCTGAGCTCAGGCACACCCTGAACACCTCCACCAACTGGACCAACGCTAACACCACCTCCAACTTCCGCGGCTTCGTCAACGTCAGCATGGGCGCTCACGCCAGGTCGGTTTGTTCATCTTACCTCATTCATATACCATTCCTGTCCTTGGTGCTGAAAAGTTGGCTAAACATTCAGCACTATCTCTTTTTGGGTTGTCTTTTGTTTGTTTGTTTGTTTGTCATTTAATCGACTTGTTTGAGCCTTGGAAATGCTCAAATTTGGCATATGTACATACATCCTTACACATGTACACACATACAATACATTATTTGTACAGCAAAATATAACCATTTGCCTATGCTCTGTTTAGGATTGAGAACAACATGACTGTCCGTGCCTGTCTGCGCACATTCAACTACACCACCGACACGGCCGTGTACTGCAACTCCAGCTACCCGGAGATGCACCTGAACCTGACCCACAACTTCACCCACAACGTGGACCACTGGCAGTCCTGGAACACCACCATGAACACCACTGCCTTCTTCAGGTGGGAGATTCTTATTTCTATTTTGAAGATATTATTAATAGAAACTTTATTCGCAAAATCATGCCCGAAGGCTAATTGCTTTTACAATCAAGCATAATACTCATTACACAGTAAAAGGTAACAAATGTCTGGGGAAAAAACTTCTACTTCTACTACTACGCTAGTTATTGTGGGGTTCGACTTCTTCTTTGAAGGCAGTGGATATTGCTATGACCCGACATATTTCTATTTTAAATTCAAGTTCTTTGTTATTCAATGATAGAAAATGTGTTAATTCATCTCCAGTTGCTTTGAAAAGGGAGAAATATTCAAGACTCAGATTGGATAAATGTACTACATAGTAGTTCCTGATACTTTACGCTAACTTTTCATTCTATTGGATGTACTGAGTATTCAATACATGATGTAACATCATACTCGTAAGTATGCATTTAGCCCAATGGGCATGAACATGCAAAAAAGTCTTAAAAGATTTATTGTATTCAAGTATGAAGCTGAAGCTGAAGACCACTACTTGTGAATGTACCCCAATTCAGCCAAAAGTGTAGTCGCATGCTGATGTGACTTGAATGAATGTGATTGAATAAACCATTAAAACCATTCGTACTCCAGGCTGAACGAGACCCGTGTGCCCCTGATCTGGATGAACGTGACCGTGCCTGCTCTGTACGCCAACCTGACGCACAACATCACGGCCAACCTCAGAACCAGAACACTCATTCATTCACTCATTCACTCTTTCATTCATTTATTCATTCACTCATTCCAGGCTGAACGAGACCCGTGTGCCCCTGATCTGGGTGAACGTGACCGTGCCCGCTCTGTACGCCAACCTGACTCACAACATCACGGCCAACCTGACCCGCCAGAGCCAGAACATCACCATGAACATAACCGCTCAGGCTCAGCAGCTCAGGCTCACCCACAACTCCAGCCTCTGCAACACCGACCTCAGCAGCTGGGTCATCCACAACACCTCCGTGGTCGCCAACCTCACCTGGATCAACGTCACCGTGCCATTCTACAACACCAGGTAGGATTCTTTCCACAAATGTATACACACAACAAAACGCTACTCCTGGGAACTTTCGAGATACACTCTGTCTCTTCATCAACCAGATCAAGTCATATCTAGTCTTGGAGTTCTTTTATCTCGCAAAATCTCTACGTTCTACATCAGTCAATGACGAAAAGTAGTGGATGCTACTCCAAACGTCTGACAGTTTTCAAAACAAATCCAGTTGTTTCAGTAACGATTACCTGGATGCCTATAATTCATGGACGTAACAGGTAGGATTAGCCTTAGTCGGTCTTACACTAGCTTACACGTACACGAACTCTCACTAACACCGCTACGTCCACGAAACTTTGCCGAAACTTTTCCCAGTCCATGTTGCGAAGAAGTCGAGATATGTCCCGTACACCGTGAACCTAGACTAACCTGTTTTCCAGCACGGCCTGTAAAATAAGTACACCATTTTAGCCTATAGTTGCGATGTGGTTCCTTTTTGATCAATAAACTTTTCATTCCACTATTTTCCTCAGCGTGTGGGAGCTGATCGGTCTGCAGAACGTGTCCTCCCCCCGCCAGCTGCAGTATCTGAACATCAGCGGCGTCGCCAACTACACCAAGAGCCAGGAGAACTACACCCTGCCCATCCCCCTGCTGGCCAACCTCAGCACACCCAACATCACCATCCCCGTGGGGCTCCGCACTCCCGCCTTCAACATCTGCATCCCCTTCACAGGCTACAACATCACCGTGCCGTCTATTCAGGTGAATGAACGAATGGTTTATCTACATCATTAATGCATCCTACTTATCATTACAGATCATAAATTAGCAGCCTTTCAACAGCTGAAATGAAATATGATTACAACTAGAGAAGTAACATTTGCAAATACAAATGTATAATGTTTACCTTCGCATATGGCTGCTCTGTGAATTCTTACTCAAACACATTCATATATATATATCGTCAGACAGGAGTCTAAATCCCTCCTTCTATAAAATTGCAACATGATGAAACCCAACACTAGTTACCATGGTGACAGACGTCTGGTCCTGGTCACTGACCTTATTGGTTTGGAACGGAAGAAGGAGGAGAAGAAGAAGAAGCTGAGCAAAAGCATATGTTTTCCTTCGGTAAACATAAATATATACATAAGCTTAAAACAGTTCAAACTAAAACAGTTTGAACACTTACAGTGTGTTGGACATACTGCTTGTATGTGGTGCTAACCCTGTACTGTTGATTCCAGGTGATCCCTGAGTACATCTACGTGCCGTACCTGCTGAACGTGACCATGCCCAGGAGCATCCCGGCCTTCACCGTGCCCATGAACATCTCCATCCCCAGCCCAGGTAACTTTCCTGTACTTCATTTCATGTAACGTTAATTACTTCCAGGTACGGACGTACTGTTTGGGGTGGCATAGCTGTGGGGTTGTGTGTCTGTTTGTCATGATAGAGTAGGTTGAGAGCACGTGGGTGGGAGACGATTGACAGGCAGAATGACAGAAGGTCAAAAAGACACTGGAAATTGGTAGAACATCAGAATCTGCCTGGGGGCAAGCAAGATTTAATGGTCGACATTTGGTAATTAAGGAAGCCTACTTCTAAGAAGTCTGAAATTTGGGGGTACTGAACATTTTCCCGTTTAGTTTCTAGGCAGCATGCCCCTGAGAAGTGACAAATGACAATGGAAATATAATGTACCATTAAAAACTGTAAACATGCTAGAAACCTTGGGTTTCTGTAGTAGGCATCCTTCCATCTCGAGAGGTGATGGTAGCACTCTAGGACCGTGGATGTATGCAACGTCTAGTGTGGCTAACGATTTCCCGTTTTATTCCCCAGGCAACCTGACCTACAGCCTGAACGCCAGCTCTCCCATCCTGAACATGACCTACGGGTTCAACTGCACCCATGCCAGGCCCCAGTACAACCGCACTGTGCTCGGCTTCAGCGCACTCGGACAGGCCAACTCCACCATCGAGTACTTCAACTACACCTATGCCCGTCAGTATCTCTTTGTTTGAACTTTAGTTAGTCACAAGAAGCTCAAATATCGTTTTGAAGTCATGAGGAGGATAGACATAACAATGATAGAGACTATATCACAGATATCATTTACAAAAAGAAGTGACCATGCCTATGGATCGGATGGTCTCTTATTCCTACCAAGGGAGCTTAGCTGATAATGATATGTGACGCATTGCAATTAATGCTTTACACGCACAGGTACAAGAATACTTAGCCTAGTATCCTTCCAAGATACAGTGTCATGAATATAACTATAACCGCTATTATCATTCGATGTAGTATTATAACTGACAGATAATTTCTTTGTGTACAAGACCTTATGTACAAGAATACATTTAATACTTCCGTATTAATACTGTTTAATACTTAATAGTTTCCGACTACAATCCACAAAGCTTCAAAACAAAGGTCCACCGCCATCTCCTGACATAACTACACTATACTCAAGTACCTCTAGCTCTATGCCTAGAAGTGGCCAAAAAATAATTGGCCTTGCATTGAGCGACACCGTCAAAAAATACAGGCAATGACTAAAGGTTTTTGGGTTTGTGCCTTACGACAGAGCGCACCAACACCTCCCTGGAGTGGAACCTGACCCGCCCGTGGGAGTCCAAGATCAACGCCACGTTCTTCACGAACCTGACGCACCCCATGTACTACTGGCGTCAGAACTCCAGCATCCAGGCCGCCTTCCTGTCAGTCAACATCACCTCCAACACAAGCGCCGGCATCGAGGTATGAACAACTTTATTTATTTATTTATTTATTGGTTTGGCTGTTATAACCACACAGAGCCAGGGCAGCCCAACCAGTCTGTGGGTATTACAATTTAAAAAAAGTACTGTAACCCTACTGACAATGGAGCACAAGACATTATTACATGGATAGCGTAACAATCTATGACATTTTCCAGGTACATAAAGCATTGTACGACAAACCTCTCACAGAGGATATACTAAGAGATATAAGTTGCTGGCCATACAAGGTGTATAATGTATATTAAATCCAGAACCGTATCTATCTAGTTCTATGTCTGAATGGGTTAGGGTTAGGAGCAGGCACGGTTCTGATGGTTATTCAAATCGTGCTGATATATGTTGTAAAGAAGTAATAAAAATGACCATTACATTGTTAAGATCAAGTCCCAAATGTGTTGTTCAGATCAAGCCTCCTGAAATATGATGTACCAACTAAAACTGTCCTTTTTTGTTCAGATCGAGCCATACCCCAACTGGTACCTGCCCCTGCGCCTGGTGAACATCTCCACCCCAGTCATCAAGACCAACATGACTCACAACGCCAGCCTCACCTTCTACCAGCCGCTGCGTCTGGCCCTGCCCACAGTCAACGTGAGCTCCAACCAGAGCGTGTTCCTGCGCGTGCCGCCCATGAACTTCACCATGCCCTACATCAACGTCACCACGCCCAAGTTCTACGTCAAGCACAACTCCAGCTTCGTGGCCAACTGCCAGAACATCAACGTCACCAGCAACCAGACTCTGCTGTTCAAGGTAATTGCCTTTTTTTTTATTCGTTCTGCACATGAAAAAGGCATAGCTAAATGCAAGTATAAGAGAAAATGATAAAGAAACATTTATCAGGCTTATACTAGGTCCTCCCCCTAACGAATATACAACATCAACATGACAAGCAATCAGACTCTGCTGTTCAAGGTAGTTGTCTTCTTCTTTCACCTTACCTTATCTGCCTTTGGATACTTCAAAATGCAGGGATAGACTAACATGTGAGTTGTCAGATTTAGAAAACATCAAAGAAGCTTCAAGGGATGGCACTACGCTATGAAAGACCAGGCTAGTCAGAAGGTACTGGGATACAATGGCAAGTAGTTTTCTAAGTCAGTTTTAAACCAAAGTAGGGTGCTGTTAGATGCTATGGTGGAGCTAGCATTATTGTTCTTTCACTTTTGTTGTCTGGACAGCCAAAGCATTTCAGGACGTTCCACGAACCGTTCCAAACTAAAATCGTAACAAATTGTATTTCTACACAGGTGCGCCCCAGCAACCTGTCCCTGCCGTTCCTGAACGTGAGCAGCCCGGACATCTGCGCCTTCCACAACTCCAGCGTGTCCCTGAAGGTCCCCATCCTTCGCCTGGCCACCCCCAGCCTCAACGTCACCGTCAACCAGACCGTGTACGGCCGTCTGCCTCGCGCCAACATCTCCATGCCCTTCCTCAACATCACCACCGTGGAGATTGAGGCCGAGCACAACTCCCTGGTGAACGTGTCCACCCCTGAGTGCTGCCTCCTGGGCTTCTACGATCTGGCCTACCTGAACAAGTTCATCAGGCCGACAGTGAACATCACCGCTAACCAGACCTTTACCGCCATCATGCCTTCCTGCAACGCCTCCATGCCCTACATGAACATCAGCACCCCGTCCTTCGAGGTTTGTTTGTTTTATTCGCTCAAAATAATCAGAATAAGCAAAGGAGACATTTCAATATTGCATAAGAAATGTTAGGCAACCTGCAATTTTGCAGCCTGAAAAAATCTGGGCAAGAGTTCAATGGCGTCGGCATAGTATCATCAAGACCAATTATGTTAACTTTACTACTGACACTATGATATAGTAGTAATTTTGCATGAATTTGTCAAATTGCATGTAAAATGTTTGCCAACATGCAATTTTGTACATGCCATGATAGGTTCAAGTATTTCTGAATTGCAGAACAAAATTGTAAATTTCTACAATATTGTAGAATACTGAAAACATGAATTTTTACCACTGATTAATCACAAACAATATTACAGGTCCGCCACAACTCCACCGTGCTGGTGAACGAGTGGTCCGTCAACGTCACCTCCAACAGCAGCGCCCTCGTGCGGGTGCCCAGGAACAACATCACCTTCCCCGTGCTGCAGGTACATTTTTTTTAACGTTTTTATGCTGTAACTAAAAGATCTTAGTCTTACGAGCAGTAATATACTTCCCTGCAAACAAGTATTCTTAACCAAAGGAGTCAGAATTATGTGCAATATTATGTCTTTGTGAACGTTTTTAAATGACAATGACAATGAACTTTATTGCATGTTCACGCCCTACACGGGCCAAATGCACTTAAGTTAAATAACTTGGTAACAAGAATAGAAGAAGCAATTGTTACATTAAAACAAATTGTTACATTAAAACACATTGTCTGTAAATTGACTGCAATTCAGTGATATTTTCACTGCAATAGCTCAATAAAGATATCTTGAATCTTGAATCCAGTTCAACATCAGCACCCCCGAGATGCTGGCTAACGTGACCCACAACGCCACGGCCTTCGTCAGCCTGATGAACACCACCCTGTTCTGGAACCTTACCGCCCAGGCCGACCGTGTCCAGCTCAACCACACCGCCCGCCTGGAGAGCTGCTTCTGCACCTCCGTCAAGATCAGCACAAACACCAGCGCAAGGTAGTTAAATCCATAATATTCCATAAGTCGTTTGTCTGTTAATATGTCTTTAAGACATTTAAGGACTCTAGCCTGATGTTGTGTCTCATATACAACTTACAGTTATCAATTGCAGTATATAGTTAACTTACTGACCATTCATAATCAAGGCAATGGTTGTTATTATTATTGATTGCAATATTAATATTCCATAATGATTGTGCCGATTATTGCTTTATTCATTTCATCTTATAAAGACCTGGGTGGCCTCTTCAACAGTAAATTGTTGATTTCCAAGAGGGCCCAGGCTTCACCAAGTAAACATGGTAGTTTCCTTTCTAACGAACGATTTATTGGTTTTAATACAATGGCGTGGCAACAATGTGATTCTCAATAAAGTGTAATATCTTGTTGTACCCTGTAGGTGCGAGATCCCGTCCATCAACATCACTGTTCCCTACACCGGCTTCAACTTCTCCACTCCCGCCTTCCTCACCAACATGACGCACAACGTCAGCGCCGACATCGCCTGGGAAAGGCAGAACGTCACCTGGAACGTCACCGCCAACGTCAACTCCACCTGCTTCGCCCAGGTAAGAACAGAGAACAGTTTATTTATTTATTTCTGTATTCTTTTACCAGGGTGGCACTACTCAGTGTCATAGCACTGCTTTTTAGAGTGGCCCTGGGTACGACACATATATACACGGAATTACAACAATATTTACACCAAAAACAAATCATAATCGTGATCCATTACTCGTAATCGGGGTCATGCCAGGTCGTAATAAGGGAGGGAAGTCAGAGGTCACTTTGAGCATACAGTGTTCTGAACGTCTGTATCAACGGTGCAGTTCTAACACCGGGTGGGAGTTTATTCCAGCCCACAGTAGTATCCCATATATGACATCGCTTTTAAATAATCATGTATGAGCACATGAATTGTTATCTGTATGTAACGTCTGTTATGTGAACGTTAAAGAAATGTTGTCCCTCCTGTGGCAATTTTATAAATCAATCAGTGTTTTCGATCTTCATGTGTAACCAAGTTTTAATGCTAGTAATTGTAAATAATTTTGATGATTTTTACTGTATACTGATGAATTTTAAAATGAATTAATTGTACAACAGGATGTAATTCAGCTTGTGGCTGCAAATTCCTTGTTTTACCAATAAACCACTTGATTGATTGATTGATTGATTGATTGATTGATTGATTGACTGATTGATTGATTGATTGCAGAACGTCAGCATCGTCAACGACTGGCAGCGTATCGAGGCCGTCCACAACACCTCCGTCGGCGCCAACCTGACTTTCCTGGACTTCCGCATCCCCTACGTCAACGTGTCCATCTGGAACATCACCGGGATGAACAGGACCACCTCCTACCGCCAGCTGCAGTACCTCAACATCTCCGGTGTGTGGCGCTACGACTTCGGCAAGATCACCTGGATGAAGGTCGGTCTACTTCATACGTCATGCCCGACTCCATATCTACGTACTGAGGCCAATATGTATATGTACACACGTAGTGCCTTATGAAAGAGAGAAAGGATTGTAACAGACAAAAACGCTTGACGTACATCATGTCAATACGCCGTATACGTTCATATTCCTGTAGTTTCTTTGATTGTCATTGATCACGTTGTCATTGATCACATTGTCAATGATCACATTGTTATTGCTACTTTATTGTACCATGTACAACCACCAAGCAATAAAGTTCATTCATTTTTTTTATTTTAAGATCGAGATCCCCAAGATCAGGACCCCCAAGATCCAGATCCCCGATCTGGAGAAGATCCAGCTGCCCCAGATCCCCGACTTCACCCCCCTGCTGAGCTACATGAACGTCACCACTCCTGAGATCACCATCCCCTTCATCAACTACACCGTGCCCGCCATCCGCCTGGGTATGATGATTTTATTTTTTTTATTTATTTAATCTTCGGACACCTGGGTGGCCTAGTTCAATTTTGACAAATTGATTTTCAATATTTCTGAGAGACCAGAGGGGAAATGCAGGTTTATAAGCACAAACTATTGAATGATATGCAAATAAAGTGAAGACAATTTTTTTGGAATTTTTCCCCTCTGGTCTCTCAGTCACTGACGAAAGCTAGTGGATACTTATAGCTGAAACGTCTGACGTTTTCAAAATCATATCCAGTTGCTTGAGTAACTGTTTTTGGCGCATCGTATTACCCGGATGTCTAACCTTCATCGACGTATTCTTCTTTTAACTTCCCAAAACCCACTAATTTTAGAAAAGGTGGGACATTACGTCTTCCATGGTCTAAAAAAGAGAAGTCAAACCCCTTAGACATAGTTTTATACATAGCTATAGCTCTAGACAACTGCCTTTTATCATGTAGATTTTAGTTATTTTATACTACGTTTCATTGTTCTTTTATGTTACTTTGTAATCTGCATTTAGCCCTCCGGGAATGAATTTGCAATAAATTTTCTTAATTGACTGACTTGACAGGCATGAACACGTCCATCCCCGTGTTCCGCATCCCTCTCATCAACTACACCACCCCCTCCATCAACGTCAGCCTGACCACCCTCAACATCTCCGAGTGGACCATCCCCTGCACCAACCTGACCGTCCCCGAGATGAGGCTGACTCTGCCCCTGGAGCTGCTCCCCAACATCACCCTGCCCAGGATCCCCACCATGGAGGAGGTCCAGCAGTACCTGCCCTTCCAGATCCCCAAGATGCCCAAGGTGTGTACTTCTCTACTTATCTAGATATCTATATTCTTACTCATGATCAATTAGTAGGTTATGGAAGGTCTATGTAGCCAGAACCGTGCCTATCTAGTTCTATGCCTGAATGGGTTAGGGTTAGGATCAGGCACGGTTCTGGATAGTCACTGTGTATACAAGAATGCACTTCTGAATCTGTATCTGAGTCTATATCTGTATCTGTGTCTGAGCCACAATTCAGAACCATATAAGGTTGTCTGAAGGGAAGAAGGGACGCAGTGGAGCAAAATGTAGAAACACTGGCTGCACCCACCCACCCACACATACATGTACACAGTCTCGTAACCGGAAGCCTTAGGGACAGTCTGACAGTCCACAAAACTTCTCCACACCGCAGAACACCAATCGTCCAATGTATTGACTCTATGATCTGCTTGCCTTCCCAGGTGATCCCCTCCTACAAGCTGAACCTGCCCAGGAAGGTCCACCTGCCCATCCCCGCCATGGGTAACTTCAGTGTGTCCGGACAGCTCAGGTAATTCATCTTTCTTTATTCGTGACACCAAAAAGCCAACCTTGGGAGGACAACTTGTAAAGGTGTCAATACACCTGTTTTGTCCTCCCTTCCACTTGTATGTTTGTACTTGTGGTGAATTCTAATAAACAAATAAACAAAACCTTACATCAGGGATGAGACTCCCAGAATTGCAAAGAGTTTATTCATGACAATGATCTTTATTCGTGACACCGAAAAGCCAACCTTACAGCAGGGATAAGACTCCCAGAACTGCAAAGAGTTTGCTTACAAAAATTACAATTGATAAGACAAGCAATATATTCATTTCTGCATCACACTATTAGACTGTATAACAGCCAAATGCAGAATTAGTCTTTATGTGTTGTACATATATTTTGCAATTGTCGTGAATCTGTATGGTTTTGTTTGTACCTACGTTGTATTATGTACTATGCAAGGTCAGCACAATTCAGCGGTCCATAATTTTTTATGTACTGCTGCTATGCTGACCACTGTTTTGAATAAAGAATATACAATCCCTCACATACATTATAATACACATTAGGTCTCCCGTCTACAACACCTCCGCCGGCGTGGAGCTCAGGAACGAGACCTCCATCATTGGAAGGTTCAACTACACCGTCAACAGCACCCTGGAGTTCCTCAACTTCACCACCAAGGGTACGCCTGGGATTTGATAGCACCTATTGTATCCTGCCTATCTAGTTCTATGCCTGAAAGAGTTAGGGTTAGGATCAGGCACTGTTCTGATCATAAGTCAGTTTGTTTCAGGAACGTAGATTTGGCCCTATGCACTGTTCTGTATAGATTCTATCAATATATCTATGACATGGCGTTTCACGAATGCTCACACAAGTACAAGCTAGTATCATCTTAGTCCCTAGTCTTCCGTAATCCTCAAGCAGATGTCTTGCCAAAAGCGTCACGATTGTCTGGCCAATAATTATTTGTTACTGTCTTTGCAGCCACCAAAAGATCTGCTTGGAGATAAAAGTACTGCCTTGTTGCAACTTTAATAATAAAATATCATATCATCTTTATATTTATTCAATGGCAATTAACACATTTCTGTCCTGTTCCTTCCAGCCGAGGCCAACCTGACCGTCCCCTACTACAACGAGGTGATCACCGGTCTGTCCTTCAACTACAGCCACCAGTGGGGTGCGCTGCAACGTCACGCACAACGCCTCCATCGCCGTCGGCTGGGAGAAGCAGAACGTCACCTTCAACCACACCTTCTGGTGCGAGACGCCCGTGCAGAAGCTGCACCTGGCCCAGAACCTGACCGTGCGCAACAACAGGACTCACTTCGAGGTAAGACACTATGATCTAACACTTTTCACTAGCACTTCGGATATCTTGGACACTTAGAATCTTAAGCTTCGACACTCAGAATCTCTGAGAGTTACACTAGGCCTAAAACCAGACTTAGCAAAAGAACAGGACTCACTTCGAGGTGAGAAACTACCTGAATCTAATGCTCGCTCACTCTCTGTCTAACACTATCCGACTTCAAAATTACACAGAATCTCCAAGAGGTATACTCACTTCCACGTGAGAAACTACCTACCTTTAAAAATACACTTTAGGCAGTAAAGCTTGGATACTCAGAATCACTAAGTGGTGCACCTGGGGCAGAGTCTGACAGGGCGGGTCTGACACTTCTCACTCGCACTTCAGACAGTAGAGCTTGGATAGTCAGAACCTCTAAGACATTCAAAATTTGTACTTTTCTGTATGGGTTCCCAACTCAAATTTTGTGCGGCTGTCCTAAGTGTATAACCATTCATCTTGTGTATTGTATATTTCTCCTAAGCACAATAAAGTTGATTTCAACTCTCCCTGTCCAGATCTATGCTAACGAGACCGCTGCCACCAACGCCACCCTGCTGCAGTACATCAGTCTGTACAACATCTCTCTGTGGGACGTCCTGCGTCTGAACGAGACCTCCTCCCCCCAGCAGCTGCAGCGCGTCAACGTCACCACCTACTTCTGCTACAGCAAGTCTAACGAGACCTGGGAGTTCCCTATCTTCAAGCTGGATACCCCCACCACCAAGGTAATTACTCCCTCACACACACGTAAAGATCATTTTAACCCACCACCAAGGTAGCTACTCCCCACAACTAAACTCAATAATAACCATGTAGTCATAATAGCCAAGTGTCATGAAAGTTCATCTGTGGTTGTAGTTTTAAAGTGTTTAAAGTAACTGTTACAATTTTTGATCCAACACAAAGAAATTGTTCTCATCTAGAGATTTAGACCAGTCACTCTGATCTTCCTCAGTAGACTGACCCAGGGAGACTTACTTGTCAAGTGGTTTCTCTTAAGTGTAATGTCAACACTGGGTCAAAGGCATCTGGTAAACCGTCGTGGTTAAGAGTATTTTCCTATAACTCATTCTTTAATGTCTTCCTGCCAGCTCGGCGACTTCAAGCTGAACACCACCTGGCTGTACACCCTGGCTAACGCCACCCGCGTGTACACCAACATCAGCCTGCCCTTCCTCGGCAACGTGAGCGAGATCGCCAACAACGTCACCTACTTCCTCAACTCCACCGACCAGATGCTGAACGCCACCGACTACCTGCGCAACGCCACCTACCTGGTGCTCAACTACACCCTGCCCGTCGTCAGGTAGTTGTTGTAACAGTTGTTTCTCATTCTCAGCTTTCTTTTGTCGGATTGTAGTCTTATGTGCTTTTCTTCTTCATGTGGTGGGTTTGTGTGGCGTAGCGGTACCCTGCTCAGCCCAGACCCAAGATTAAGAGATTCCGGGTTCGAATCGTGCCCTATGCCACCCATCTTGGGAAAGGCACTTAACACGACTTTCCTCCCTTCTCTCTGGTGTAAATAAGCTTTGGGACGTCCCTCGAATATGACATTAAACTTCTGAACAGTGGTGGCTTCCACTTTTCTTCGTTTTTCCTTTCTATACAAAATGTATTACATATTTGTATGCATAAGGTTGAGCTCTTCTATATCTCAAACTTCTTTCTCAGGAACGTGACCGAGTACGTCTGGAGGATCCCCTACGTCCCCAGCGTGGCCTACTACATCGGAAACCTCACCCTGCCGCGCATGACTCTCTACCCCAAGATCGTCCTGCCTGCCCTCGGAAACACCACCTTCATGGTACGGTATTGTCATAAAGACTCATTCAGCTTATGCTGAGTCTAGAGCACTTGAATTGCAGTGTCTGTGCTATCCAAGAAAGACAAGACTGCAGTCAGCCTAGGGAGCGACATCACCCTGACATCCCCCTCGTTCAATTTCTACAATCTTTAGTTTTTTTAATTGTACCATGGCCAGTTCCAACCCTATGTTGCGATCTGCTAAGAAACTCTAAGAGCTAAGGCTTCCTTCAGTGAAGAAGACAGTACGTTAAATGAAGTGAAGATAGGGCTGTCCTTGGTGCTGATTTTCTGTTATACCAATATCAAGTTTCAAGTTCAAGTTTTATTAATAAAATCAGCCTTGCAGCCAGTTTACAAAGTCAACCAAGCTGAATTACACTGATTTTTACAAATTTTGTACATAGTAGATACAAATACACATTTACATGACAATACATATACAGGCACGCAAACGAACATGTTACAAAATCACACTATACACAAGGGCACTGAAGTAAAGTTATGAAGCTGAAGTTATAAGCAAGCAAACCGTCATCCAACGGACCTCCATGATGCTTTGTGTCTTGTCTTTTTACATGGGTTTATACATATGTTTTTTTCTGTCCGTCTGCAGTTTAACGTGAGCTCTCCCGTGTACAACCTGACCCTGGACACCCAGGTGCTGAACACCACCCTGGTGCAGAACAAGTCCGCCATCGTCAACCTGTTCAACGTCACCGCCAACTCCACTCTGGACTTCCTCAACTTCACCATGCAGAGTAAGGAACAATGCCTTTGCTTAACCATACATAACGGCATAGAGAATGCTTTACATTATTAAAACTACAAGGTCTTATGCTGCATGCCATAAAATATAGAGTTACTTTATCCTACTAAGACAGACAATAGAGGGATACGAGACAAGGTATCTAAATGGACACGCAAATGATTACTGAATCATTAGAACTTTCCAATAGAATATTCACTTTCGACAACCATCTACTCGTAGCATATCTGGTAGTAAAAGAAGATAGTAGTCTATTGACAACTATAGTTCTCATTAAAGACACCTTTGATCGTGTACAAGGCTTTTCTGAAGAATGATTGTTCTGCGGAGAAGGCCTTCTTCACTACGATCCCACTGCGTGTTTGTCGTGGACCCCGTAAGACGTCCCAAAACGGACGCAAATAGACTGAAGATCACATTATTGATGTAACACCATCAGTCCTTGTACATGGCGAACCTAACTAACCGCGTTTCTTTGTTTTCTCCAGGCTACCTGAACGTGTCTCACGCTCACAACCTGACGGAGCTGAACGTGTCCGCCTCCCTGAACCTGACCCACCCCGACTGCACCGTCAACGTGACCATGAACACCACCGGCCTCAACATCAGCGACATCTACTTCACCAAGTTCAACCACTCCCTGGTGGTCAACGTCACCGCCTACGACTGGGTCAACGCGACCGTGAACTTCACCATGAGCAACAACACCGTGTACGCTAACCTGACCGTGCCCACCCTGGAGGGCTCTGTGGCCCTCCTGGCCCAGCGCAACGCCAGTGTGCTCAACGTCACTCTCTACCACCAGCAGAAGGTAAATCTAGAACTTTCTTATGTCTGTCTCTGTGAAGATTAAATACCTTATCAAAGGTAAAGGCCAGCATATACATGTACGCCTATTATGGCTGTTCCAAATGACTTCTGATACTGTCAGATTGTGTAAAAGATGGGCAGTCAATCCCTTCTTCCACCATTTTACTTCCCCGCAGTTTTGCTATAATGATGTTCTTCGAAAAGGTCAATTGCTCATTGCTATCATTAAATGAGACTTCCTCCCTTGAACCGAAATGCCAAAAGAAATGAAGATGGCTGTTTTCTAACCAGACTACATCATGTTTCTACTTCACTGGTCATGACAGGGAGATCGAGAGATTTTGTAACACTGACTAGATTATGTACAATCTGCGATCGAGAAAGTACAAAGGAGGGCCCTAAGGATAATCTCTCTTGGTGGGAGGAGGAGTGTCCCTGTCCTTCTCACTCTTAGGGAACGTCGTGAACTGGCGGCAGTTAAACTGCTCAAAAACATGCTAAACCCGGAGCATCCACTGCATGACTTGGTACCGGACGTGGGGCCAGCAGGAACGGGAATGTCTCTCAGGAACTCGGGGGGGATCAGGGTACCCAGGGCTAGAACAAACAGACTGTATAATTCATTCTTACATTACTCAATCCGTCTATACAACAGCCAAATGAAGCCCTAGTGCCTCTGTGTATAATGTAAGTGTTGTGATGTCTCTAATGTACTTTTGCTAAGCTGACTCGTGTTTACTTTTTGTTAGGTCAACACAATTCAGTTGTACCATGTACTACTGCTATGTTGATTTTTATGAATAAAGTATAAAGTATAAGTATAAGTACACGGTTCTAATCATTGCACATTTCCTTTCCCAGCCCGAGTATAGGAACATCACCGCCTGGCAGTTTGCCGTGGCCCTGAACCGCTCTGACGCTGTGTCCTTCAAGCTCCGCCTGAACCCCGAGTCCCTGCTGCTGAGGCCCACCAACCTCACCTACCAGCTCACCAAGGCCTTCTACCGCGCCATCTGGAACGAGAGCCACCCCATCAACAAGTACCCGCTCAAGTACATCAACAGGACCATCTCTGAGGTAGGCACTCATCATTAACTCTAACTCTATCTAAACCAGTAACACTAACCCCTACCCAGTAACACTAACTAACCAGAGCCACCCCATCAACAAGTACCCACTCAAGTACATCAACAGGACCATCTCTGAGGTAGGCACTCATCATTAACTCTAACCCTTACCCAGTAACACTAACCCAGTAACTCTAACCCTAACTCAGTAACACTAACACTAACCCACCCATCAACAAGTACCCGCTCAAGTACATCAACAGGACCATCTCTGAGGTACGAACTATACAATTACAAGCGTTTCAAAACTAGCTAGCAATGGTCCACATCATGGCAACAGTGAAGATAATCCGAATCAAGCGCCAGGATTGGTACTATTATACTCTCCGCTTTAATAAGCTCCCTGCTAAGCAATTAAGCTTTTGACCCCTCTTTATAACGGTATACTTTTTAAAGTTGACACAGTATCTTTTACAGCAGACTGATTGGCGTGACAAAATTTAGCAATGTTTTCTCACTTCTTAGTCTTAATTCACACAGTGCATAATGATATTCAGAATTTTCTTCATGATTCTCTTTTTTTTTTTTTATTCCGAAACATGTAATCACAAGACGTGGTGACGACACACTCAAGTTTTTTCAACTTATATGAATGCCGACACCAACACAGGGACAGTACAATACTCATTTACACCTGAGCGAAGTGAGGAAAGTCGTGTAAAGTGCCTTTCCCAAGGGCACAAGATCGGTGGCATGGTACGGTTGAGAACGCTGCCGCTGCGCCACACGACCCCACTGATTCATGATTCTGAATTCTTGACGTGTTTCCACAGGCCATCAAGGAGCCCATCGTCCTGAGCTACAACTACACCGTGGACTGCGCCAACCAGACCCTGAACGTCTCCCTGCGCCTGCTCAACTACACCGTCAACTACGTCATCGATAACTACAACGCCACCGTCACCTCCGCCCTCAACACCACGCTCCAGCTGGCCAACTTCACCATGAACTACACCCTGGAGCTGGTCAACAAGACCCTGAACTACTCCATCGAGTCCCTGAAGAACCTGACCTTCACCATCCCCCAGGTCAACGTCACCATTAAGGGGTCTGAGCTCGTCGGAAACCTCACTGAGCTCTACCAGAACGTCACTCGCTACTCTACTGTAAGTCATGTTTTGTTTTGTTCCAATTTAATCTCCAAGCAGATCTTTTGGTGGCTGCAATTTAAGGCAGTATCAAATTGGCCAGGCAGTAACCATTTACGTGGAACTCGTCATTTGCGACCATTTACGTCAAATGCCAAAGCCTAACACTCTGTTTGGAGAGTATGTTGGTGTTGCTGCTGTTGCTAGCTTAACCTCTGGTCTTGGTCTCTAGCTAGATTAATGACAATTTTTTCCTTCTTCAGAAGCTACTAAGGATATTTTACATGATTTCCTGTATTTGAGTAAGCGTCGGTTCAAGAAAAAGGACAGATAAGGCTCGCAGTATCAGATAGAACAATCCTCGACCTATTTATGCAAATTTATGCAAATCTATGCAAATTTTTCTTCGTCTCCAGAAGCTGCAGAGGAACGCCACCCACCTGATCGGCAACCTGACCGAGCTGGCCATGAACTTCTCCTACTACAGCTACAACGTCAGCGAGAACGTCGTCCGCAACGTCACCCGTTTCATCGACGGCAACGCCCCCGTCCTCAGTAAGTACCCTTAGTCTTGCGAACGTCGTGGGATCGCAAATTTAAAAGTGAGGGCACGCTCGGGAAAGTCGTACAAGCAGCTGTCTTGTTAGGGAAGAGGCTGTCTTAGAGCTGTCATCTGTTGGTTTTGTCACTCACGGCCTGCTTGTAAAATTCTAAGGCATCGAAATCGTAGAATGACCTACAGCAAATGAGACCGCTCCGTAAGTCTTTTTAAAGGCCCTGTCATGAAACGTTGTCTACTAGTGCAGTGATTTTGCTTTTGTGATACACTGTATTTCAGAAAAGCAACAGCAGGCCACAACAAAATGCATATCCTAGAGTACTAGGACAAATCTGACTCCATGTCTACAGAAGTAATGAAACACGAATCTTTTTTTCTCCAGCCTGGGCCTGGCGCTACTGGGACCCCATCAACTACAGCATCATGATGGCCAACCAGACCTTCCAGTACGCCCGCAACGTCAACTACACCGACGCCGCGCAGGTCGCCATGACCATCTCCGAGCAGGCTCTGAACCGCACCCTCAACTACACCGCCGAGTACGCTCCTCAGGTAAGGCAATATTGTAGAGCCGGTGCATTCGCCATTCGGTGTGTTCTCGTTGATATTAAGTTTCGACAAGTAAAACGTCCACATAAACGCAGATAGCACAGATTAGGTACTGATGATTTGGATAGAGGTAGTCTCATAGCCTTGTCTTTTAGGCAATAGAGACAGTGGAAGGCAATAGAGACAGTCCATACCTCCCCTCCACTGCCTTTTACCTTCCCATACTGTCATATACATTGTGATTGATATGTCTATAATGTCTGGCAATTCTGATCTCATAGTTTTGGTAGAAGTACCAAAGGTGCATCAAAATGTATCAGAATAGCATCAAAACATCAAAAGTCTAAAAGTCTGTAACAGCTTCCGGAACGTTGTTTTGGGGCAATGACAGCGCTGTCAGATTATCAAACATCTCTAACGTTTTCTTTACCACTTTGTTTCTTTAGGTTGCTGAGTGGGCCGTGAACAAGACCTGGGAGACCACCTCCTACGCTGCCAGGTACGCCACCGACTACGTCGTGCAGTCCTCCAACGGCAGCATCGAGTTCAACCTGTACCACCCCTTCAACTGGACCCGCTTTGACGAGGTGAGAGAAGCATGCTGTGGTCTTATCTTCATTCATAGTCGCTGTATACGTCCCATTAGAAATACTTAAGATGTATAGCAACCATCTTAATGTACCACTTGTAGCCTCTAACTCAACCAATACAATATGCCTGATAATTTTAACGCTGTTATCATTATCATCATGATCGCATGATCTGTTAACAACAGGACCTCCAAGCTGAGACCCACCTAAACATATATATCTAAAATTACCAAATAGTTTTAGTCCCATGTTTTAAAGTTGTAGTATATATCAGAAGTCTTGTCAATTTATGTATGTACGAACTAACTAACTACTACTTTTATATGCGTATGCATGCACAAATGTGTATGTACATGTAGCCCGATAGGATGTATAACAAAGGCTATCCATGTACTTCAGGTGCCCACCGTGAGCAACCGTACCTCCGACCTGCTGCGCAAGACTGCCGAGATGATGAAGACCATGTGGAGGTCTCCCATGGCCGGCGTCAGGACCATGATGCGTGAGATCCCGCCTTTCGACAGTGAGTTCTTTGTTCACTTATTCCTTTATCAAACTTCACGTATTTCTATGTTTTGCATTGTTTTCATGACTCAGACTTCTAGAGCAGAAACCAGATCCAATGCAACGCATAACTAATACAGTAACTCAACAGCAGAAGAACAATTAAATGCCACTTCAAATCTGAATTAAGTACAGCTTCGAATCTGAATCTGATAACCGGTAGATCATCGCAAAACGTGACAGGAAACTTCTGTTTTGTGGTAATCTTGTTCCAGAGAGCACAATTTTTTTCCTTTGAAGCTAAACAATTCAACAATTAACAAGAGTGCAACACACCAAGACCTCTTTCCTGTGTTTTAAATCGCCCTATTCTGTGTTCTCCCCCAGGGACCTCCATCACCTTCGGGCAGCACGTGCTGACCTGGGACGAGCGCCTGTACGACGTGCCCCAGGCCGCCTCCGACGACTGCGTCTACGTTCTGGCCCGCGACTTTGACGACGGCAACTTCACCATCCTGAGCGGCAAGGACGGCATCACCGTGCAGCTGCCTACCGCCGTGGTCGAGATCAACAAGGAGAACCACGTCAGGGTGGACGGTAAGGGTCCACTGTTGTACACAGAACCAGTCTGAAATCTTAAACATTCGTCACTTGGTGCACATGTTGATAGAAACTGCCTGTGCCCAAAAGGAGTGCAAAATTCTGTTAAGGGCAACACTAAGGATATACCTTGATTTTGCTGCTTACTGTGGTCTGTTCCTTTTGATCATTGTGATGTGTTGGTTTCGTTGCTGGGCTGCTGCTTGCAAAAAGCCACGAATACGGTGAGGACACATGGCAGCAAGTTCATGGATACTGATCCAAGATTCGTATTGCATGAAGATTTTAGCCACTCGGACTTGTGGCCTTTGAACCAAACGCAGACCTTTTGAGAACAGCAGTACACAGAAAAAGCAACATTATATCTTAATCTTGATGTCGTTCCGCAGGCTCCAAGCAGCCCACCGAGCTCCCCTACCAGAGCGAGGAGAAGAACATCACCATCCTGCGGCAGGGCCCGTACGTGAACATCACCACCCGCGACGGCGTGTCCGTGCGCTGCGACGCCATCAGCGAGATCTGCGTCTACAACATCTCCGGATGGTACGTTTTTATTTGTTATGTTTACCGAAGGAAAACATATTGTTTTTGCTCAGTTTCTTCCTCTTCTTCTTCTCCAAACAGTGATCTATGACCTGACCAATGAGATGGTTTGTTGACATCTGTCACCATGGTGACTGGTGTTGGGTTACATAATGTTGCAATTTTATAGCAGGAGGGATTTATACTCCTGTCTGACCATATATATAAATGTATATTTAAAAGTAAGAATTAACAGAGCAGACCATAAGTACTTGAACATAGGAATAATAAACCATAATAATATATACAAATACCACAATTACTACAAGGTACCACAACAAGACCCTGGGTGGTACTTTCTTCTTTAATTTATTCATGTATTAAAGGCATCCAATGCGATTTTAGGGCAGCAAACCTGGAAATATTATGAATAAGGCAATCTTTGTGATATTGACACATACTGCTTTACATTGGCACATTTGAGTCAGCATTTCATACTTAGGGCTTTTAAAACTGCAGAAGCAAGATCCAAGATGAGTCCTTTACTTTCTGTGTGGTACCCTAGATGGTTAGAGGTCAATTCCAAATAATACATACTTAGAAGTTATAGATCATGAATAAAGTACTTGAACATAGGAGTCATGAACCATTTTTTACCACAAGGTACCACAACGGTTGGAGGTCAAATTCCAAATAATACAAGCTTAGGAGTAGTTGATCATAAATAAAGTACTTGAACATAGGAGTGATAAACCATTTTTTACTACAAGGTACCACAACAAGACCCTGGGCCTGCTGGGAACCAACGACAACGAGCCCGCCACCGACTTCCGCCGCCCCGACGGCTCCAACACCACCCGCGAGGACGAGTTCATCAACGCCTACGAGGTCACCAAGACCAAGAACTGCAAGGTTAGATATACAACGTACCCTTTCCGCTTTCTTAGGACAATTTAGCAATTTTCAAATGGAAATCTACATTTGACATACATTCCCACTGTATTGACTGTGGCATAACATGCTACTAGAGCTTGCGAGGCAGCTTTCTGGCCCAGGCAGCCTAGTTAGGCAGAAGAAGGCCCAATTAGCCTACTAGCCCCTAACCGAATGTATTTAGTCAGCTACACGTGAATTGGAGTTTTCACGCAAAAACTTGAAGAGCGAAATTCTGCGAAATATCACGACAAAAAAAACCGTAAATGTATCCGATACCTAACACTGAAATCGTTCGTTTGATACCTCGCTATCAATATGACAACTGTTGACAGAAATCTTCTATGCTTGCCATGCCCAAGGGTTACCAATAGGATGAAGTAAGTAATTGATATATAATTGTGCCTCTCCCTGTGCAGGTTGACAGCGAGCTGAACATTGCCAAGGGCAAGTTCGCCGCCAAGACCGACTGCTACATCCCCGAGTCCCCCAAGTGCGACGAGCTGTTCGACCGCAGGAGCTACGCCTCCAAGTTCAGGTACAAAACCCGAACTTACAATCTTTGACAGTTAGATCTTCATTATAGCAAAGAAGAATTTGGAAAATTTTGGACCAGCTACGAAATACGAGTTCTTCATAAACCTTAAAACTGGACACAGATACTTGTAACTAGCTTATCAATAAGTACTTTTCACTAAAGTGAATGGATATTGACCATTCAAGTGGTATGACCAAGAACGTAACTATCAACTGTTATGGATAAATTCCAGGATCACTGAATCAGAGAGTACAAAGAATAAGCAAGAGCCTAACTATGAAGTGCTTTTGAATAAAAGATAGTACAGAAACTAATGAAGAGCTTGACTGTCTCGCCCAGGTCCTGCTTCCAGGCCGTCGACCCCGAGCCTTTCCGCCAGGCCTGCAAGCGCGACTCCAAGAGGTGCAACCTGAAGGAGCCCAAGAAGAGCATCTGCACCGTGACCGCCGGCTACATCGCCGCCTGCGAGGCTAAGGGCATCCAGCTCCAGCAAGAGGAGGTTTGCGGTGAGCTGCAGTCTTTGTGTCTGCCTATGGCTAGAAGACTATCTAAACCCCTTTACCACTCATTTGTATAACATTTACAACCTGATTACGTAGTATTTATCTCCAACGGCTATCATAAGAGTTCGCAGTTTTGATCCATGCTTTGATACCAAAATTTTAAACGTCTTGCCAGAAATGAAAGACCACCAGAAATGAAAATGATGAAACCAAAAGCAAATTAAGAAATGACTTACCAAGTATGAATGGAAACAGACAAAAACTCTTTCGAAGACCGCGATATTATAGAACAAAATAATGGCATTTATTGGTGCTGCTGTTACTATCACATCCAGGCACAGTGTACATGTATGTGCACATTGCATTCTCAGAGTATAAGATTGCAAAGCTTATAAGAGTGAAAAAGATGGGAGAGCTTAAGTCTGAACACGATGTATTTCCCTCCACAGCTTCCTGCGAGGACGACAAGCTGCCCGGAGAGAGGTGGAACCGCCGCGCCGCCCGCAAGGCCGACGTCGTGTTCGTCGTGTCCGAGAGCCGCAAGATGAAGGACCGCTACGGCAAGCCCGAGGAGCAGCTGCTCAGGCTGGCTCAGGCCGTCGAGAAGAACCTCGAGCAGAACAAGTTCAAGGTAACGGCTCTTAAGACCCTCCTGTTTTCTAGATTACGTTGCCATTGTTATAGAGAAGCTTCATGGGTGTACAGCTGTCAGACTTTATCTGTTTATCAAAGGTTTGGTATCTTTCCTAGCAGCTGTCTTTTCCATATTCTTGGTGACCACTTAGAGCCTGAGCTATCAGTATACGTGTGTGACAGCATAAAGAAGGACAATCAGGGTATTCGATAGGCAGACAGAAAGGAATCAGTTTTTAACCAAAGTTGCAATCTTGCTCCCCCAGGATGTTGAGTTTGGTATCGTTGCCTTCGGCGGCAAGGACGTCCACCGTGAGCCCCACGTCCACACCATCAAGGGTGAGCTCATGAAGCAGGTCAGCCAGCTCCAGCGCGGACTCAGCGAGCTCAGGTCAGTTCGTCATTAATAAAGTGATAACACAAGAACAATCGGTGTGTGGTGCTCATGTATGTGCTGGGTCAGTACCCATCCAAGTCAAATGTAGATAACTATAAGTGCATACATTGGATAATGTCGGTCATGGAACAATAACAGGCAAGTTGAACCTAACACCAAGTTTACAACAAGTTCTTTTAGGAAGGCCAAATAATTCAGCTGGACTTTTGTCATTTCTTCAAGCTTTGAACAGACACTACTTTAGACAGAAGAGCTATAAAGTTATTTCATAAAGCCATGCTACTTCAATGGACTTCAGTATAAACTCGTTAGATAGAAGAGTAATATAGTTCATACTGAGACTATGCAAAGATGGTGATTGACATTAGAATGCATCAAAACTGAACCCTTTCTTCACATCAACCCCTCCAGATTCGAGGGTGAGGAGCCCATGGAAGCCTTCGAGGCCATCAAGCTGGCCTCCACCTACCCGTTCCGCGCCGAGGCAGCCAAGACCATCATCGTGTTCGACGTGGAGGAGAGCCTGTACTACGAGGACCTGGCCGAGATTGTTGACGTGCTGGACCAGAACTCCATCACCATGAACGTCGTCAGCGACTACGCCAAGATCGACCGCATCAGCAAGAAGAAGTCCAACCCCGTCGTCGGTCTCACCGGCAAGGTACGGATGGATGATACGTTCACCTATGTTTATGTGTAGACTGTATCAGATTAATACATTTACCAATATCTACGGGTAGATTGTTCCAGATTAATGTAACTAACTAGCAGTCTTATGCATGCTGTCTTCTATCAGTGGTCATAGTACCATGCTTAACTTTATCCCAATACAAAAGGTGTACAAGGATCAAATTCTATCACTATCAGTGTAATTTGGCTCAGAATCTACATGTAGATTGTACTAGATTGATGTAATAAGCTAAAGCTAGGGACTTCACAATCTTCTCTAACAAGTCTTGTTTGTCCAAACATCCCCTGACAATCATGAGAACTAGAATAACTAGAATGGATGTTCTTAAGTATTTTGCAATACTAAATGCTGCTGTTGTTGCCTCTACAGGGTGTTGTTCTCCAGGAGGACAAGAAGGGCAAGTCCAAGTCCAAGTACGCCGAGAAGATCAGCCTGCCCGCTGGACAGTACGTCAAGCTGGCCAAGACTACCGGAGGTAAGCCTAACAAACCTTAAATATTTAATATCTTAAAAGATTTTAACATCTTTACACTGTGTATGGCATCAGGTAGAAAGATGAGAACAACCTACAACTGCTGAAAACTGCAGTCATCATAGTAAAAAAAAGAGTCCTAGCTCTCTGAAGTCACCATCTCATACTAGAGAATTTGAGAATACAAAACAATAGAACATTCCTACGAAACTTCAAGAGACCAGAACCAGACAGTGGCAATGCCTCCTTGTTATGCATCTGAAACACGAAGATGAAGAGATTGGTGATAATGGTGATGAAGATGGTGAAGATATGGTGATGATGATGGTTGGTGAAGATATGATGATGATCATGATGATCATGATGAGAAAATTGCAGTTTGATTGACATCCTTCTCTTCTCCCTCCCCAGGCTCCATCTTCTCCCTGGACACGTTCCTGAAGGGCCACCGCGACTCCTCCGCCATCATCAGCGAGCAGGTGTCCGAGCAGCTTCAGCCGCAGGTCCAGTCCTCCGCCAAGAAGCAGTGCGTCTGTGTCCGCGGCATCAACGGCGACGGCGTCACCAAGTGCAGGAGCATCTACTAACTTTAACGTAAGTAGGCACTAGTGCAGGAACATCTACTAAGTTTAACGTAAGTAGTCACTAGTGCAGGAGCATCTACTAAGTTTAACGTAAGCAGTCACCATTGTCTAGTTATAGAAAGATAGAAAGTCACTGTGCTTTTGTTGTGTCAATTAAGTTCTCTACTCTACTCAAGATGTAGGCGATAGAAGTTTGCTGCATACATACAGCCCAAGCGAGAGTCGTTTTTCACTAAATATGGCCATATCAAGTCTTGCAAAACCTACAAACTAGCCATCCACGTACCAATAGTATAACATGAGTAATCCCCATGATTTTTAACGTAATTGAAATGTAGGCGATAGAAATTTGTTGCACACATAAAGCCCAAGCAAGATCCATTTTTCCATCAGATATGGCCATACACCGCTATAATTATCCAAACATTAACAGTAGAATACAGAAACTAGTCGATGATCTACCTGTAGAATATGAGTATCATGACATGATATCAAATTTTATTCCTGGACTTTCAGATATTGGTCAAAGAAAAATACGATTTCTAATGGCATGTTTGTCTTATTCCTTTACAGATCACCAACACAAGACCTCGGAAGAATGTTTGGACCGTGATATCAAGAAACATCGTAGTTGTTGATTAGATTTTGTTTCTGTATTTAATCCACTTTTTAAGTTGTTTCTAACACCATAGACAACTGCACAGCCAATTTTTACCGAATACAAAGTAGCACAGCATATAAAAAAGGTGTCTTGGTTTCATTTTGTGTTGGGAATGTGATAGTTACGTTAAGGAAAACTATTTGTATTTAATCGTTATGTTGCTATTATTAAAGAGCTTTTCTATGCATATCTGTCTCTCTGTCATGAGTTTCACAAGGGGGCAAGGGGTGTTTACGTTGGGAGAACATATATGGTTTATAACTGTGATATAAGGTACAATGCAACATAACCCGATTCACACACACCTTACCATTATAAAAACATTACTGGAGCAAGGTGAGCATGGCCTTCTCACAACCAATAAAATCGTACAACTTTGAGAATACTTAGACCATGTGCATGCAAGATCAAAATCAAATCAAGGCAAATACTGACTATAAAGTGCTAACGCACCTGACGCTAATAATAATAATAATAATAATGATAATAATAATAAACAAGATCAAGCTGTTCCAAATACTATTAGCAATCTATCAACCCAATAATAACCAAAATGAACAAGCACACACACACTAAACCGACAACATGATAATATGTAAGACTGTAGTCCCAAACAAGATAAACCACTAAAAGACACTACACTGCAGTGCAAACCACCCAACTTTGCCACCCCGCTTGTCCCCTTGTAGCTCTGGCACAGAGATGAGTGGATGGAGGATAGATGATCGAATGAATGAGTGAATGGATGGATGGATGGATTGAAAGATAGGATGAATGGATGGATATATAAATGAGAGACTGTCAAAAGAGAGTGTGAAGGAATGTGATCTATTGTCAGATTTGAGTTGTTACTGTGCCCTTTTTTATTAAAAATAGCCCAAGTAGTTTATCAATAGCCTCTATCTAGCTAAGGCTAAATAGTGGTGCAACCTTTCATGAATAGGCAAATAAAACGTGATCTAATAATACTTTAAAATCGTACTTTGCCCAAACGATAACAGGTTATGCGACCCCCTAAACACACACACACACACATATACACAATCCAATTCAAAGTCCAGAAGTCCAAAGGATAAAGTACGAACGTGCACTGATCGAGAGGTTAACCAAATGTCATCACAACTCTATCTTATCAGTGTTTTGTACCCTACCCCCCGCTACCGTATTTACCAAGTCCTAATCATTGCAGCCACATAGCATTATACAATGGGCGTCACTAAGGGATGATATGAGAACAGTAAATAGCATAATATAGCCTTATCATTCTTTTGTTACCCAATCTCTCCCGCTACTATATGTACTAAGACTCAATACCATTGCAACCACATAGAATCAAACAATGGGCGTCACTAAGTGAGCATGAGTGTAGAATAAATAACAGAAAGGCGTCGGCACTGATTATAAATAGTTTAAACAGGTGGCATTTAATCTATAAACTAACAGTTTGTTTGGTATCACAGCATGTGGTAAGGAAGAGTTTGCGTTGGCCCTCAAAACCGCTTTGTGATAATCAAGACAAACGTACTGTGGGGTCATCACAACCCCATAGCATTATACAAGGGACCTCACCAATGGATATCGCAAATAGCAGAAAAGCTTCGCTGCTGACTGTGATCTTTGATCTAACGAATCGTTCACAATCACAAATCTGTTGATAGTGACAACTGAATGGGCTTCATGAAATGGTCACAGTAGACAGGTGGTCAGTAAGACTGCGTTCTTAATGCTTGGCTCAGTAGGAAAAAAATTCAAGGGACCATCCACTACAAAGTAGGGTCAAATGGTAGATGATCCTTGTGCAGGGCTAGTCACTTGTACAGGTGTCACTGTACATCAATGGCCAGGTGGCCCTTATGTAGGAGTGGTCACTACAGTTTGTGCTGTATGTGACGAAATAATAGTTTGTTGGTCATTAAAACCACCTAACTAGTGATTATCAGGACAACGATACAATGGCATCAAAGTCCATCCAAAGTGCTTTTATCCAAACGTTTGATCGGGTGATCTCTATTTTGCACCTGGAAATAACTTCAGGATTACGTGAAGTGATATACAGATAAATGGCTGTAACAATTGGAAGCCAAAGGAATGTTGTAATCGTTAATCAATACGCATGCAGTTGTGATGTTAAATGATAGGGGGCGCTTTTGCAACATATCAGCAAACCACGTTTAATGTATTAAGGCTATTGATGAGGCAGGCTCTCTTCTTCTTCTTGGGTACCCCCAAATAACCCAGTGCAGATAGCATTTGTGCGTTTCATGTATAGACCAGAGGTTTCATGATACAGTTGTATGGATCAGCGGTTTCATGGTACCGTTGTGTATGGACCAGCGGTTTCTTGACACCGTTGTGTATGGTTCCAGCGGTTTCATGGCGCCGTTGTATGGACCAGCGGTTTCATGGCACCGTTGTGTATGGACCAGCGGTTTCATGGCACCGTTGTATGAACCAGCGGTTTCATGATACCGTTGTATGGACCAGCGGTTTCATGATACCGTTGTGTATGGACCAGCGGTTTCATGGCACCGTTGTGTATGGAACAGCGGTTTCAGGGTACCGTTGTATGAACCAGTGGTTTCATGATACCGTTGTATATGGACCAGCGGTTTCATGGTACCGTTGTGTATGGACCAGCGGTTTCATGCCACCGTTGTGTATGGACCAGCGGTTTCATGGCACCGTTGTGTATGGACCAGCGGTTTCATGCCACCGTTGTGTATGGACCAGCGGTTTCATGGCACCGTTGTGTATGGACCAGCGATTTCATGCATGGTACCGTTGTATGAACCAGTGGTTTCATGACACCGTTGTGTATGGTTCCAGCGGTTTCATGGCACCGTTGTATGGACCAGCAGTTTCATGACACCGTTGTGTATGGACCAGCGGTTTCATGCCACCGTTGTGTATGGACCAGCGGTTTCATGACACCGTTGTGTATGGACCAGCGGTTTCATGGCACCGTTGTATATTGACCAGTAGTTTTAAGACACCATTGTATATGGACCCGCGGTTTCATGACACTGTTGTATGGACCAGCGGTTTCATGATACCGTTGTATATGGACCAGAGGTTTCATGGCACCGTTGTATGGACCAGCGGTTTCATGGCACCGTTGTATAAGGACCAGCGGTTTCATGGCACCGTTGTATATGGACCAATAGTTTCATGACACATTTGTATACTGATCAAGAGTTGATTCGTGCTATGTTCTTAAAATGATGGCCCATTAAAGGATACAAAAATACACAAGCAAAATACACAACAAAGGACGTTGTTACGCGCTTCCAGCAAGTGATATAACGTTATAAATATTGTGCAATTGGTCCTGTCCTTGGTGCTGAATGCCTTCAATTTCAAAACAAAGCAATCTAAAAACCGCTATGTAGTCGTGGATACTGTTGTATAATATATGGTTAGCTCATAGCATGGCGCTAGTAATCGATGGATTGCAAAATACATAGCAAAACATTTACAGCGCTTTCATAATTCACCAGCGAGTGACATAGCATTGTGCGATCGGACCTGTCCTTGGTGCTGAAAGCATTCCATTTCAAAACAAAGCGATCATAAACATTGTAATCGCTAACTGTATGCTGTCACAGCAAGCTTTAGGCGCTGTGTAGTCGTGGCTTCTGTTACATACAAAAATACATGGCAGAATACACAAAAAGCGCTCCCAACAAGTGATATAACAATATAAACATTGTGCGGTCGGGCCTGTCCTTGGTGCTGAAAGCCTTCCATTGCAAAACAACAACAGCAAATCAAAACAAAGCGATCAGTAACATCGTAAACGCTAAATGTACGCTGTCGCAGCGCGTTTGGGCTGCTGTGTAGCTGTGGCGACTGTTGCAGGACTTCTCTTATACATTTACGCTGTCTTATATGTATATATCGCCTCTAAAACGGTCTGTAGCAACGCAAGCAGGGTTGTACGCTGTACGTAACGGCCATGATAGTTTTGGATATATAGTTCCATGGTCCCCCCTCCCCTCTTCGTGTGGGCTAAAATTGCGTTTCCTTGACAAATTGCACCCGTCCAAGTTTTTCTGAGTCGCCGCTGCTATCAAGGGAATATATCCTGAGCAGAACTTTGTCCATAAACCGACTACTTATGCCATTTCCTTACGATCTTCGGCAGCAAAAAAAGTGATACCCTTACCCGATGTTTCATTCTTCCCGCTACGCCGGAATCGGACGATGTGATTGGCCGCGGAGCACGCCGGGAAAGACGGCCGCCATGTTGGATGTTCCATTTTTCGTCTGCTGTGTTGCCCGCCGGTTTTAAAACTTTCCAAGGTCGAGAATAAACCGCAGTTACACTGACAGTCGCCAAGCCAGGTAGGTATACTGATATTTTCTTAAGGTGAAATGTCCTAAACTCTCTCGATTTGATAGACGATGTGAAATCCTGTTTAATAAAGTGTCTTTGGAAACGACTTTTCTGGGGAAGTTGGGGAGGGGGGTGGTTTGAGTTTCATCACTTTTTGCAAATGGCATGTCAACTTTGCTTCTGTGCGTCATATAATACTTGTTCACACCAGTTTTGGCGCCCCTGAAAACACCCTGGAGCCTATGGTGTATGATCTATGGTAGCAGACTATAGCACAATGCTGCTGAGGTAGAATTTAGAGGAGGGAATTTGTGGAGGGGGAGGGGGGCTTTCCAAATTCAAAATAATTAGCATAATATCATACTGTTGGTAGACAGTTTGAGTTTGGAATTTGCTATGCCACAAGTTTATCAATCTTATTAGGTCCATTTACAGAACTGCCGTTTTATGGTATGAAATGTTTTACGGCTTAATATTGCCCAACAAAACAAACAAACAAACAAGTCTGTATCATTATGAAATAAAGACTCGAAAATTTGGGTTAAGTCCCAATTCTGTGATCTAAGTGTTGGAACTTAAAGCTTAGTCTCTATTTCATAATGATTTGTACCAACACAGATGAACTTTCATGCTAAGTCTGTATCATGTTGTAGTGAGACATGGAGACAAGGTCATCCAGTGCCAAGACAGTTTCAGCCGGCAAGGAAGCATCAGGCTCCTCAAAAGATGACAAGATGTTCAAGCATCCCGGGGAACCTTTGGCGACCAAGGAGACACCTATGCAGGAGACACCTGTACAAGACACACCAGTGCAAGAAATACCTGTGCAGGAGAATCCCACCTCTCAGACAAGGTGAGTGAAGTAGGTAGTCAAAAGGTACAAAAAGTAGGCTGATAGCTTTTTTTAGGCTGTAGGGGTAGTATGTTGTGTCTAGTCTATGTCTAGTGCACGGTATTGGAAGGTGGAGCCCATCCCTCTCCTTCCACCACTTTTTACCTTCACAACCAAAGTACTTATCCAAATCAGTAGAGGACAGTTCATATCAATAACTATTATGCACAGTTATCAACCATAGCTTAACCTTGATATGGTCCATGAAGTTTTTGTGTCTGTCATGCAACATGTAATCTATGTATGGAAATGAAGAGATCGTATATTCACTCGTTCATCCATCCATTCTTTTGTTCATTCATTTATGCAGTTGCAACATGTAATACATGAAAATGAAGAGATGATACATTCACTCGTTCATTCATTCTTTTCTTTCATTCAATCACTCATGCAGTTACTCTGAGCCAGCTGAAGCAGTGCCTGTATCAGAAAGCAGACCAGAAGCTCCCCCCAACTCTGGCTCCACCATGCCCACCAGAGAGATGCTGAACCAGAGTGCCCAGAAGCTGGTGGATGACGTCAACAGCAAGAGGAAGAGAGATGCAGCTCTTATGGCAGACTTTAAGAAGGCCCTGGAGATACAGGTATACTTAAGTCTCTAGATCTAGAAGACGTGTCTTATCCAGTACCATGCCTATCTAGTTCGATGCATTGAAAAGTTTGAGTTAGGATCAGGCATGGTTCTGGATAGTCTCCTCATATCCAAGAACGTAGGTTTGCCCCAGGCTTGGTTCTGAATACATGTAGACTATCCAGAAACACTAGATAAAGCATGGTTATGGATACAACAAGGTCCATGTGCTGTACATGACTATGGCCACTTTGCTGTTCATTTCCTTGTTTTAGGTACCCTGTATATATCTGTGTTAACTTACTAGTAATTTGCCTCTACATGTATATTGCTCGTGCTTGCTAACAGACAGTTGTATTTCCAGGTTGCCAACTCTTGCAGTGTGCTGGAGAGCTCCATGTACAAGACTTACGAGACCACAGGAGAACTGATGCAGGAGAAGTTACAGGAGCTGTTTGCGGTGCTGAATCGCGTGGCCAGACTGGAGGCACAATAAAATTGATTTGATGTCTCCAGGTTGGCAACTCCAGCATTCTTCTAGAGACCACCATGTACAAGGCGCATGCTCACACATGCATAGCTCATGCTTGCTAACATACAATTACACATTGCTCACACTTACTAACGGACAGTTGTGTTTCCTGCAGTTTGCTGGAGAGTTCCATGTACAAGACGTACACTCATACATTTTGTACATTTACATCTTGCTAACAGACAGTTGTGTGTACAGTCATACATTTCTTGCTACATGTACATATAACAGACTGTTCTGTTTCCAGGTGGCCAACTCCTGCAGTGTCCTGGAGAGTTCCATGTACAAGACTTACGAGACCACAGGAGAACTGATGCAGGAGAAGTTACAGGAACTTTTCGCCGTGCTGGATCGTGTGGCCAGACTGGAGGCACAATAAAATTGATTTGATACCTCCAGGTTGCCAACTTCTGCATTCTTCTAGAGACCTCCATGTACAAGGCGCACGCTCACACATGCTTGCTAACATACAATTACACATTGCTCACACTTACTGACGGACAGTTGTGTTTCCTGCAGTTTGCTGGAGAGTTCCATGTACAAGACGTACACTCATACATTTACATCTTGCTAACAGACAGTTGTGTGTACAGTCATACATTTCTTGCTACATGTACATGTAACAGACTGTTCTGATTCCAGGTAGCCAACTCCTGCAGTGTCCTGGAGAGTTCCATGTACAAGACTTACGAGACCACAGGAGAACTGATGCAGGAGAAGTTACAGGAACTTTTCGCCGTGCTGGATCGCGTGGCCAGACTCGAGGCAGAGCTGAAACAGTTCCACCAGGCACTGGGCATGCTGTACACCGACGTACAGGTCCCTCACAAACAGTGAACACTCAGGGGAGTTTGTACTTATCTAGGTTTGTTCGTTTTGTTTCTTTGAGGCTTTGTTTTTCATGAAATACCAGACTCAAATTAGCCTGCTGAGTCTATATACATTCTTATGGCCTTACACATCTGTAGGTTCTACATGAAACGTGACACTATGATCCACTTGTGTCTGACATGCATTGGCATACATCTATTCATCCTTAAGCCTTGTGGACTTGTTTTTGTTTGCTTTTGAAATCATCCATCCATTCATTCACTAATTCACCTTATTGTACTGGTAGCTCTTAAACGCATTTCTAGGTAGGATCTTCATCTAGAGAATCTCTCAAGTCATTATGCCAGGGGGTTGAGCATGTGAGGTGTGCTTTGTGTTGTTTCAACCATTTTGGTTTTTCAGGATTTCCAGTAAGTTATATTGATTGTAGTGTGAATACTTGAAATGAAGAGTATTGTATGTTTGTTGATGGTGCCTTTCACCCTTGTGTTAAAATGATAGAAAATGTGCATGTTCTAAATTGCTTGTAAATAACTTGATTAAATCATCAAAGCTACAAGGTGTCTGGATGTTCAGGACCCCTAGCTTCAATATCTTTCTCTCAAACTTCCCTTGCCATGTAAGAAAAGAGACAGATAACACCATCACACCAGCATATTTCAGTGCATGAGCTTTGCAGTTTAATCAGGAATTTTTCATGGCGCTCAGCCAATATACTGCATGCTTTCAAACAAGCACTTTAAGAAAACAAAAGGACATTGAATATGTTCAATCCACTCCAGTTAAACAAGAAAGAAACAGTTAAGAAACGTTAGAAAAAAACAGTAATTTTCTTATTGCTGCAGCATATTTCAAAATATACACATCAAATCTTAGAGTTAGACACTAATAGGTGAAGACTGATTTTGGCAAGCCGGATGACTGTTGCCACGGTGACCTATCGCCACGGTTACCGGTTGCCATGGTTACTAGTCCTCGCGGCACTCCAGCTCGGCCTCCACGTCCTGCACCAGGTCAGTGCTCTTCCCCTGCAGCTTGTCTCCCAGAGGCTTCGTCTCGTACAGCTGAAAAAATACAGAACAGAACCGTTACTTTCAAGTCTTTAAAGACTTGCTAATCCAATGGCCTCCCACTGGGAGACGTAGAGTGGGACAACCACATACATGTACTACACTATTGTCCATGTTAGAGAAAGACGCTGGTCTCGCAGGGACTGCTCTAGTGTCCGCCATGAGGGACCTGCCATGGGGTACTGGAGTGACTTTATCAAACATACCTCACCGGATTAATCCAGAGGCATGATGATGATGATGATGAATACTAATCTTATAATTCAATATGGCAGTTATTATGGTATCCATAATGCTCGGTTGAAAAAAAATACTGTATTGCAGTTGTTGTGCAACTGAAATACAGTTCATGAGTTGGTGGTTTGAATCCCAGCCTAATCTTTAGGGCTGCTTTACCCTGAGATACATGCAAGATGTAACAGTTTAAGTCTGAGGGTGGATATCATGCCAAGTTCTGGCAGAATTTGAAACACCAAGTCTTGAAGGAATCTTGAAGTCACCTTGATCATCTTCTGGGTGCTCTGCAGCTCCTTGAGGAGGCAGTGGAACTCGGTGGAGCGCACCTCGGACTTCGTCTTCTTGGAGCCCGGGGGGCACTGTGCGACCGGCGTCTTGGAGAAGCAGGCCTCCTCCTCGTTACGCTCGTTCAGACGGGTGTGCATGATGTTACGCATAACTGGCTGCTTCTTACCTGTGACAGAGAGCATTAGTACAATATTTCAGTCTCAAACCAACATTATTTTACAGTTAGCATAAACAGCTATGTGGTTCAGACGGGTGTGCATGATGTTACGCATCACGGGCTGCTTCTTACCTGGGGGGAGGGGGGATTATTACATTATTTCAGTCTCAAAGCAATATATTATTTTACAGGAAGCCATTCCCCATTGGCCATAGCACAAGGACAAACAGCAGATGTGTGATCATGATGTTACACAATTTTCTTTATACACAACTTCGTCAAGGCTTTATACAGAGGACACTGAAGAAACTCTCACAGAAATGTTGGCATATAAACTTTCTTGTTTTCTGATTAAAGAAGTTTGTTTACCAACCTGATGAAACTATACATGGTGCTATATGGAGTAAATATTGATTGAGATGACTGGAAACAGTCTTGGATCTTTTGAACAACAGTGGACAAAGACTAAGTCTTGCAATTTTTAAGAAAGATGTTGCAAGTCTTAGACTTAGACCTACCCTCCTCCTCACACTGCCTGCTGGGGACCTGGTAAGACAGGGCAAACTCCTTGGGTGACCTGTAGACCTCCTCGCGAGGGCCCTCATATTCGTTGGACTGCTCGCCGTCGAAGTTGCCGCACAGACCCACCAGCTTCTTACGGTAGTCGTGAGACACCTGGGTGGGACATCATAATAGTATGATAAGTTTATGGCAAATCTTTGTCACCAGAAAGGCAAAAAATGGCATCAAAGGAAGATAATGAAAAGTTATTTATGGAGGGAGAGTTTCTTCCACTCCCCATTGCTTGTTTGCCCTTGTAGCACCTTAATTTTATCTCCCGCTGTTTAGGCAACGCAGCTGCTTTTTGCCTAGTGATCAAGCTTTATCCTTCAGCACACTGAAGTAGCTGTTTGGCTACTCTAGCTATTGGTTACAGGGTTAGGCAGCAGGGAGAGACTTTAACCTTTTGAATACTAACCTTTCTGGATATTTACCAATTTTCTATTGATAACAAAGTGAGGCAGCAGGGAGAAGGTGGTACAGATGTAAGCAAAACCAGAAAAACAGTAAATCAGCATCAAGATACTAGACTAAGTACATGATATGATATGAATCTTTATCGCATGTTCTTACCCAGATGGGCTAAATGCACAAGAGGACATGCAATATGCAAAACATGAGTATTGCATACTGGGACGCTATATTCTAATGCTAATTGCTAGGAATTTATATATTCTAACAATACTATATACTACTTATCATCTACTGTTAGTATGTATGGCTGTTAGTATGTATGGCTATGTATTAGCATGTATGGCTGTGCAAGATAGTGTTTCAACACACCTTGACCTGGACGTAGTGTCCGTCCATCTTGACCTTGAGGCCGTGCTTGGGCGAGCTCAGCTCCACGGTGTTGCCATGGCGACGGATGGTGCAGATGACCTTGCCAGAGGTCGCGTGACGGATCTGCTTGGTCTGGCCGGGCTGGATCTGAGCCTCACGTCCGTCGATCGTCACCTCAATCTGGGAGTAGAATAATAGGATCATTAACCCTCCACTGCGAAGGGGTTATCAATGCATGACAACATGATTTAGTCTACAGCTTAGTCAGGAGGGAGCTCCAGCCTGCAGCTGTTTAATGGAAATAAATTTGTATAATTGTTCATGCAGGCAAAGGATTTTCAGTCCATACAACAAAGAAAGATGAACTATATTATATATATTAAGCTTTTTGGATTTGACATCTTTTTTGGAAGCAGTGGAAAACAAAATCCCACTTTATCTGCAATGAGTCAGGGTTTTGGGAGGTTAACAGGGTTGTAGTTTTCTTTTGTCAGTAAACGTTTGGAAGTTTAAAATGTAGATGTAAAACCTGTTAGTAAGAACTGTATGCAGACAGGCTGAACAGTGGTACTGTGTGGCATAATGGTAGCAGGGCATTCGACCCGGAACCCATGGGTCCTGGGTTCAATTCCACCTACATACCCCGATGTTGTGCCCTAGGGAAAGGCACTTTACACAGCTTTCCCCCAACATGCCAGTTATTGCCGATTTCTCGGCAGATGGGCATTATCCGAAGACAAAGAACACTCACAGGAACATGCTGGTGCAGTTTCTCCTCGCTGCTGGTCCACTCCACAGACTTGGAAGTCCTGCTCTGGGACTGGCTCTCAGCAGAGGTCTGCTGGCTGGTGCGTTTCTCCTCGGACTCACGCCTGCTGCCAGGCTGCTGCTTGCTCTGCTCCCTGGAATATTGGTAGGCTAGAAATTAGTTACTACTAAAATAGGAAATAAGTTACTGTAACAGAGTTGCATTGGGTGGAAGTGTGATATTCAAGCAGATGTTGAGGTGGAAGAGCTTGATGTTAACTCCCTGCTGTGCTTTTCTAAAAAATCTTGACGCTCTGCCTTGCACTGATTTTACACATGTTCTATGACTGTATTAGTCTTTTAGATCAAAAGGTAAGAGCGTTTAATAAGTGACTGGTGAAGACTAAGGCCCTCCAAGCTTTATGTATCCTGTCAGTAGTGACTACCGATTGCTATGAACAGGGACCATCAGAATAGCGAGTACAAATTTTGCTGGAATTCTAACACAGTACACTATGGTAGTTTCCATACCTGCTCAGCTGGTGCTCCCGGCTCTGCCTCCTCTCTTGGCTCTGCCTCCACTCCTGGTCCTGCCACTCCTGGTTCTCCTCCTGGTTCTCCTGACGTTCCTGGCTCCTCTGGCGTTCCTGGCTGGTCTCCCTGCTGTGCTGTGCCTCCTGACTGGTGGTGCTGGGTGGAACCCTGAACTCTACCTTCACAGTCTCCAGGAAGACCTGGGTAGAGAAACAGTTAGAACACATTAAATTTTGTTTTAAACATTGATCAATTAATCTGATATTGAAAATCAATTTGTGAACTGTCATTCAGTTATGATGATAAAGTTTTAGAATATTAGTGAAGAAAATAACTAAGATGTACATGAAATGGATTTAAAATTTAACATTCAGCCGCCTACTAGTATGGTTGTCATTTATTTGACGCCAAATTCATGTTGGTTAAAGGGTTATAATAGTTTTAATAGTTGTTTCTGTCTCTATCACTAAAGCTAGCCCTTTGTGATGACAGTCTGCGAGTCAGACATCTATGATAAGCTCTGTGTCAAGCTCTGAATATGAGATGTGTCACAGAGGACTGTCTTCTCGCATTTGCAGACACGTTCTCTGGACTTCTTGCGGATGTGACCAAGACTTCTGAAGTCTTGTGAGTTAAATTCTTGTGTGTAGAGTTGGCGATCTTGTGGGCAAATTCCTGCATATGCTGCTCGCATCAGCATACGACCCTGACAGACAAACAAACAAACAGAAAGACAAACCAACCTTGACAGTCTTCTCCGGCCTGTGCTGGTTGGGTTTGTTGGTGAGAACCATGAACCTCTCCTCAGGAGAGGCGTCCTTGGCCAGGATGTGGTCACATTTCCCGATCCGGTACTTGTACTCAACATCATCAAATGTGCGGATCTTGTCGTTGGCCTGGACCTTGCAGTAAGCTGGTGGGGAAGGAATTAGTGTTTTAGCAATGTCTTAAGGGGTTAACAATCTACATGTGAGTCACAAATGCTGGTGTGTTACACCAAAGGGTGGTTATACCGACGATACAGATACAGATACAGAAGATCTTGATGTTGTAAATAATGCACCTTTCTACCAGGTCTGTTACCATAATACTGTGACAAGTGTACTTGGTGGCTGCAGCAGACCTATGAAGTTTGAATGTTACTGGGCTTCCATGCATTTGACTATCCAAAATGTAAAGCAACGCAATGTATTTACTTATATGTTTAGTTAATATGATCTTGGATGCAAAATTTGAGCCTCAACACTTGGACAGTATAAGGACTGTACAAGAAATGCACTTCTAATCAGTTATCTGTGTACCAACTACGACCCATCTCTTAATCTCTTACTCACGAGTATTCTTGGTGACTTTTTCTGTGTCTAGCCTAAAACATGGACATGAGTATAATGTACGTAATGTGGCATAGTTATATTATTAATTGTACCAACTGAGCGGCATCTGTACTCACGAGTGTACTTGTTCTTGGTGACTTTGTCCATGGCCTGCTCCGTGAGGGTTCTCCTGGTGGAAGGGAAGAACAGAGGAACCCAGTCCAGAGGCACACGGCTGATGTTGTGCTCCTGCGTGGGAAGGAATGGTTTATTATGAGCATTATGATCAGTAATGTACATGTAGTACAGTACTGTTACAGATGAAGAGCCTTCTCTACTCAGTGATAGTTCTCTAACGGTGAAGGGAAGAACAGAGGAACCCAGTCCAGAGGCACCCGGCTGATGTTGTGTTCCTGCGTGGGAAGGAATGGTTTATTATACGTTGGTGAAGGTTAGAGATGTCTTTAACATCTCATGGACACAAAGAATTTCAAACCATTAGTTGTACAAAAAACATACTGCCGATTGCTGAAACAATACGGCAAAGGAGACTATGTTCTGTAGGCCACTGTTGGAGGAAAAAGGATGAGGTAGTACACAAACTCTTACTGTGGAACCTGAGTCATGGAAAGAGAAGTCACGGAAGACCACACTTGACTTACATAAAACTAGAAGCTGACAGTGGAATGACTCTAAGTCAACTGCCTGCTGCGATGGAGGACAGAGAGAAATGGACACAGATCTGACCAGCCGGGTTGTTAATCTACTGTCCTAAAACCACACCTGTTAAATTAGTTTGGTCTAATGTTACATTAAGCAATCCTGAGTACCTGGCGAGGAGTGCGGATTGTGACATTCATCTCCCTCTGAGGCTGGTCCAGGCTGGCACGGACGCGAATCTGACCAGCAGGGTTGTTTATTCCGACCTGCCTGATGCTGCTGCGCCCGTAGAAGGTGTTCTGGATGTAGCGATGGGCGGCAAGGCTGGCCTGCTGAAGCCACTTGGGAATCTATGGGATATAAAAGTTAAGTTTTAAGTTTTCAGACTTCCAACAACACCGGATGGACTCAAGCAACTGTTCAAAAGTTCTTTAAATGGGAACTATGTACATGTGGCTCCAGTCTTACGACTGTATGTGCGAGATGTCGATTACAATCCACTCTTCTATTTACTTCATTGCTGAATCTGTATATATAGTAGTCAGGAGATTCACTCGTCAAGCTAACCGACATCTCGCACACGCAGTCGTCCCTCAGTAAGACATCTGGAGCTGCATAGTTCCCGTTTAGAACTTTTATTCAGCCTGTCACACGACCGGTTTTGCCTGTGTGGCTTCTTCAAGTGTGCAAAGGCTAAAAACCAACTATTCTCATTAGTCAATATGCTATTCTTGTGACAGTACATTACTCAAAGACATTACTATTATAAGGCCACACCAATTTAATTTCTTGGTTAACGGATTTTTCTAGAAAAATAATGGAGCGGGCGGGCGAAAAAAAAATAAAAAATAAAAACAGGCCTAGGCATCCTATTATGGCCCAAAATGGTACGATAGGAGCCATGAAGTCAACACACTAGGCTGGTTCAAAATTTAAACAATGAATTTTGAACTTTTAATGATACCACTGCATTGAAAGATGGAATAACTGTAACAAATAGGATGAAAAGGGCTGTTTTCAACTGTTCAGGGTAAAATATGAGCATTTTGCAGTTGATTCTGGATTTTTATTTTATTTGCAAATCAGAAAAAAATGAAGTGTGGCCCAATAATACTATAATAATTGAAAATCTACTGCTTACGTTCTGGAAGATAATCTCTGCGTTGAGCTCCCTGAGCAGACTACGCTGGTCCAGGGACTCACTGCAGGCAGGAGAGTACTGCTGGCCATCACGGCGGTCCTTCAGGCACTGCCTGTGGGGTAAGGGTTAACAAAGGGTTAAACACAGGCACTGCCTGTAGTGTAAGGGTTAATAACAGGTTAAACATACTATAGGCACTCTGTGTCTGCGGTGTAAGGGTTAAAAAGCACAGGCTCGGGAGTACTACTGGCATGCTGTAACCAGAACCGTGCTTTATCCAGAACCTTGCTCATGCACTGTACTGAATAGTCCATGCCTATCCAGAACCGTGCCTGGGGCAAATCCACGTTCTTGGATACACAGAGACCATCCAGAACCGTGCCTGGGACTAATCTACGTTCTTGGATATGCGGAAACTATCCAGAACCGTAACTGATCCTTAGAACCCTAACCCATTCAGGCATAGATCTAGATAGGCAGAGTTCTGTATACGATAGAGACTTAGAATCCAGAACCATGTCTGATCCTAACTCTAACCCATTCATGCATAGAACTAGACAGGCACAGTTCTGGGTACAATAGAGACTATCCAGAACCATGTCTGATCCTAACTCTAACCCATTCAGGCATAGAACTAGACAGGCACAGTTCTGGGTACAATAGAGACTATCCAGAACCATATCTGATCCTAACTCTAACCCATTCATGCATAGAACTAGGCACACTTCTCTTCTAGTATAATATCTAAAAGATAATCTCTTGTAGTATCCTGAAAAATAAAATATATAATGGTGTGGTACTATTGTCTCTGGCAATAGATGGATGCAAAGAACTATATGTGTCACAGATATAAACTTAAGGCAACATGAAATCATGCATGTGTCCAGGTGCAGTGTACTTTTTTGAGCCAGGCAGCACAGTGTGCTACCCATGACAAATACTAGGTAGCGCATCAGAATTTTAGGTTGCTGTCCCCCCCATAATTTGTGGAATTCTATGCACGTGTCACAATACCATAATTCTTCTAATCATGGAGGTATAATACCTCCATGTTCTAATAAAGGACTTCCTCCAGGTTTAGGCATGCATATGCATGGCCCTGATTTGTTTGAGAATGCTTGCACATTCGAGTTCAGTGTAACAGTTACATATTTTCAGTGGTACATATTTTCAGGTTGCACAGTGGCTACCTGAGTCAGGGAGCAACTAGCGCACAAGGAAATCAGGTTGCAATCGCTAGTGCGCTCATGGATATTTCGAACACTGAGGTATATGCTTACTTGTACAGGTTGCGTCTCAGCTTGATCTGCTGGAACTTGTCGGAGGATTGCCAAGACGTCTCCCAAGACCTGGAGGCCTCTCCGATCTCCTTAGAGGCTCTCTCCTGAGACTTCTCCTGGCTAAAGCGCTCCCGTTCCCTGGACTCTTCAGTGGAACGTGGGCTTCTCTCCTCACTCTTGCTCTTGGACCATGACCACAGTGACCTGAATAAAAGGAGGATAGATGATAAACTTTACTGCAATTGTACAAGATATACATGTAAAGTATGGAATTTATTGCTATATAACAAACATGCTATGAGCTGAATCTGGTATGACACAGTATTGAGTACTTGCTAAACAGCCCGTCCTGCCACTTGCTTCATAATGTAATCCTACTCCACATGGTGTCTGCTACAGCACCAGTAGTAATACCATGGTGACAGCCATCTGGTCCATATCATTGCCTTTATTTCAAACATTGACACAGTTTTTAAGTACTGGAAATCAAGATATTTTTAACTCAGTACTTTTATGTTGAACTTCGCAGTTTCTATGTGACTTCTGTGTGGCTAACTTTCTTTATTCTGTACCTGCCACACTGAGAACATATGGTTCTGTGAGCTCATTTTTAAAGTGATTTACAGTACAAAAGCGTCTAAGGAGTGAGGCTTACTTGACAGAGTCAAGGATGGAGTCCAGTTTCTGCTCCTAAGACTGAGTTAGGTTTGGAGGAGTAAAGTTTTAAGAAGTACTCGAGTTTGGAGGAGTGAGCCTTACTTGACAGAGTCTAGGATGGAGTCCAGTTTCTGCTCCTGAGACTGAGTGAGCACCTCCCCGCTGCGGCTCTCCCACTCCGCTGCCTCCTCACGGCGCTCCTGGCGGCGCTGCTCTACAGACTTCTGGAACTTCGCCTGGAGGGAGATTTTAGGTACAGCAGTCATGATCAGAAATCTGTTTACACTAGTCTAGCTAGATTCTTGTTTTTTTTTTTCGTAGAGTGGAACTTGCTGCCACCAACTACACTAGAAGCATTACCCCATTACATAGCCTCAAACAATGCTCAATGAATGCAGTTACATCAATGAGGGTTAGACTTTCAGGTAATTTAAAATGATGAAAATCTATCCAGTTGCTTAAGAAGCTAAGTTACTGTTTTGTTGTGTAACACTTACAGTCAGATGTGCAAAGGTTTACATTCGGTGGAGCTGGTCATTCAGTTCATTACGCCAAAGGGCGGTTATACCAGCTATATGAATATAGGTACAGAATCTGGTGTGTAACACCTGAAGGATGCCTCGTGGTTATACTGTCTAGCAATACCGATACAGATACATAACCTATCACGAAGACCTGATAGAGGATAGAAAACATACTGCACTACATATAGCAATACCGATACATCTACATGTATACATAAACTATCATGAAGACCTGATAGAGGATAGAAAACATACTGCACTACATACATTAAGCTGGACCCTGGGTCCCCTTCCTGAGCAGTCGGCTCCCCACTTGGCATCCACCAGAGCCTGGGTGACTCCGTCCTGGATCAGTCTCACGTCACGGTTGGTCGGGTACTCCAGCTGCATGTCCACGCACATCTTAGTCTGGGCAAACGGAAATAAAACAAGACTGGCAATGAAAACATACATTAGGGTTATTGTTTGCATGGCACTGCCATGATTTCATGATTTTGAGGAAGACTTGGTACCTGTTAAGTCTAGACAGATACAGTGCACTCCTTCTCTGAGTGTATAGTGAACGAGCCCCAGGGTCACAGAAAGTAGGGCCATCCGGGGCAGAGAGGTCTTCCCAAGGGTTTCCAGGAATGTGGGCATAGGTGTGGGTCAGGGACATGCCTGTGGACATTCCATTCCTGTGGACAAAATGCCTGTACAATTCCTAAAATTCTTCCAAACTGCACACAATACTGTACCATTAGGCTCCTCCCTGAGATGTCGCCAAAAAGTTTAGCTTGAAAGCTCATCAGATTCTGTGCCACTAGAAGTGACATTCTGCAACAGAATTGAGCTGTATGCGTCGAGCTCTGAAATATGAGATGTATCACAGGACTCCCTTCTCGCATGTGAGGCAAGTCCGCGGAACAACTTGCGCATGTGACCAAAACTGCTACAGTCTCATGAGTTCTCGTGTGTAGAGTTAGCAACATCTCGAAACTTGCCATTACACCTGTTCACACACACTATGGCAATCACTCGATATCTTTATTTGCAATCAGATACAGATTCACGTACAGATACATATCCATGCACATAATTATACAGATTATGTACAGGTATACAGATACAGATGTTCACACATGCACACGCACTAACTACGGACACAAAAGCAACACACAATCAAGCACAACCCCTATGGAGGTAAAATGAAAACCCAAACTTACGTCCCGAGACTCGATCTCTGGAATGCGAGAGCGCTCGATCTGGATGGCAATGGTCTTGCGCGTCTGTTTTTTGCCATCCTGGCCGAGTTAGTACTGTGTCTACCTAACACCTCTGTACACACACATGATTATACCCACTAACTATGGGCACAAAAAGCTTAACTTACGTCCCAGGACTCGATCTCCGGAATGCGAGAGCGTTCGATCTGGATGGCGATGGTCTTGCGTGTCTGCTGCTTGCCGTCCTGGCGGACCTGGTACTGCGTCTCGGAGGACATCTCCGGCTCCTTCTCCCTCAGGGAGCGCACCAGGAACTTCCGCGGGACCTTCCTCTCTCGGGAGTCCAGTTCGCGACGCCGTGGGTCCACCTCAACCTGGGAAACAAACAAACAGACAGCTTAATAAACTAGAAAGGACACACTTGCAAAGCAGAAGAATAATGTTTACCTCCACCTGGTCTACCCAACAAACTACTGCTCTGTTTATTCTTACTCAAAGTTAAAACCAAAACCAAATCCATTCATATGTATGGAGATGTTCTGCCACAATGTAACGGTACCTTATAACACCACAGGGTGTAGCTACAACACCAGTTACCATGGTCAATAGTTAAGTAACATCAGGAAGGCAGAAAATTTCTCCTCAAACAAGCTTCCCAGCGCATTTTTCAACATCCATAGCTAAGGCTTAGTAACGTTTAGAATGCCCAAAACAAACATGCTCTGAAGCTTCAAAGTGTTTTGGGGATTTATGGTGTAATCTTATATCACACCACTAAAGTTGCTTTAATAGTTAGACGGAAAACAAATAAACAAACCTGCTCGTCCCTGTAGTTCAGCTTGATCTTCATGAATCGTTCCTGGCGAGGGTGGTTTGCGCGGATGTCGAGCTCAACGCGCTGGGAAGACGTCTGCTCCTTGGAAGTCATCTGGGAAGACGTTTCCTCAGAAGAGGTGTAGCGGGTCTCCTTTGGCCTGCACTCGATCTCAATCTATGGACAACAGTTCAACACATGTTAGCTGTTGTAGAAAACCTTGTAGTGTGTTTGTACATGTTTTCTATTAAGGCTTAAAATCTTAGTAAGTTAGCTTGTCCTCATGATAGTAAAGTACAGTGCAGAATTCATCTTTGGGGAAGCTGTAACAATTGTTATTGGTGCCATGGTCGCATATCATTGCCCGTGTGTCTTTTGTTGAATGTCTTTTAAAGATCCAAGTTTGATATGTACTGGAGAATGTAGGTCTTACAGTGTCTGTAATTTCTATATTGTATGTTGGGTGCAATTTGGGCTAACCTGGCCCGGGAGCCCCTTTCCCAATAAAACAATGGACTGATACAATTTGTAGGTCCATTGTCCGGAGACGGTTGGAAGCTGCCCCGATGAGGATATTTGGGATTTCCAGTATAAAAAAACATAACAAACAAACAAAACTGACCTTCTCAGGCTTGTTCTGGCCGGGCTTGACAGCCAGACGAAGCTCGACGGGTCCACACAGGGGCTGGAAGGGGGCGCGCTTCTCCCTGTTCAGGCGGGAGACCATGCTAGACCTCAGGGAGAACTCCAGCCCCAGGGCCTGCTGGCCGTACGCTGCCTTCATCTGGGGGTGTAGGATGAGAACTTTATTGACACAACATATTATAAGTACAGCGATTTTTGTAAGGTCTAATATTACTAGACATACAAACAGATATGTGAAGATTTCAGGGAGAACTCCAGGCCAAGGGCCTGCTGGCCATACACTGCCTTCATCTGGGGGTTTAAGATGAATAAAAAGAGTTGAGACCTTTATGTTGTAATGCAAATGCTTCTGATGACATTCACTATCTTTCACAGGTCACTAAGAATGTCACTTCTCAGTGGCAAGATGGTCTTCAGGGTTGATCAGGGTTGTAGACTTACTCTATCTACTCAGGTCAAAATGCGTACCTGGCTTTGCCTTTGGTTAAGGATGTAAAGCTGGAGTTCCCATGTTTGAGGAGACAGAGACACACGCAGTTTATGGATAAAACCACACTTAAGAGTCGGGGCCCTTCCCCATGCGAGTGAATCAAACCTTGCAGTCCAGTTTCACGGAGCCTGTACTCTATGTACAAAACTGGCTGAAGGTGGTTTACCTGAGTTATGCTAAACTAACAAGAAAACAAACTGACAAACTACAAGTTACAGTCTAGTATTTTACACAGCTTGTATTCACTGTACTAACCTGACATATGACATTGTTATGCCTTAAGGTGGTTTGCAAAAAAACAAACTGACCGTGCTGGGAAACCTCTGGATCTTCCTGCCCTGGAGCGTGATCTCCTTGATCTGAGGCTCCTTCACCTGCTTGCTGTCAGGCGTCTTGGGGGCGGCTGTCTCCTCGGTGAAGACAATGGGACGAGACTTCAGCACCAGGAGTTCGCGTTCCTTCTCAGGAGTCTCGAATGTGAGCTTGTGCTGGCGGTTCTTTATGTCAAAGGTCGCCTGTTCATGAAAAAAGACACAAACAGAATATTAAGCTTTAAACACGTGGTACATTCTACAAAACAAAAGAATAGATCGTGGCATCGCAGATGAAGTCAAATCAGAAAAGAGTACGGAATAATTTGCCAGACTCAAATCCAGGACAGTATCACAAACACGCCTGCCCACCTGCCCCTGGGGTACGGTTCTGAATAGTCTCCGTGTATCCAAGATCTAAATATATTTTGCTCAGGCACAGTTCTGGATACAAGTGAACTATCCCTGAATAGAACATTTCCAGCTTCTCCTACTAGACTATCCAGACCTGGGCCTGATCCTAACCCTAACCCATTTAGGCATAGAACTAGACAGGCACGGTTCTGGATACAATAATAGATACTATCCAGAACCATGCCTGATCCTAACCCTAACCCATTTAGGCACAGAACTAGACAGGCACGGTTCTGGATACATTAATAGATACTATCCAGAACCGTGCCTGATCCTAACCCTATGACCAATACAGACATAGAACTAGATATGCTCGGTTCTGGATACATAGCTGTGTGTCTCAATTTCTCCTACTTTAGACATAAATGAAAACTCCAGAACAGAACCAACCTTCCCAGAGATGGGGATGAGGCTGTTCATGGTCACGTCAAGAGCAACTCCGGACTTGATGACGCGGCAGTCAACCGTCATCTTACCTGTGGTCTGCATGGCAACGCTACAAACAAACAAACAACAACTTTTATCCTCAAACAAATGCAAATTTAAAATCATTGCCTCAAACAAGTGCAAGACATAGTCATGTGAGAATGTAAGCTTCTTTATTTTTATTGTACATGAACAAGAAAGGAGATGGGAAAGGTCTCGCAAAAGCAATGGGCACTATTCGTGTTCAACCACAGACTGAGGCAATGTATGAATCAACAGTTACAGTAACTGTGCATTTGCCTTTTTCCCCCTCCAATCGACCAACTCGTGTTACTGGTACCTGAAGGCGACTGAGAAAGAGAGTTCGATACAGAGATAGAGAAAGACTTTAAGAGATATTTACGTGTGAGTGCTCTGCAGCCTGGCATCGATGGCTGTGATCTCCTTCTTGTCGTTATTGCGGTCCTCGCGGAAGAGGCTAGGGGACACCTCCATCCTGCCTCCAATCTCAGACCTGGCCAGCAGTATGGCCTGAGGAGCACAAACAACCAATATGAGACACTTTAAATTGCCATTTACCCCCAAGGCCTCTTCAGCCATGACGAGCGAAGATGTCGACTTCCGACCAACATTGCCCCATTGCCGACATCACACGTGAGCAAAACCAGGTGAGCATTTGAGTCAGAAAGCTAATGATTTGGTCAATACTTGCGTTTATTGAGATTAACCCTACAACCAAACAACCAATCAATCAATCAATCAATCAAATCTATCTTGTCCTCTTGAATTAGATTTGGAGTCATCCACACTTTACTTGATGTGGCCGATACTGTTTGGCTGGCACCGTTGACCTGCTGTTGATGTCACACATCCACGTGACACAGGCCTCAGTCATTTCAACTTGATACGGGAGAGAGGACTCACCATTTTGGAAAGCTATTTTCCTTTCTGTACAGTTATACTTTGTACTTATAGCATTTAAAATCTCCCTCATACATGTACTTCCTGTTGCCTTATGGAGATAGACATACATAAAGTCTTGTAATGTTGTTATTGGGATGTCCAGCTTTTTGGTAAGCTATTTTCCTTTGTGGCCTGATGGAGACAGACTAATGTAGTTACCTTGATGTCCAGCTCCAGTGGCAAACCCAGAGAAGTGGGAATCCGCTGGGTGGCATCAGCAACAAGATGGGCCTTCGTCATGGTGGTCTGCACACCTGGATGCATTGATGTGAGTACTACTTAGCTAGGCACCTGTACAACAATGTATCTGTATAGCTATATTACACTGAACATCAAGCATGTTAACCTTTATCACACTGAAGTAGCCACTTGGCTACCAGTTCTCTATGGGGTTAGGCAGCAGGGAGAAGGCTAAAGAACCCGCCATACGTATCGAAAAAAGTAAGAGTGTGAGGGGATGCAAGCCGACCAGTCTGACCTTACTGTAGGTCTTTTTACAATATAACAGTGCGGTCACACTCATTGTACATTTTGTAGTTTCGTCATATGATTTTGATTTTGTAGGATTTTTAAGCAGGCTGGGACAGAAACAATGACTAAGACAGCATTTTCGTTAACATGACAGCAGAATTTTGTACAAATATGTCACAGCAGGACCCTTGCGCTTTGAGGCACTTTATATGCTAGTCATAATGCAAAAAATTAGGCTTACCCTCCTTCAGCTGCTGCTCGATGTCTTGGATGGACAGCCTGTCCTCGCGGACAAACTTCTTGAGCAGGTCGCTCCTGAACTGGTGGAAGTAGACCTCGTTGCCGGCAATCTTCAGGTAGATCTGTCCCTTAGGGTCCTCCGGAGTTCTGGTCTTAATGTTCAGCTGAGGTTTAAGGAAGAAAACACGGTCAGAAATAGCCAGGAAGAAACTTGGAAATGATTCCATCCAGTATGGATGCAAAATGCATTTTTATCATGTATATAGTAGAGGGGATTCATTCCTCAAGCTACCGACATCTTGCACACGCAGTCGTCCCTCAGTAAGACATCTGGAGCCGCATAGTTCC